TATGATTATATCTGGTAACAACATGGATCAGATCAGATCCATCAAACAACACTTAGATACTTTGTTTCGTATTAAGGACCTTGGTCCTTTACATTTTTTTCTTGGCATGGAAGTTGCTAGATCTAAAGATGGTTTGATTCTGAATCAAAGGAAGTATGTCCTTGAATTATTGTCTGAAACTGGATTGGTAAATGCTAGACCAGCTTCCTCTCCAATGGAGGCTTCTTTACGTTTGCAACAAAATCAAGGAGATTTGTTTGATGATCCTGCTGCCTACAGAAGATTAGTGGGTCGTTTACTGTATTTGACAAATACTAGGCCTGATATCTCCTTTGCTGTGCAACAATTAAGTCAATTCGTAGCCACACCAACGAAGGATCACTATGCTGCTGCTACTCGGGTTCTTAGATACCTCAAGGGTTGTCCAGCCAAAGGTCTGCTGTTCTGTTCCAAAAACTCCTTAGCTCTGGCAGCCTTTGCTGATGCTGATTGGGCAACTTGCCCTGACACCAGAAAATCCACCACTGGCTTTTGTGTCTTCCTTGGCAACTCCCTCATTTCTTGGAAGTCCAAGAAGCAAAGCACCATTTCTCGTTCTTCTACAGAGGCTGAGTATCGTGCTCTGGCAACTGTTACTTGTGAGCTTCAATGGCTTACTTATCTGCTCCATGATCTCCAAGTACCGATTACTCAGCCAGCCAATCTCTTTTGTGACAATCATAGTGCAATTCACTTGGCTCACAATCCTTCCTTCCATGAACGAAGCAAGCACATAGAGCTGGATTGCCATGTTACTCGGGAGAAGATTGTCACTGGTCTGATTCGCCTGCTACCAGTTCCCACAGCTCAGCAACTTGCTGATATTTTTACTAAGGCATTGAACCCAGCTTCTTTCCATGGCTTTCTTTTCAAGTTGGGACTGTATGACCTCCACCCACCAACTTGAGGGGGGGTATTATATATCTATTTATGCAAATAGATATGACTGAGTCAAATTGTTACTCCTGTATTTAATTTCGTGGTTATCTGTAAGTTTGTTACTTAGTTAGTTAGTTGCCTAGCTGGCAAGTTAGTTAGTTGGTTAATAGGTTCATTAGCCCTTTTCTGTTTTACTCATGTAATGCAGCTTATATATAAGCTGATTACTCTTACTTTATTAATCAGATTTCATTTTACCCTTTTTACTCTGCTATGAGATCATTAGTATTCTCTCATTCTGATAGATATCCTGATATATAATGCTATGCATATGGTACAGTACATCCATAATCTTGGCCGAAATTAAATATTCTCAACCTAGTGTATGTGTTTTTTTGTTCATTTTTTTGTATTAAATTAAACTTTGTATTTTCCAGAGTGACTCAATCTTTTAATTTTTTTCACAAATAATAAATATTATGATGTTTCTAGCTGTAGACACGTAATATTAAGGTGGATTGTCACATCTCCATCGTGGCAAGACTAGCTCATATTACTTTAAGACTGAACCCGGAATTGCTGCTATGTGATAGCAACTTTTCATTGAACGCTCTTTCTAAACTCTAACCACAGAAGTGTCTAAATACAAATTAATAAGATTTGCATTATTCATTTCAACTTCAAGCATGGGTGGCAACGTAAGTGTGGAGGTTCACAACTGCAAGCAGGAAAAAAACAAGTGAACTTGAGGGAGTGTGTTTCCTTTTGTTTTAGTGGAAGGCATTCAAATCTATTATTTTTAAAGGATAACTAAGGGGTGTTTTCTATAAGTAATTATTTTAGATTCATGAGAAAGTGATTTTGACAATTCTATCTATCTATCTGATATAAGTATTGTGAATTTTTTTTCAGGAATTTATGTTTTCTAGTATTCTGATTTGTAAACATTTTTTAAGGTAAAATGTCATCCAAAAATATCATACTTTGGATTTTTAAGAGATAGAAAAATATTTCAGCCTTCACATCAATAGTGCCACGATGACATCACTAATGCCAAACAAAATTATTTTTCACGCCAATAGCGCCAAGATGATGCCACTAGCGTCACTCTACATTCCCGATAATATTCGACGATCAATCAAATATAGAATTAGAAAATCTGAGTCAATATTTCTGGTAATATTTTAGTTTACCAAACAATTTTTGGTCAAATTCTTGAAAAATTTATTTTTCCATTATATTCCTAATAATATGAATTTCCAAATAATAATAATAATAATAAATCATCTACCAAACACCCTCTAAAGTCTAAACCAGAGGGGGCGAGCAAAGTTGTTCTATAAATGGCCCCGTTACCAACCTTTATTTAGATGATTTTTTTTTCCTCCAAAGAACTTAAATAAAAAAGAGATAAGTTGTTTAACGGAAGCTTAAATTTCTAACGTCATCATCATATGTATAGTTGTGGATCATAAGCTAAATATTTAGGTGCAATTTTGAGCTAAATTTTTGAATAATTAGGTCTTGCTATTCTGAAAGTTGAATCTCCATCTACAAGAGTTAATTAGAAGGGAAAATTCCGACGTCCTTGTGAGTAATAATTTTTCTTATTTGAAGTCTCAACCATTAAGTTTTTTTTCTCTCTCATTTTTCCTTCTTAAAATATGTAAGTTATTTTGTCAATGTACGCTTATATTACTATAAGTGCTTGGAAATCATACCAGATATTGGCAATTCATTGTACCAAGACCTAAAGACTTATATGTCTTACATAATATACCATTAAGATATTCACGCTGGTAAGTACTTATAAGGAGACCTCAATTGACTTAACCAAAATTCAAATGGCATAGACCCCGTAGAAATTTCACGATCATCAGTGCCACAATAATCTGCCCCTGCACATAAATGATCGTCAACTGAACTGCAAGCTTATTCACATAAAAGTTGTGTTTTTAATCAGGGTATTTATACAAATTAGATTGATAATGCTATTCCACTAATAAAATGAAAAGAGAACAGTATTGCTGCTAAGTGTTTTTCAACTTCAAAGTTATATCTTATATGCGCAGTGTAAGAGATATTGGTTTTGGGTTGACAATTGGCCATGAATCCTCCGGGTATATGGAAAAATTATCCACTAAAGATAGGGTGTTTATCCATCAAATGAGTTTGGATCTGAAACCAAGTAATTACCTACCCAAAATTATAGGTATGGGTGAGTGTATTATAATATCTTCCGCACTCCATACCTACACCTAATTAAAATTATAATAAACTATTTATATATTTTTTGAATAAAGTTAGATGTTACACTTTTAAATTAATGTTTTTTGTTTTTTTTTTTTTTCATAATTAATTTTAATATTAAAACAACACTCTTGTTTTATTAATTTATCAAACAGAATATATATTAAAACTCGTACATTATATTTAACTAAAACAAAGGCAATTAATCCGATTTAGGATATTCATTAAGTATGATAATCAACATTAAAGTTATTAACTACACATGTATAAATTAAGGTACAGATATTTTTCTTAAATACGGATATAGAGATGGATACTCTGTTACGGAAGGCTTTGCCATCCCTAGATTGGTTCACAGAGAAAATTCTTATAGAATACTATATAAATGAATTTGAAAGCCAAGACCGGGACTAATTGTCAAAGCTACTTTTCGGAGGCATGCTTTGTTTTGGAAAGCGACCTGCTGGCAAATAATATCGTTTTGCCTTTGATCTTTCTTTTTGGAATTGTTTGGCAATGCCTTTGTTTGTTCTATTGTGTTCAAAATTAGCAACAACCTAGGTCCCTTTGCGAAAGTTGAGACCAAGGTGGGGTGGGACTTATGGTATCAGTCTATGTTCATCAGTATTTTGTTCATCATTGAAAATTAAAGAATATAGATGCCTCACCTTAGCTTTGCAAGAACTACAGCTAAAGTCATTGTGAATAATTCATTATAATTATCCACTATGAAGCTAGCAACATATTTCAAAGAAATACCGATATCGCATTGTCAAATCAAAATTCATATTAAAATCTTTGTGTGAGGTTTTTCTCTTAATCTCAGCCCCTCCTAACGGAATTTTTTTTTGTGCTCCAGGAGACCAGGACCACCCAATGATCTGGTGCTCCTTCTCACAACATCAATTTTTTATTTTCATTTTTATTTCTGTTATTTTTTCTCTTTTTCAATTTTACCCTTTCATTTACGCTGAGGGACCATCTAAGAAATGGTGGTCCCGGAGCACAATAAATAATCTCCCTCCGAGATTATTTATTGTGGTCTGGGACCACCATTTTTTAGGTGATCCCTTAGTGTAAATGGAGGGGTAAAATTGGAAAAGAGAAAAAATAGTAAGGATAAAAAGAGAAAGAAAAAAATGATGATGTGAGAGAGAGCACCGAATCATTGGGTGGTCCTAGACCATAATAAATATTCCCGTCATGCTGATACTTGATCATGCTACAGCCTACAATCTACAATCTACGTGTGATTTCAGTTCTAGAGTAGAATCTGATCGAGATTTGAGATAATGGGCCGGGTCATGCCATTCAGTTGGCCCAGACATATCCTCTACCACCAATGAAAGCCTAAAAGGCTAAAACTGAGCTACAGGATGTAGGAGGTTGACCTAAGAAAATAAGCCCCGAGTATGAGATTTAAACCTATTAAAAGCAGGTGAAAAAGAACAAGGAAATTTGTAGTATCAAGAAAGATGTGGTACATATTGAGTTGGCAATGTTACTGGCTATTAGATAATTGTCGAATAAATCTAGATACTTTACATATTTTATGAAAGACGCAAGATTACCACATATATATTCTTTAAGAAGCGTCTAGTAATTTTATTGGAGAATACAAGTTGTTTAACTCATCTATTATGAATCTTACCATGATTTGTGCATCAGAGCAACGAAATTGGCCTCTATTAGGTAGCGTTCTAAGCAATTTTAGTAAGTAAAATGGTTTATCAAATAATGATAGATGATATAATAATAACTGCGGAGCTAGTTTAGATCTGTAAGGAGAAAGAAGAATAGCTGCAAGCCTGCAATTAGGTCATGCATGTAAGCCAAGAGATTTTTACAAATCTAGTAAAACAGTAAGGTGCATTTTCCTTCGGTCAGTTGAGGGTGGACATTGAGAACTGATAAAATGCATAGGGAACCTAAAGGGTCAGATCATAAATATAATATACTTCCTACCTAGCCCAGGGTATATTGTCATTCTAAACAATGAACCTAATACCGTTCGGACAACAGACCGTTTAAATATGTCAATGAACAAAGAGATAAAAGAAAAAAGTTACAGGAATAAGTAAAAAATTCCTATATGATCTAGCATCAAGCAGAAACATGAAACTAAGGCTCCGCGCCGATCATGCCCTGCATCATAATAAAAGAAAAATAAAAGAAGCAGTTGTTAGTCAAATTCCATGTGTAAGTCATAAACAAATGACTCGTTGAAAAGTCACAATCAACGAAAATAACTCATGAACATTTAGTAGTTAATAACATGTTAATAACATGTAACTTAGGAAAGGAAAATGAGGCAGGGAGACATGCAGAGATATACAGAGTATGTGGGGAACAAAAATAAAGCAGGGGGAAAAAATTAACCTTATATGATAATAACTGATCAGCACTAATAGGTGTCAGACTGTTTAAATAGATGATGGCGTGCAAGCATCTCTGGTATTCCTAAAGCAGAAATGCTTTCACATCCAAGTAGCTCTTGAAGCTTTGCATCACATAATATCACCATTGCATTTAAAGGATCCTACGAATAACATGTAGCAATTATAGGTAAAACAATTATGGAGGTCAATGAAAAGAACTTGCTTAAGGAGAAGGACAAACCTACCTTCTTGTTAAATCTTTTTTGTTTACCTAAAAAGATCCATTACTTCAAAGAAAAAGACAACAGCTTTGAAAGTAATTTTTTTGGAAGAAATATAATAGAAAATGAGACTTTTCTTTAATTTGTTTTTGTTTTCAGCTTTCAATCACGATTTGAATTCAAATTTTTTTAATTTCTTGTGCAAACAGTTTAAACTCCACCAAAAAAGCGCATGATCTTCTTACTGTCTCCCTTTATTATTGGAATCTTAAACTAAAGATGTGGGCCTGCATGAGCAGAGAAAGTTGTGGACAAGGCTACGCACCTCCAAATGATTAAGCTTGATATACTCCCAAACAAGTCTTATGGCTTCAGATTGTTGCATTTCCCTTCCCCCAGTGCCCAAAAATTTAGCAAGCGCTTCAGATATTATCACAGTAGATGAAGCAGGTTCAGCACTTTCAATTGTAGATTCAGCATCCACCTTTCTTCTTTTAGCTTGTGACTCCTCTGGAGTGACAGCAGTGAAAGATTGTTGAAAGAATAAACAATTAATTAATAAACCAACAAAACCCCAGCTAGAAAAGATAGTAACACAGCCTCCATTTTTTATTTAGCTATTTACTACTTACTTGTAGGTCCAAGGGGGATAATGTGTTTAGCTAGCAACTTATTCATCTTGAACATGTCAGTGCAGTCTGTCTCAAATACCAAACGCAGAGCATCATCACAAATTATCTTTCTTTTATTACCAGGATCTTGAAGGTTGTTTTTCCTTATGTATGCCCACAGCTGCCTCACAATCTGAATTAAGCATATCAAAGTGTTGCAAAAGATTTTTTGAATTAATGATTCATTTTGGATAACTGAAAATTCATGTTTCAACCATGAATGAAGGACACAGAGGATCTTGGAACGGAAAACAATACCTCAGTTCTTGGCAATGCCGGCTCACCAACAATTGCCTGAAGCAGAGGAGAAACACCACAAACTTTGTTAAGACCACCTGCGCCGCCTCTTCTTTTGCCTCCAGTTGGAACACTGGTAAAACATTTATAAAGGATACGAACACACCATCCATTCTAATTAGAGACAGATTGGAGAAAATCTTGCATACTCAAAGCAAATTAGAATATAACACATGGCACAGATATTAAGCCTCTGCCTTCAAATAAACTCGAAAGCAAATCTGAGCAATTAGATGCAATACTCTAGCAATATGCAAGAACCTCTTGTCTGTAGATCTTAAGCGGAAGGCTAAAGAGTGAAGAAAGTCACAGTACAACATGGACGAGCATAACGCAAATTGTGTTCATGTTTACCGGCAGTGCTAATTGGGACAGCAATAGCATAATAAAACAACGCATTTTTAATTTCAAAAGAAGACAAATAACACTAAGCCAAAAACTATCATACAAGAAAAAAGGTTCCAGGTCAATGAATATGAATAAATAATAATAACCAGACTACCAGACAACAGCAACAGGAGAAGGCTAGCAAACAATAAGAGAATAGTTTTGAGAGAGAGAGATGTGGGGCTTCCAATAAACAAAATTACAAGAACGTGATGAAATTATCATACAGAAAATGACATGACATTAAACAAGAGTACAACTAATTAATCAAAAAAGAAAAGTGGGTAAAGCTACGAAATTTCAACAAAAGAACTACGGCTTCTAATGAAATACCAAAACAAACCCAACCATTAACAGTTTCCAGAAATGGAACCGTACTCCAACTGCACAGTAGAAGACCAAGCCAAGATCATAGCAGTACCTTGGACGAAAGCGAACAACTAAAACCCTAGATCGAAGCAAACAAAAAAACCTCGGACCTTAGATCTTAGTTAACGCGACAATGACCCAAAAAATAAAAAACAAAAAAACAAAAAACAAAACAAAACCCAAGACCCAGTTAACAACTTCAAAAGCAAAAAAGGAAAATAAAATAAAAATCCCACCTTTCTTTGGGTGCTTCAGGAGAGGCAACAGTATCGGCATTTTGAGGAAAGGCCTGACCTTTGCTAGTCGGTGGCTGGGACTGCGGAGGATGGTGTGGCTGCCGGAAGTTGATCTCGCCGGAGGAGTGGAGGGCAAAATGGGGGTGGGGATGGGTGGTTGGGAAGTGTGGCTGTGGTTGTGAGTGAGGGTGAAGGGCAAAATGGTCTTTAGGCGGTGGAAGATGATGATGAAATGGCTGTGGCAGTGACTGTGACAGTGTCTGTGGCCGGAGAAGAAAGTCGATCTGGTCTCTGATGAAACCGGCCTTGTGGGAGAGGTCTAACCCTAACTTGGCCTCCAGCTGCTGAACGACACCGTGTAACGTTGTTATAGAGCTTGGGTCGGAGTGACGTAGCAGAGACTCCACCCCTTTTGCTATATCCTGGTCCGACACCATTGTTTCTTCACTACCTTCATATACCAACAGAAAAAACTGACTCAAACGGCTATACTACACCTCCTCTCTCTATCTATCTATCTCTCTCTTCTTCTTCTATCTGTTTCTTTCTCTCTCTTGGTCTCTGTCTAATGTCTATCTCTCTCTTTATAACACCGAAATCACAAAAATACCCTTCATTCCGATTCAAAAATGGTTTGGAAGGAAATGACAACAGTACCACGAGCTTATCACCCACAATGAGTTGATAGATAGGGAGTAGAAGCGTAATTTTGTGCGATGGAAAAGAGGAAGAGCAGTGGTTGGGGGGGTAGAAACGTAAAAAGGAGAAAAGTTGCAATGGCAAGGCACCTTCTTTTTTGAGGAGGTTAGGGAGCAAGTGGTTAAAGATGAGGGATGGTGATGAAATGACACGAGACAAATGGATAAAGTGAAACCGTCTCAACTTTAGACTCTGGCAACGAGGTTTGAGGTAAAGTGAAAGCAATGTGGAATTACGTAATTGCCAATTACTTTAATAACTTCATATTGCATCAGAGAAGGGTCAACATTTGAAAATTTGAGTATGGGCTTGTACCCATCGGTGGTTAAGGATTAGGGGAGTTTGGTCAACTAAATAGGATTCTGGAATTGGTGGGGCTTAATCTACCACTGAACTAACACAGTCAACGCACAGGAATGGCGAATTCCATTCTACGCAACCACCATGGCCCTGTTTAAACCATCTTTAAATGCCTTCAAATCATAGTGATAGTGAAATAAGAAAATCTAATCTCTTTCGTATTTACCGTAAGGGAAGTATTTAATAACCCGGATGTAACACCATATGAATACTTCTTTTCTTTTCTTTTGGTAAATACACCGTCACCATTTGAATACTTTACTCATACTGTAATGTGCGACATAGGTCCTAAATAATTTAAATAATAGGTTCGGGCAAATTAGCGCGTGGCGACAAGAATAAACCGAAACTGACTCGGATATTAATCGACTGCAGTACTTAAAAATATATATATACTTGAAGCCCTTAGTTCCATGCGGGTCTACTTAAAACTAAAACAGTCATAAAATTGCAATATATTAGAATTCAAATAATGTGAGTTTGGAAAATTATGATGTGTTGTTATTTCCAAACATATGTCAAAGTTGACCTGCTCTTTTTGTCTTCAAGTTAAGATTTTTTTATACATAAAATTCTATTATGCAATATTAACGTAGATCACCAAATATCTAATTGTGATATGCTACAAGAAATTTTATATTAAAAAAAAAGTTTACGTTAATAGAAATAATTTTATAGGGCTTTATACATATAAATATAATGTCACGGGATAGAAAATAAGTTTCATGAGGACACAATAAATTGTTAGGGTCCACTAGTTAATTTTTCTCTCTCCTTATTATTGTCTCTGTTGGAATTTATTTATTTATTCTGTAACATTGTTATTGTATTTCCTAAATTTATATTATTGAGTTTAGTTTGAGACAAAAGTTCAAATTTTATTTATACCTCATTTTTTATGCATGTGTTTTTTTTTTTTTTTTTTAAAGTATGAAGTGTGTAGGTTTACTTAACGGTACTATTTTTTCCTTTAATCGTTCGGGTTATCAAAAAATAATATCATGATAAATGAGATAATCAAGTTTTGATAAACGATATATTGAAAAGTGTTTACACTAGCAGAAGTGTGACCTACAATAGTAGCTCCTCACCAAATCAGGGATTTTAACGTAATGATTTGGCTACTTTGTTTGGGAGTATCAATTTGAATCATGGGCTTAATTCAGGGTCAATAAAAGTAAATGTATTACAATATACGGTTTATCATTTTATTTTATTTTATTTTATTTTGGAAAACTTCAAAAAAAGAAAACTCGTAATTTTCTCCATAATCATTTACTCTCTCCCCAAAATTTTGTATCATTTACCTTCTTGACTTAAAGTTTTTTTTTATCATTTATCCCCCTAAGTGAGAATGATCAGTAGAGTGGTTCAATTATGACTATTCTCAATTCGTTACATCATCGTCGTTCTTCGTGTAAGTCCAAAACTGTTGGTTCTTCGCGACATGCAACTCGCTGCTAGCATCTTATTCGCTGCTGAAGAGTGGTATAATTGAGCGCTAACAAGTTTTCATCCTAACGAGTGGAGCCATTGGTTATTGGCTTTCTTTTCCTCTTAATTTGTTTTGGATGCTACCATTGTTATTTAGATTGCTTATCTTCAGAGCTTTTGTTTGATTTCATTTAAATAAATGAACTTAAATATCAGGGTGATAACAAATTTAATTGTATCATGTTACTTTAAACAAATTAAATTAAATGATCTACCATGTAGATATTGTATTCTGTAAAATTAATCCTTTGGTAGCATCGTTCATGTACAAAAATAATAGGTATACTTTCTTACTTTCTACTAGTAGTAGATCATACTTCTTGGGATCTATCGAAGATAAAACATCAAGTTGGTCATTTGTTGATGATTAAGCCTGCTGATTTTGGTTTATGGCAATGTTTTGTTGGGAAAAACAAACAATTTCCATTTTCAATTAAATGTGTTACGAATGGTTGAACACAAGAAATGGATATTCCAGCAACAATTATGCAACAGTACAAAACAAATGTAATTTTTAACTTGGAAAAACTCATCAATGTCAAGAGTAAAAATTATGAGACTGACTACGAGATTGCACCACAATAGTTAACAACTTAAGCACGTGTTATATAAAAAATCAATAGGTAATCACAAAACATGTGTTCCTACAAAATTACTGCTACCACTAGAAAATTCTAATCACCAATCCAAAATGTCAAATTAAAGAACTACAAGAAAAGAACACCTTGACCAATGATTAGTGAAAGAGATTTGCCTCTTTGAAACTCATTGCGTAATGTAGGAGATGACTACTAAACTTCATTGTTTTCGGTCACACAAAAAACTTTTAAAGTTTCCAATTGAAATTTTGAACTACTAAATTCAAAAATTATAATGCTAAAATTAGTGCAGAAGTTTTAGGTGAGATGGTTGTGTTGGACAAGTGGCTTTAAAACTCAAGATGAGGAGTGAATTGAGTTTTAAAAATATTTTTACCAAATGCCTCACTTTCCTTTTTGAAAAAAAATTTCTTGAGTTTCTACGATTTAAGACAAGTGGAGTGTGATGAATAGGAACTACGACAAATAAATAATAAGCAATAAATATGAATCTAACTATGCCAAGTATGCAAACAATGCTTATGTAAAGAGATCAGGGTTAGAGAGATTGCAAACATAGTGTATCCTGATTCGATCACCACCACCGTGACCTACGTTCAGACTGAAGCCGCTCGATCAACTTTTTCATTAATGATCAAGCTTTAATGGTGCTTGACAAACCACTACAACCTCCAAGATTTTGGTTCTTGGAAACCTTACACTTCCAATCACTTTTTAAGGCTACGAGCCACCTTTCCACTAAGGTCTCACTACCTCAACTCAAGAATACAGTAGGAGAGTGTTTAGAAATAAATAAGTACTCTTAAAGTATAGATTGAACAAGTTAAAGCTTATGTGTATTGATCAATATCACAAGAAAAGAGCTCAAAGAGATTTTATGACAAGATGTGTAAGAATGAGTAGTTGATATGTTTGATTCAAGAAGAATTGTCAAAAATGACTATATATTCATTAAAATAGTGACTCAAACTAGTTGGAGGCGTAACAAATGAATATATATGAGTATTGAATCGAAACTAGTCATTTGTAGCCGTTGGAATGTTTTCTGGTCACTAAGTAATCGATTACTTTTCGTGAAGTAATCGATTACTTTGTCTCTCCGTAAAGTATTTGATTACTTGTTAAGAAAGTAATCGATTACTCTCTTGACAGCAACTTAAAGATGTAGCGTTTTGAGTTCGAAAGCATTCCAACTTGCCTTTAACCATTTTTATGCAAATCCTTGACTTAATGAAAATGTTTTGAAGTTATAAAATATGTCAAAGACCTTTTCAATGGATTTTTTAATTTCTTTCATGTATGTAAAGCCATGGATGATACATGCACAAAAATAAGTATTCTTTGAGCTCATTAATGCAATATTACTCAATTACCTTTACTTTTGATTCTAAGTCCTATAGATGTACTACTTGTAGGTTCTTCCATTGTAGCTTGATTCTTGATCTCTCTTTGGACTTGGTCATATGTCTTAATGGTTTTGCATTTGTTGACTTGTTGAATTTCTTCCTTGGACTTTTTTTATTGTTGTAAGATGTATCACACTTGAAGTCTTCTTCCAATCTTGTTTGTTATTATCAAAACACTTGCATTATTGAAATCATTTTGAATGCGTTGGTTCCACAATCTTCCCTTTTGATGATGACAAACTCAAATTGAGAAAAAGGTTAGCATAGTATGTACTTTGTCAAGATGGTACTAAAACTCCCCCTTAATATATGAATAATCGAAAAAATTGTAAAAAGTGGAGTTATAGGTTTAATTTACCTTAATTTTACCTTTTAAGATCACTCTCCCCCTTTTTCTCTTAACATGTGCATATTTAAGCATAATGGGCGAGTTGTGCATGGTTTTCTCAAGTTGCACATTCTTCTCCCCCTTTGGAAACATGAAAAAGAAGGATAGAATCTAACATCATATGTGAAGTATAGGCAAACATGAAACCAACATACACATAGGGCAATATCAACCCCAATCCAAGACACAATAATCCAAGTCATAAAAGCCATAGCAATCCAACATACACAACATATGCACATGTCTGAAATGATCCAAAGGTTGCTACAGAAATCCGAGAGAAATAAAACAAAGGAACCAAAACGCAGATAAGGTCTCAAGCTAGAAGCCAATACATAAGCATAATAAAACAAACTGAAAGGAAATCCTAAAGCATGTAAAGGCTAAGCATCAAATTTGGGGCAAGCCAAGAGCAGTGATGTCATCATCTACTGGATCCTCATCAGTAATACCGAGATGATCCTCTATGTGCTTAAGACGCTCATCAATGTCATTCTTCATTCCTCATCAATAATTCATTAGGTTAAGACTACTAATCTTCATTGTTTCCAGTCACAAAAAAGACTTTTCAAATCTCTAATTAATATTTCAAATGGTTAGATCCAAAAATTATAGTGCTAAAATTAGTGCAGAAGTTTTAGGTGAGATTGTTGGTTGGCTTAACAAGAATTTGAGAATAATTAATTACTTTGGGGTAGAGCTTTGGGGAATTTTGTTAAACTTAGAGATAGCCATGGATAAAAGGTTCCAAAATATTTGGCTAGAATCTGACTCCTTAGCTGCCCTCCAAGTGATTGACAAAGGGTGTGATATCCATCATCCTTTTTTCCCTCTAATATCTAGAATTAGGTCCTTGGTGGATAGAGATTGAAATGTGTTTTGCTCTCATGTGCACAAGAAAGGCAATAGGGTGGCTAATTGGTTAGCATTTAATTTTTAGAATCGAATTTGGGAGGTCCAATTCTTGTTTCAACCACCACTTGGCCAACTTGTTAAAAATGATCTTATGGGAACTAGGTTTGCCCAGGATGATTAGGCTTTAGGCCTTTGTTGTTTGTTTTCTTTCCTTTTTCTCCGAAAAAAAAAGATATGACTCTTTAAATCTTGTTTCCTGCTAAAGAATTGTGCAAAAAATTGATTTTGTTTGCAAAATTTATGGTATCACAAGGAACCTCCAATTAACGATCTAATTATGCAGAATCAACTCAACGATACACAAACTTGCTCAAGACTAAACAACAAAGATATCTGGAAGACAGGAGGAAATTGATCTTTTTTTTGTTTTAGGAGCAAAATTGTAGTTATTCTTTTTATTTTGCTTCTCTTCTTTTTGTAAAGTGTTTATAACAGGTGCGCCTCCTTTTTACCTTTCGAATATATTCTCTTTCTCATTTTTTGCATAAGGGATTCCTAAAAATTCATTAGGCATTTAAGATAAAAGCCCAAGAAATTATCTTAAAAGGTCCATCCCAATATGAAAGATTAGGGTTTCCTTTTGTGAAAGTGAGAAGGAGCATACAAAAAAGAAGGACCAGTAATTACTGTTAAGGTGGAGAGAAAGGAGCGGCCATCGTAGGAAATATGTTGAAGAAAAAGGAGACGTAAAAACATGTTTGCGCAAATTGAAAGAAAGCAATTTCCTTCCACCTTCGATATCTCTTTTGTTCCCAGTTTGTTGGGATGAGGTTCCTCAAACCAACGTGGAAATAAGTAAGTCGTCAAGTGGAATTAAGCAACCATGCAGTTGAGGGTAGGCCTATTAGCGAGCAGGTCTGCCCAAAACACAAAGAATAAAGAGAGAAAATAAAACAATACAAACCAATTTTTAACATGTAAAACCTTTCCAAATGCTACGGAGTAAAAACTACAGTATCTAGTCCAAAAAATCTTTCACTATATGAATAGTAGAATTACAAGAGTTATTTATTTGTAAACACTAGAGGATTACATAAGTTCTCCACCCTCACAAGGATGATATGCACGAGTTCTTCTCACAAAGGAGGAATAATAACTTTCTTCTCCAAAGAGGTATACAATCACTCAAGCTTATCTACAAAGGAATCCTTAAACATGCTAGCTCAAGATTATCTTTTTTAAATTTCACCTCATTTTATAGATGAGATGGACTTTTACTAATAGGGTAGTTACATTCGTTGATATGATTCTTCAAACATTAAGTCTTGAGTCATTAATGCTCGACATGTTAAGCCACCAAAGCATTAAAGGAGAAACCAACCCGACACAGTTGGATTAAGTTGAATTTTTTTCCTTTCATTCTATATGGAAGGTTCCCCGTGATACCAGAAATTTCATGAATAGAATCAATTTTGAGTATGATTCTGCAACAAATAAAAAGATTTAAAGAATAATATTTCTTAGATGCAAGGTTGGATCAAGTTGAACCTTTGACAATTATTTCAACATATATTGTTATGCATTCTAATCGTTGGGATTTGTAATTGTAAACTTTAGACTGTAGAGGGAGCATTAATCATATTTTTTTTGATAGACTAAGCATTCTTAAACTTTAATAGCAGTTTCAGTAACATGTGATTAATGTGCCAATCAGGTAAAATGCCACCTACTTGATGTTAAAATTAGCTAAGTTTGAAAAGTCATATATTCCCCTTGAATATGATGATCCCTCTTATATTTTTCCCTTATCTTCAAACAACCTCCTCCAGCCACTTTATCCTCAGAGTACTGCCCTAAGACTAGGGATGCAATTTCCTTCTTACCCCCAAAAAAATTCAAGAATTTACTTTGAACAAGGTTTGAACTCTGACTAAAATAAACCCTTGGACGCTTATCTTGCCAACTGAACTATCCTTAAGGTATCGTACTTTGAATGAGTGAGAACATGTATAGCCCGTCATTGTAATTTAATGAACAATTGTGCTTTTAGTTTCTTGTTATTCGTCAACTTTGACTTTTTGATAATATTTTTTTAAGTATACATATTTGAATATTGGTTAGAACAATAGAAATTATAAATTTCAACCCTTTTCTTATTTTTTAAATTTATTTTTATTCGGATGATGCAATAAAATAAAATAAAAAATCTGATAACACAACCTGATCAAACCTAAATTTGAGTTTGTTCGTTTTGGGTTCAATTTTAAAAATTTGCCTAATTCAATTTAACCTAGCCTGATTTCACAAGATAAGACCTTTTGAGATGGTGAGATGAAATATAATCTTGATGGCTCAAAATAAAGATGAGAAATGAGAGAGATTTTGGGGTACAAAATTTATAAATGATAAAAGAGGCCGAAACCCACTAATGTTGGAGTTTCTGGCCGATGAATACCCGAGTATCTGGATGTGTACCCGGGTATTTAACTAAATACCCGAGTATAAACTTAAATTATGTAAGAACACCTATAATTCATGAAATATACGCGAGTAAATGGGTCAGTACTCAAGTAAATATGCGGTCAACGGTCAAATAATGACAAATTGGTGTTGTTTGGTGAAAATGTTAATTTTTTTTGAATAGTTTATAAATAGGGACAAAATAGTAATATATTGTTAAACAAAGTCTATAATGGTCAAAAAGTCGGGCCGAGCTACGAGCCTAGGATTAATGAATTATCCGATCATTTAAAATTATGAGAAATAGTTTTCTCATTTTATATGAGAAAATTTTCTCATGTTACATTCACAATTAAAAGGTGGATCCCATCTTAATTTTTTTTGTTTTCTCACTTTTTTGTGGACCCCACTAATGTATTATGTGTGTAACATATTCTTATGTAAAATAAGAAAATTAATCCCCTAAAATTATATAAGAAACCTTCAAAATAAATCGATAATTGGAGTTAATAAAACATAATTTTGAGTTATTTGCCACCTGTAGAGATAAAAACGCACGCACTGGTTACATTTTCACAGAGTAGGCGTGAGAAAAGCATGGCAGAGATTCTAAACCTAGGAGGTCCGATAATCCTAAGTAGGAGGAAGCTGTCTTCCCGTTCCCATTTCCAATTGACTAAGCATGACTCCATCACCCAATGGAGTCGTTTGCAGCACAAGCTCAGAAGCAACGGCAGATTCCTTTGCCTTTTCTCAGATAACAAAAGAGAGGTATTTGTAATTCTTTTGCATATGAAATTTATGTCAATTTAATTACTTGTGAATTTCTGTTTCTCGATGATTTAATTTTTGTTGCTGATATTCCTTGTCTTCAACTCTGCATTTCAACTACAAGCCTTATCCCGTTTCGGAATGGGCTCTATGGAGTTCGAAACTAAAGTTTCGATGACAATTTGGTAAATTCTTTTCTGTTTTCTTTGCCGATAATGCCACATCTTTGAGCTGTAGTTTTAGCAATTCATGAATTGTGTGTTCCGGATAGAGTAGTGTTTGACAATATCAATTAACTTCCTTTATTTAAGTTTTATTTGTCGAATTGAATGTGTTAACATTCTTTTTAAATTAGTTTAAGGAGTTTACTGTTCCTACAAAGGGGTTCCTCTCATAGAATTCTCTTTTGATTTTGGTGGATTTTTTTTATTTTAATTAGGATTACGTGCATTGAACTAATTAATTGTGTATGTGTGTGTGCGTGTTTATACCTGTTATGCATATTACTTGCCCGAGTGGTCTTACTTGTGAAATTGCTTTATCTTGGCTTGGCTCCCAAGATTTTTTTCCTGTACAATTTTATTTCTATCAACATCCTACCTTCGCCAGTTCATATGAAGTGACAGTCCCAAAATCTCAAATTGACATACTTTTTCTTGGAACTATATGTATGGATGCTATGTAATCCGAAGAATATGTTCATGTGTTTAACAAGGTCTCCTTTTCAAGCAATTTATATGTGGCCTATTAAGTATTGGCCTTGCTTTGCATCTGAGTTTCTATGTGCAATTATTCCTTGTCACGTGACTTTTTAGATGTCAAGGTAATCCCATAATGCAGTGCTCAGTTTCAATTCGTTTTCCTTCATGGATAACATTTGGAAGATGCCTTTGTTAACTGAACTACTTTGGTTCATTATTTAGCTGAATCTATTCTCCTGGCCTCTTCGTGTAGTGCAGGTACTATTTTCATGAAAATTATAAAAACTGAATTATTCTCTCTTGTTTGAAAAATAGAAAGATAAACTCTCTCTCTCTATCAGTTTATGCTGATATAATTTTAGCCTCATGATTAATTATCCATATTATTTTGAACCTTGTGATGATGGGCTATGTGTAGACCTCAATGCCTCACAAAGCTGATTTGAAAGCAGGAACAAAAAAAATAAAATAATAGTAAAAACTAAAAGTGAATTTGTATTGCAGGAACAAGCTAGAAAAGCATTAGAAGGTGCACTAAGTGGGAAGAAAAATGAATTCGACAAGTGGGACAAAGAAATCAAAAGAAAAGAAGAGCTGGGAGGTGGAGGTGACACTGGTGGAGGAGGTTGGTTTGGGTGGGGTAGATGGTTTGGCTGGTCTAATGATGATAATTTTTGGCGAGAAGCAAAACAAGCTAGTCTTACTTTACTGGGTATCGTTCTCATGGTAACAAGTTTCCTCATTCCACTTTCAATTCTTTTGCTGATAGTCAGAAATTCATAACCATTGCCGTACAATAAAAACTCTATTTTTCCTTCTCTCTCTGCATTTCCAGTATCTCCTAGTTGCAAAAGGTGATTTGATCCTTGCCATCACCTTCAATCCATTGCTGTATGCACTACGGGGAGTGAGAAATGGATTTGGTTTCATAACATCAAAAATCTCGACAAATACTTCTACCAGTAATCAGCCTGATTTTGATGGCTTTTTGAAGAAGGAAGATTATAAGCATGCTTCTGCTAAAGAGAATGTTGTAAGAAAATGGGGTAGTGACTATTGAGTAACTTGCTTTTTACGGGTTTGGAATGACCCCTCTGGGTTCATTCTACATCACCTTTGCTCCATGCAAATCTTAGTGCGGCGATTATTTGAGTAACTTAAAAGTAAGTTTGTTTGATTTGTTTTGTTTTTCCCTTTCCTTCGCATCTAAACAACTTTTAATTTTTGTTTATTCTATTGTTATCTTGAGAAGTTTGTGAGGGTTCAAAAGCTCCTTCACAAGCTTGCAATTGATAAGGAAATTTTGTTTCTGTGAAAGAAAATGAGTTGGGAGTTTGTGAGGGTTCAAAAGCTCCTTTAAATTTTAATGTCAGCTGGATCTTTAATGGTTTCCCGTTGTTGTCAAATTTTATAAATGGGAAAATTAGTATATAGTTTGAGAAAGAAGGTAGACTGATATATAATTTAAGAAGTGGGGCAAAGTGGTAAATTAATTTTAAAAGGGGGCAAAATGGATAATCAGCCATTTTTTTGTTTTTTTGGAAAGTTGGCATGTTTTATTTGCCCCAAAATTGATGTTCTAATGATTACTGTATTAAATATAAAAAACAATTTGTGTATCGTTGCATTAAATTCTTGAAATGTTAAGATGATTGAGCAGTTTCAATGTAACTAGCTATTTTGAAACTCATAATTTTGAGCTAACCAACGATTTTAAGATCACGGAAAGGAAATTTCAGAGTCCGTTTGTAGCCAATAAACTCCCAAGCTAGATAGCCGAACGTCTAGAAGATACAACTTGAGTTGAGTATTTTCGAATGGATCAGAATCAATTGTTTGTAGCAAACTTATGTTATGGATCACTGGAGGAAAGGTGACCATGATCATCTATTTGCGGGACAATTGTGCAATAGCAACGTGCTTTGCGGTTTCCTCATTTTTTATCTAACCAAAATATTGGACTTAATGCACCCGAGCCGCAATCACGCTGTCCAATAATCCATCAAAACTTGAGACTGTAAGCTATCTTCTACGGTGATGAGAAAGTATTAAATCTTTTATTAAAGATTTATTCTTCCACAGAAAGACAGTGACTGCTAAATTTATGTGTTTCGTTGGGTGATATCATATTTCAAAAATTTATTATGCCCCTAGATATCAAAGGGTCATTATTTTTTCTTCCGAAGAAGAATTCACCGAAAAGATGTAAAAAGTTTTCCTAGTGATCTGATAGATCACTTTTGCTTTCTTTAATCATAGCAAATGATTTTTTTTTCTTTCAATTTTTTAACATAATGATTGCTTTCTATTCTCTGTCTCCTTCGTTTATTTACATCTTAATAGAGTATGAATATAGATCTTTAATGAAATGGTCCAATATTTTGCTTTTGCACAGCTATGATACACTTGTCAAGAATTGACTTTAATAATTGAAACGCTATAGCCGTAACCGCCCTTTTAAATACTAGACAATAAAATAAAGTACCTTGAGAAACTTAAATGCTAGTGGTATACATTAAAACTTGTAAAACTTTAACAGATTATTAATATTCAAAACAAATATTATAAAAAAAAGTAGCATATGAAATATATAAATTTATCTGACATTTTTGTAATGAGATACTAAAGAGCTTCAAGCCTTCAATGCAAATTTTAATTAATTTTCTATTTCTCCTTTATAATTTTGGTTTCGGTGGGGTATGTATGAGGTTAAGAGTTATGACTTTCAATATTCTATTTAGGTCAGCAGCTTACGCTCTATTCTCAGCTTTTCAAAAGCAATCAAAATTGATAGTAATGGTATTACCCATAAAAAGGACTGAAGGAGTCAAAATCCATGTTTAGTTCACCTGTGAGACTCAAACTCGAACCTCAATCTCAATGTTATAGGCCAACACTGACAATTCTTTTTTTCTATTTGTTTTATACATGAGTTTTTCCTTTCTTGTTTCCCTTTCTTTCTTTCTATCATGGGTTTAAATGTTTAACATACAAGAGCAGTGACCTTCACGATGACAAGGAGACTCTCCCATATTTGTAGTTGAATATTTCTGAGTTGCGGATCACCACACGACCATTTCTCTCTCTGTGTGTGTGCTTGTGAACTCTGTACCTCTCTTCTTGCCTTCTTGGCATCCTATCTCATTTTAATCAACCTTTTTTTCTGAGTTTATTTGACGCACTTCTTTCTCTCATGCCTTCTTAACCCCTCTTTTTGTTATACTCATTGGAGCAAAGCTGCTACCAAGTGGGTTTTCTCCTTATATTCAAGAGATTTTGCATGCAATTCTCAACACCAATAGATGATAAGCACAAAGCAATGAGAAACATAATAGATAACAAACTAGTTAATATCTTTTTCTTTTTTTTGGTAAGCAACTAGTTAATATCCTTAAAAACTTAAAAATCAACCAACAAGGGTCAAATTTTGTGATTAGTTTTCACATGAATTCAAAGAATTAAAATATTAAATTTTTTGTTACCAAAAAGAATTTAAAAGCAAGTACAAAAAATTTAAATTAGTAAGATTTACAAAATTTGAAGACATACCCAGGGAGAGAGATAAGGGATAAGTAAAGGAGTGTATACAAGTAAAATAGAGATAAAATAGGCAAGTTAATTAAATTACTAACAGTGTTAAAGTTGAGCTTGAATGTAAAAAAATCATAGGGATTAATTGATAAGAAAAAAAGAAATATATAAGTAATAAAAGAATAAACCACATAAGAGTTTATGGATTTTTTCCCAAAAATATAATACATTTTTTTTAGTTGTATTATTAATTATAGAGTTGAGTTTGCCATTAATTCAACATGTTTGTCAACTTTTAAGAATCAGAAGCAATAGGGTGAGTTTTTTTTGTTTTTTTTTTTAATTTTAGGGTGGTTTTAGATGTATGTTATTTGGTTATTACGTAAAATTTAAAATTTTAGTTTTCATCATAAATAAATTTGAGATAAAAATATTATAGTTTATTTTGAACCAGTTAATCGTGTCTAGTAGCATTTTAAATTAGTTTTTTAAATTGCAAACAGAAATACAAAATAATGATGATCCTTTTAATGTGGATTTACATACTTAATAAAAAAAGATGATTACAAATTATAAATATATACCTGTATGAAATTCATTGGTGAATATATTATCAAGCTTTTAATTGTGCAATAGCATCGTGGTTTCCAGTTTCCTCATTTTCTGTGCAACCAAAATGTTGGACTTGATGCACTCCAGCCACAATCACGCTGTCCAATAATTTATTAGATAATTAACTAAATCGTCCGTTCAAAAATAATTATTGAACTTTTTTATTCATTAGAACAGTTGACACTTCATTGTTTATTTTTTTCCAGCAAAATGTGAGACTGCAAGCTATCAGAAATTATTAAATCTTTTATTAAAGATTTAATCTTCCACAGAAAGACAGTGACAGTTAAATTTATGTGTGTTTTATTGAGAGATAACATATTTCAAAAAATTAGTATGGACCTAGATAAATTCAAAGGGTCGTTACTTTTTCATCGGAAGAAAAATTCACCATAAATATAAAAAAGTGTTCACAGTTTTCTGATACATCACTTTTGCTTTCTTAATTAGAGCAAATGCATTTTTTTTTTTTTCAAATTTTAACATGATGAATGCTTTCTATTATTTGTCTCCTTAGTTTATTTTTATAACGATCCTATGTGTCGTTGGTTTATTTACAGCTTAATATATAGAGTATGAATATAAATCTTTAATGAAATGGTCCAATATTTTGCTTTTGCACAGCTATGATACACTCGTCAATAATTGACTTTAAATACTTACAAACGCTAGCTATAACGGCCTCCCTTCTAAAATACCAGACAATAAAATAAAGTACCTTTATTATAAATAAATAAATAAATAAAGTACCTTGAGAAACTTGAAAGGTAGTGATATACATTAAAACTTGTAAAACTTTATTTTGAGTATTAATGGGATAGGATATGGTTACTATCAAAAATGTTATTATCAATATTGATACCATATCTTAATCGTTGATTTTTGTCAATCACCAGTTATCATTTATTGTGAATTAATAATTAATTAATGATTTTGATTTGTGAAAATAATAATCGTTGATTGACGAAAATAAACATTTAAAATATGGTAATAACATTATTTGGTAGTAACAATATCCTATCTCATTATTAATATCAAAACAAATAATACAAGGTTGAGAATTAGTGGAATTAACAAAACTATTGAATTTACTTCTATTATATTAAAGGACGTAATGTAGAAGAAGTAACTAATTAGCTAAATAAAAAGAAAGAACAAACACAAGAATTGTGAGAAAATATTATTTCTCTTTTTTGAATTTTATTAATCAAAACAACCAAGTAACAATACGGTTCTTCAAGTTTTAAATAGCCAAAACAAAATAAAATTAAAAGGAATATGATCATGCACAATCAACACACACAAGCATAATCTAAAAATAACAAAAAAGATAAATAGCTATAATCATACGCAATCAAAGAAAATAACGCACAATCAACGCACGCTCAAGCATAATATAAAAATAATAAAAAAGGTAAATAACTAGGGAAAAATCTAATCCAAGTCAGTTAGCTCCGATGCATCAGGACATATTTTTGTGTAAAAAAATCTAATATTATAAAAAAAAAAATTAGCATATGAAATATATAAAAATTTTATCTGACATTTTTGTAATGAGATACTAAAGAGGTACAATGCAAATTTTAAATATTTTTTTACTTACCCTTTATAATTTTGACTTTCACCAGCTTATTTTCAGCTTTTCAAAAGCAATCATAATTGATAGTAACGGAATTACCCATAAAAAGGACTACAGGAGTCAAAATCCATGTTTAGTTCACCAGCCAAACCCAATCTCGAACCTCAATCTCAATGTTATAGGCCAAGACTGTGAATTCTCTTCTTGGTTTGTTTTATACATGAGTTTTTCCATTCTTGTTTTGCTTTCTTTCTGTCCATCATGGGTTTAAATGTTTTTTGGTTTTTTATTTAAAATATAAATGTTCCAGCAAGTGCTACAACATACAAGAGTAGTGACCTTCACCATGACAAGAAGACTCTCCCATATTTGTCGTTGAATATTTCTGAGTTGCGGATCACCACACGACCATTTCCCCTTCTCTCTCTGCGTGTGTGTGAGTGTGAGTGTATGTTTGTGTACTCTGTACCTCTCTTCTTGCCTTCTTGGCATTCTATCTCATTTATTTTAATCAACCTTTTTCTGGGTTTATTTGACGCACTTCATTCTCTCATGCCTTCTTAACCCCTCTCTTTTTGTTATACTCATCGGAGCAAAACTTCTAACAAGTGGGTTTTCTTTCTTATAGGTGGTGGGGTGATCTTGTCTTTTTCTCCTTATATTCTCTGTGTTTCTCTGGTCACACTGCCATCCGGGTTTTGCCACCGTTGATGTCTTTGGCCATTGGAGTGGTTTCTAATTGCAAAAGCATGGGTTTTGATGAGAAGCCCAATGAGGGTGCAGATACTTCGGAAACGCAGCACATGGGGAAAATGGCTAGTGACGGAGAAAGTGGTGATGAACGCGGGACGAATCTCAGTAGACACATGAGTGAAAGTTCCATTGCCGTCACCGAAGATGAAGATGATGACGTGGAGAGGAAGATTGAATTGGGTCCTCAGTGCACTTTGAAAGAGCAGCTAGAGAAGGATAAGGTTTACTTTTATTTGCGTGTCCTTGCCTTCGTTATTCTGAAAGATCTATGCTTTGTTCACCTTGTGTATCATTTATGTGTTCGTTGTTTTCTGCTTGAGGCCTTAGGATGATGAGAGCTTGAGGAGGTGGAAAGAACAGCTTCTTGGAAGTGTCGATATGAATTCTGTTGGAGGTAATTACTTGTTCAATTGCTTCCCTTTAAAGTCTGATAGGTGATCGGTTTCAATTTCATTTGTCCAGATTTTCTTTTTCTCTATCTGTTCCCTTTTTTTGGGTAATACAATTGGCATCAGGTTCGGTATAGATTATGCCTGCTGTATCATTTTCAATGAATTATATACCATGCGGGAAGATTTTGAATAATCTTTTGAGAATGTGTCTAGTCATAAGCTTTCTAATAGTGAAATATGATCTAAAACAGAACAAACATCATTTTGCTCAACGTAATTAACTATATTGTGAATCGATCATCGATTTATCATCTTTTTGAGACATGGATAAAAAGTTTGAAACAGGTTCTTTATAATTTTCTGGCCCAAATATTGCTGGTTTTTCCTTTTAATTGCACTGTTTTGATGGTTTACTGACAAGTGATGATTTTTTAACTGGGAATAATTTTAGTAACATTATTTTGTGAATACCAACAAGAAGTTCCTGTTTTGAATCCCCTTGTTGTTCCTTGTTTTATAACTTCCCCTAATTGAAAATACTTTTGCAATAGATTTTTATTTGTCAGTTCTTGACTTGACTTTTGATTGTTTTGTGAATGATTAAGAAACTCTCGAGCCAGAAGTGAAGATCCTGAGTCTTGCAATCAAGTCAGCTGGTAGACCTGACATTGTTCTTCCAATACCAGAGACAGGAAACCCCAACGGTTTGTGGTTTACTTTGAAAGAAGGTAGCCGTTATAGGCTCATGTTCACATTCCAGGTCAACCATAATATCGTTTCAGGTCTCAAATATACAAACACTGTGTGGAAAACTGGTATCAAGGGTAAAAGTTCTCTCACTCAAATCATGCCAAACAAGAATTTTCTCTCGTTGAATTGTCTCATTTTTAAGCCTTTTTGCAGTTGACAGCACTAAAGAGATGATTGGAACATTCAGCCCTCAAGCAGAGGCTTACACGCATGATATGCCCGAAGAGACAACACCATCTGGGATATTTGCTAGAGGGACATATTCGGCCAGAACTAAGGTAGTTTAATGTATAATACATGTTTCCTTAACACTAAACAGGTACTGTTTGACAAAGAGTTAATAAGATGATCTTAAATTTGTAACTTGGTATTCCAAAAAAATAAAATAAAATTGTAACTTCTGCGCATTTACTTTATTGCTGATTTCACGAGTTCCACTACTACATTATATAAGAAAGAAAGAAAGAAAAAAGTGGATCCCAAATTATTGTCTGTGTCCATATTTGTCTCTATGGGGCATCAATAGGCCCATCAATAAATGTTCTAATAAATTTGTTGACAGACTTCATGTGCATACTTCAACCACTAATTTAAAATTCAAATTCCCAAGTCAATTTTTTTTTTTCGTAGAAGTTAATATTTTTTGTATAACCAACAGTCTTTCATGTTGATGATGACTTGCAATTTTGTTTATCGTTTTTCAGTTTGTTGATGATGACAACAAGTCGTATTTAGAGATCAACTACACTTTTGATATTCGGAAGGACTGGCTTTAGGAGTCAACCGGCCTCACCATGAGTGATGTTTAATCCACAGTCATTGTTATTTGAGCTGCAATCTCCTTCAGTGTTTGCTTGTTTATTTTCCTTGGTTTAATCTTTTTTTCTAATCCTGTCTGAGACCAGTAATCATAACAATGACGAGAGGATTTGGCGGAAGAAAATGATATTCATTTGATTTGGTAGATAATTTTGTCAATAAAATTGATTTTGCGTCTTTGGGTGGTGCACAACTATGCTCTCTGTTTCTTCTCAGTCTTGCATGCTCTTTGTAATTAAGCTAATAAGGGAGCAGTTTTCTGAATTTGCTTTATGCCACTAAGTTTTATGTACGAAGCACCCACACTTCAAAAACCCTAACGTATCGTGTCCGACACTTTTCGACACTCTGATACTCCAACACGTGTTATAGAAATTCAAAAAAAAAGTTCAAAGATTAAGTTGCGTTGAGTTTTTAGTTTCAACTATTAGATTCGTTGGATTACGATTATCATTTTATTGAATTTAATATAAATATTTGAGATATCTTATGTTTCTTTGCAAAATTTATGAATATTATAAGTTTAGATACATTTTTTTGTTAAATTAAATGTAATATATACTACATAAATTAAAAATATTATTTAATATCAAGACGTGTCCTAACGTGTCGAAATTTAACATTTTTTAGAATTAAAGTGTCGGAGTGTCGTGTTGTATCGTGTCCCGTGTCAATATCGGTGCTAGATAGAGTTTTATTATGTTCTTTGAGTTCTGTTTAAAATTAAATTAAATGACACTAATATAAATGAGTGGGAAAAAAAATATAATCAGGTTAGTAAGTAACGGTGGAGTCTTCATTACTGATTTTCGAACAAGACATTAGACAGATATGAGCTCATAAACGAACAGTTTGCGAGCCCACCAAGCAAGTCGCTCTGTGTCTCTTTGGGCTTCAATGGGCCACCCTCCCTGCCATCTTCGTCACGTCCCTGGTCTCAGGCCTCGTTCATGAGCTCATTTTCTACTACTTGGGCCGCATCAGGCCCAATTGGGAAATCACGCGTTTCTTCCTCCTTCACGGCTTCTGCCTACACCGTTCGAGAAGCCATATCTCAGCACCTCGCTGCAAGACTTGTGATGCGGGGAAGAAGGTGGAACATCATGATGAACACCTCAGATTGGGAAAAATATGTTTGCGGTGTCAATTAATAAGGTTGATGCATGAGCTGGTTTCCAATTATATGCAGAATAGGAACACTCCTGGGATTCCAAGAGTTTTTAAATTAATATATATTAATTTAATATATTAAATTTGAGGTTTTATTTGTCTAAGAAAAATCTTGTCTTTTACTCTTATTACAATTTTCGTATTCTATTTTTTTTTAAATAAAGTGATTCTCATCATTTGTTTTATGTACAGTAGACAAAATTTTCGTAATGATATAAGAAAAATAAAATTCTTAAATTTTTGTTGTCCATTGTTTGAAATTAATAAAATCGGTTATTCTACCTAACTTTTATTTTGATCTACTTTATCTATTCATTTTTAATATCATTTGATTAAAATCTCAAGAGGAGAGACAAATAATGAGATTATAATCTAATAGCATCGAAGATGAGTAAATAAAAAATGTAAAAAAAAAGGTAGATGGAATATTTATCCTTAAATTAATATATTAAAATTATTTTAATATTTTACTTTAGAAGTAAAAATATAAAATTGACTATAATTAAAATTAATTTAGAAAATAAAATATAATGTGTGAAATAAATTATTTTTTCACTCTTGTTGATCGGTATAATTAAGAAAGATCATAAAAATTTATCAAAAAAAAAAGAAGAATATCAGAAATAACTAATAGTTAAGACAAGAAATTATCTAAACTTTTTTATTCTTTTTTTTTATAGCCAACAGGGCCAGAGCCCTAAAAACAAAAACAAAAACAAACAAAACAAAGACAAAACACTAAAACAGAAACAGAAGCTACTGGATCACCAGAGTTCGTGGTCTTCCCACTCCAGTAAGATCAGCCAAATAAATAACGTGAATATCAAGTGGTGGTTCTTCACAAAAAAGATATTGCACAACCTCATCATGCTCCAAGATGAAATTTGTCATCCAATCCGCACAAGTATTTCCTTCCCTGAACATGTGATTGAAACTAACCGACCAATCTTTCTGAATCCATGTTCGTATCCGATAAATCAACTGACTCTTGCGAGCTGCTGCATCCTGGGAGGTGAGCAAGTTGAATCACTTTCAATTATAACGTTACTGTGACCAGAATTCCAAGCTAATTTCAGCCTGCGAAGCACACCCTACAACTCTGCTCTAAAAGAACTACAAATCCCAAGTCTATAGGCAAATCCACCAGCCATCTCCCTACAGAATCTCTCATAACCCCACCACAAGCAGCTATGCCAGAAGCTCCACGAGAGCAGCACCATCTGTGTTAACCTTAACAAATCTCAAAGAAGGAAATTGCCAAGAAATGTCAACGTACATTTTTTTGCGTACACCTGAATGCTCATTTCCTCTCCCCACAACCATCTCAACATCATGAACAAGCTTCTGAATTAAAACCTCTCTCGACCTGAAAGGAGGGATACCAGTGTTATGCATCTTCTCATTTCTCCGTTCCCACACCGTCCAGCAAGTCAAGAAAAACAAAGAAATATTAGTTCCCACAATTATATTTTTTGAAAGCCACTCACCCAAACCTTGCTGATAAAAATCAGAATTTCCATCAATGGAAACCAGACTTAACCAAAGTTGTTTCGTCTCTGTAGGTTGGATTAGTTGTTTATGAAAATTCCCATTAGCTCTGTCCCTGTAACCGGTGTTGTGGCTGCCAGAGATCTCATCTACACTGCAAAAACACATTAGCCAGCCGTATCCGGTTACTGTCCACACCGTGTGAAAAGAAGGGCATCTCGCTTGCTTTCGAGACCCAGCAACTCCAAACCTTAGCCATTGTCGTTTTGCAGCCAACATTCTCGACGACGCGGATCAAGCTGCACTTCTTCCTGCAAATCTATACTTGAGAACTTGGTATTTTTGTGTTTTTAGATATTCCAGTCATATCTTGTGATTCTGGTACATATATATGTTTTATACAAAAGAAGAAGCAAAAGAATAAAGAAGGTCTATACATATATCTTGTGTATGAAATATGAATACAAATTAAACAGGATAAAGTCTCATTCTCTCCCCTACCAGTCACACTACTGAGATGGATCACATCAACACGATGAAGGAGATATGAGGATGTTTTATATGCAAAATGCTTTTTATTACACATCTCCCCAGATATTTTACGAGGGCGTTTTAGTCTGAAAAACTTTCACTCACAATCCGAAATCAAGGAAAAAATAAATACTATATGTAAAGAAAGATTTTTCTTATCCGCATTTTAGTTAAAAACTCAAAAGCTCAAGATGTTTTTTACCTAGGAATTTTTTACATATCTTCATGGTTCATACCAAACATGGTGAAAAATTATTACCAAAACCTACTTACCCATTATTCCAATCAAAAAGACCCATACCAAACACCCCTAACATGTGTCATTAATATATGTCCATCCATTCGAGGTCATTTATAGTGGACCGGGACTTGGTACGCCTTAATCAAAAAAGGAAAGAAAAAAAAGAATGAGATGTAATTTAAAAAAAAGACAGGGATATAAATGTAAGAAATTGTTTCCTTTATTGAAAAAGGAGCATCTAAAAAAATGTGCTCCGAGATCATAATAAAAAAATTCCATCCATTCGAGGGAAATATTTAATATGTTCCCGGACCACCTAATGATTTGGTGCTCCCTCTCACAACACTAATTTTTTTTCCCCATTTTATCCCTGTTATTTTTTTTCTTTTCCAATTTTATTCTTCCATTTATACTAAGGGACCACCTAAAAAATGTGTTCCCGAACCACAATAAATTCTCTCCCATTCGAGGCCTCAAGCGATAAATAAAAACATAATATCAAACGAAGCCAGGGGTGATCAAAAGAAAGAAATTGATGAAGGATGAAGATGTGTTAAAAGAAAATAATTAATAGTCGTAGAGGATACGCGCCTTTGATTTGAAATCGTGACTTAATTATAACATATAATCGAGTATGAAACCCTAGACTGACTGGGTGCGTTTTCTGAATCTCGATGGACCTGCTCTTGAAGTCGTCGTGTGGTGGATGTGGATCCACCACCGATCTCTATGGAAGCAATTGCAAGCACATGACTCTCTGCTTGACCTGTGGCAAGACCATGGCCGAGAACAAGGCCAAATGCTTTGATTGTGGTGCCAGCGTTACGCGCTTGATTCGTGTTCGATTTCTCTACCTATCCATTTTTTATTTTTTATTTTTTTAAAATTTTTGCAAATTGAGAATTTTAATTTAACTGGTTTTGACAATCTTGTGAGTTATTTGGCGTTACATTGTATGGCATTCTTCTTAATTCTAAAATTGCTTTCGGTTTGTTACGTTAACTTGTAAATACAATTGGAACTAATGTACCTTGTCCTTGTTTCTTGGAATATGATGAGTTGTTTGTGACAGGAATATAATGTTCGTGCAAACTCTATCAGCGACAAAAACTACTTCATTGGAAGATTCGTTTCTGGGTTGCCTGATTTTTCGAAGAAGAAAAGTGCTGAAAACAAGTGGTCCCTACAGAAGGATGGCCTACAGAACCGCCAAATTACTGATGCTTTGCGGGTATTGAATCTATTCTCCAATCTGCAAACGTTATCTCCTCTTATCTATTCGTCATTATGGCTGCTTTGCATGTGATGTGACGTGAGTCTAAAAGGAGTGCTTAAGCACCATATTTTAAGATGGAAATGCCAACTGAAAAGTGGTAAACATGTAGTACTGGACACACTGTTTTGTTATGCTAATGAACGAGCAGCACATTAAGTTACAGTTCATTTAGACTATTTTTCGGTAGGGGCCATTAAAAGACGGTTCCATGTTAATCATCTTTGCATTTGCAATGCGTGATTGCTAGTCACTTGTGATAGATCGATCATATGATCATTTCCTGAACAACTTACTTATTGCATTGCATAGGAGAAGTACAAGAACAAGCCATGGCTCATGGAGGACGAAACTGGTCAGTGCCAATACCAGGGTCATCTCGAAGGTGCACAATCAGCTACATATTATCTTCTCATGATGGAAAGGAAGGAGTTTGTTGCCATTCCTGCTGGTTCTTGGTATGCTTGTTGGAATAAGGTTTGTGTTTGTCTGCAAGAATTTTCCCATGACTTCCGCTTGTTTTTCTTTTCCTTGGGATTTTTTTTTCCTTTTTATTTGGAATTATCAGTCAAAGACAGTAGGAAGATATGTGATATGGTATGCTCTTTTTTCTTCTTTTTTTAAGGTACAACTTTAACAAGGTTGCGCAATATAAGCAATTGACTTTGGAGGAAGCAGAAGAGAAAATGAAGAATAGAAAGAAAACTGCAGATGGATATCAAAGATGGATGATGAAAGCAGCAAATAATGGACCTGCTGCATTTGGTGAACACGGGAGATTTGATGACAAGGAGAGTAATGTGGGTGGAGGGAAAAGTCGTAAAAAATCTACTGATGATGATGAAGGTCATGTCTCAGATAAGGGGGAGGAGGATGAAGAAGAGGAGGCAGCGAGGAAGAATAGAATTGGACTTAATAAAAGAGGTGGTGATGATGATGATGAAGAAGGTCCAAGGGGAGGAGACCATGATCAGGATGACGATGATATTGAGAAGGGTAAGTAATTGTCATGTTTGTTCTTTAATTTTCTGATGAAATTGGCTGTGAAGGTTATTATTTTATTTGCGGCTATGGCCTATTTGCTATGTAATTTTATGCCAAGTTTAATCAGAATAGGCACATGCCACTGCTGAGGTCTGACATATTTAATATAATATGGAATAGGTTATTCTACCTACCATTTTTTCTGCCTACCTTTGCCTACCACTCTAAAACACCATTAGATCAGAATCTTAACTAACATTTATCTTTCTATCTCTCCTTGAGATTCTGATCTAACAGTGTTGGAAGATGGTAGGCAAAAGTAGGCAGAAAAAATGGTAGGTAGAATAACCTATCCCATATAATATATCAAATATGAAATGAAGCAATTATTTTACATTATAAACTATGTCTCCTTTTTAAATGCCCTCTACGTTGTCCATCATTTTCAGGATCTTCTTTGATTGCTTCATTGTTTGAGATGAATATGCCTTGTGGAGGATATATCTTAAGAGAGTAAAAAAACCATAGGGTTGAGCGCAATCCATGTAAACGGCCTTACCCTTGCATATTTGCCAAGGGGTTATTTCCAGAATTCGAACATGTGACTTTTCAATCACATAGGATCAGCTTTACCACTACTTCAGGCTCGCTCTCTTGATATATCTTAGAGAGTAAATTGAAAAATCAAATTGACAGCTAAATGAATCGAATTTAGGGAGTTGAGACTTCATATTTTTAGGTTTTGAGACATTTATTTTTGCCTTAGATGCAGCTGGTAGTAGAACTAGAGAACAGATGCAGCTTATCAATGCTAGTTTGGGTCTACTTCTACTTGTTGATTTATTAGTCTCACTAATTAATGTGACTATTTACTTAATTAGTCCGTATAAGTTTATTTTCTCATTGGCATCCTTTGCTAGAGTCATTCCATTCTGCTCACATATTTAATCTTAACTTGGCAAGAATTGGCAACATTAATAGGCTTTTTGGAGTTTATAATCTAGTTGAAAGCTTGAAGAACACTTCATCAGGTCTATGTTTATTCTTTCTGCTAATTGTACATATGTTATAGGTGATGATTGGGAGCACGAAGATATTTTCACTGATGATGATGAAGCTGTTGGCAATGATCCTGAGGAAAGGGAAGATTTGGCTCCTGAAGTTCCTGCTCCTCCTGAAATCAAGCAGGTTAGTTTCAAGTTCCACAGATACATATTTGACTAAGAAGTTGATGTTCTACTGCTGATATTTTTTGTCATTATGTTGCCATTTATGTGTTGTAGCTATTTCAAGAATTTTTGTTGAGATAATATTTTGTATGGATTTCTCTATGGATGCAAAATTGATTGTGATATAGTAGCTACTTCATTATGTGTTCTTTTTTGTCACCCTCCAAAAGCTATATTCACACTGGATGCAAGAAACCTTTGTGATTAGTAGAAGGTTAGCACAAAATCAAGAAATAATTTTCTTGGTGAAAACACTTGAAAGATAATGATACAAACAACCATTTATAGAGGAAATTCATCTGGAAGTGTACCTTCATAGAGCAGCGCAGCCTGTTTACACCAGCATCAGAATGTTAGGACTTGACTAAACTAGATATATTATTTTCAGGTTTTTACTGTGTTTTCATTTCATGAGTTCCTTGGTTCCCATTTATATGGATGTATGTTATATCCATTCAGTCATTTTCTGATATCCTTAATTGGTTCAATGATGTTCTAATCTTTTTTCATGTGGGTTCAATAACGTTCCAACCCAGTTTTGGAAACTAATCCTCATGATATCCTTAATTGGTTCAATGATGTATTATAGGTTATTGAACTTTTAAATATAATAATATAAAAATGAATAGTCAGGAAATTTCAAATTTGGATTTTGTTATAGTTTGGATTAGACAGAATTCTTGACTTTTTTTATTTTAAATTTAATTTTAGGATGATGACGATGAGGATGAAGATACTGAAGGAGGGGGAGGTCTAAGTAAATCTGGAAAAGAGCTGAAAAAGCTGCTTGGACGAGCTGGTGGTCTGAATGAATCCGATGCTGAGGAAGATGACGATGATGAAGATGTATGGTTCTGTTCCTTATTTTATTTCTTTTCACTTCTCCATTTGTTTATTTTTTGGTTGATGTACCTATAGTTGTTCAAGTGTTCTTTATGCCACTAATAACATGAAAGGAATGTAACTCTGTGCAAACTGCAATATTTTTTGGCGAGGAACAGATTGCTTTTGCATTTGCGTTGACCTTCTGACTTCTCCAAAAGGGGAAACGGCTGGTTAAAGTTAAACCAATAGCTTGGCTTTCATTTAAACATATTGTTGAACTATACTTGAGCATTTTTCATCCATTAATGGGTCAGTTTGGTTTGTTTAGATGGATGATGAAGTTGGCATTCCTCCTGCAATATCTTCAAAGCAGAAGGATGCACCTAAGGAAGAACCTGCTGACAATAGCCCTTCAAAACCTGCGGCAACAGGAACTGCTCGAGGAACAACATCTTCTTCAAAGACTTCAAAGGGGAAGAGAAAATTAAATGAGGAAACAAAAACATCTAATGGTGCACCTCCAAAGAAGGTGAAAACAGAAAATGTATGTCATTTGCTTTTCTGATATTGCTTAATTATGCGGGCCTTTTGTTATAATGGTTTAATTTTGATCCATGCGTAAATAAGTTTTAACTATCATCCAATCATGAATCAGGAACCAAAATCATCTGTCAAAGATGAAAATGGGTCTGCATCTAGAAGTAATGCTCCTCCAAAAGGTATACTGCCAGCACCATCATCAAAAGTAGGGTCTTCCACCATAGCTTCTGGACCCGTGAGTGAGGAAGAAATCAGGGCTGTTTTAATGCAAAAGACTCCTGTGACCACACAGGATCTTGTAGGTAAATTTAAAGCAAGACTAAGATCTTCAGAGGTAAGCTCCATCAAAAGAATTGATTTCCCTTTATTGAGCTGCATTTGTTTGCTTTGCCATTCTTATGACCAATGTGTGTATGCCACCATCTCAATATGTCTTATTTTCTCAATCGAAGCCTTCTAGTCAAATTTAGATCCGTGGAAGAATAGAACTTGGTTCTTGGAAATTATGTTATGCGTTGCTTTCTATGGATACAATATTTAATATTACTTAGAACGAATTTGTGACTAGCTAATGTAAGATTAAAATGATGGCATCTAAGAATATTTTATGGTAATTTGGGGAATGAGTGTCTTGTTCCATCATATGGATAAATGAACTTAGTTTGTTAGAATAACAAATCTGACACCATGTTGTGCATAGCTTGAGGCCAGATAACTGAGCTAAGGATTAAGATGGATGGCATTTAGAAGTAATGTTTTGCCATGCTCTGCCTACATTGAATATACACATTGCGCGCCTTTGCTATGTGCAGGACAAAAAAGCTTTTGCGGAGATCCTGAAGAGAATCTCCAAGATATAGAAGACAGTTAATGGATCCAGTTATGTTATCTTGCGAGATAGGTGACAATGTATTACCCTTGATTGGATTTGGTTGTGCTGGATGGCGCATCAATATATATTTAAAAAAGAAATAAAAAGAAACTAATACTCATCACCATTTTTGAGAAGCGGTGAGAAGTTTTGTATTGTTATTGTTCTGCCGTTTTCAATTTCAACAGCCCCCTTCCCCCTTTTTTGTTCGTTATGATTTACGAGGCACGGTATGACTAGAGATTTTCGGCACACCATTTGCTATTGTAGCACAGTATTATAAATAACCTATACCCTTGAAATAGTAAAATAAAAGAATGACAAAAAGTGGGAGCAATGGATTGACACGAAGGAGATTACGCATGGTTAAATAAAATAAATGACTAGTAATATCACAAACAAAAATCTTATATATAGAACAATGGATAAATCTTGATAATTTGTGTTGGGAATCCAAGTATGAGTAGTGAAGTTTTATGCGGGTTAAAACTGGAGTAAATAAATTTAATACATGAAGTTTTTGGGTTGGGTTGAGATGTAGTGTTGATACAAGAGATTCATCATGAACTAAATGAGAAAATAGATATTAAATCCTAGTGAATTGATATATATAGGATCCCAAATCTCAACAAATTATTCTCTTAGGGGCTGTTTGGTTGAGGATTTTCAAAGATTTATCTATGCATATCATTTTGAGAAAATGTGACATCCACGCTTGGTAGAGGGTTTTGAAATATTTCCCCAGCTCTTATATTTACATAGCAATCCAGAAATGCTTGTAAAAAGCAACTATAAATCATTGTTATGAAAGCCAAGTAGATGGTGGTATTCTATAGTTAGCCGGCAAAATGTTAAAAATGGCATCCATTTGCAAACCAAAATACCCTCGCGCGAGAGGTGTTGATGCAGCTGACTTGATCTTATTCATGCTGGAGCTTAGTTTTCATGTCATTGGGGAGGCATATAATATAAACACAGTGACTGATTTTCAGAGGAACATAATTAAGGACCTAGAAAACCTTGGACTGGTCAAACTTCAGCAGGGAAAGAAAGAAAGTTGGTTCATACCAACGAAATTGGCAACCAATCTTTCAGTGAGCTTGTCTGATTTATCATCTCGAAAACAAGGATTTGTGGTTGTGGAAACAAATTTTAGAGTTTATGCATACTCATCTTCAAAATTACATTGTGAGATATTGCGGCTGTTCTCAAGGATAGAGTATGCACTTTCAAATCTTATTGTTGGAGCTATTACAAAAGAAAGCTTGTAGAACGCTTTTGAAAATGGCATTACAGCAGATCAGATAATCAGTTTTCTTCAGCAAAATGCTCATGCTCGAGTTGCAGAGAGGATACCATCTGTGCCTGAAAATGTCACAGATCAGATTAGACTGTGGGAATCAGATCTAAACAGAGTTGAGATGACAGAAGAATATTTATATATAAGGGTTATTTTGTAATTTTGTCATATTTTCCCATCAAAATAGCCATCTCAACCAAACATGAACTCAATATATTTAATTCAATTTTTTCAGTAAAATTTCATTCAACCAAACAACTTTTTTTTAACTTTCCTACCTAACTCATTTTTCAACCATTTCTCTATCAATTACATTTCTCTAGTATTCAAAAAATTTCTCCTCAACCAAACGCCCCCTTGTTGCATTCATTTCCTCGGCAAACAAGGCCCGTAGACAGTAGAGTTATTGTTTTTTTGGAGATTGGCATGTAGACTTATTAATTGTACACGAAGCACGATTGAGTCTACTTAGTGAACCCAGCCCGTTTAACCACCGAAACCGCTTTAGGCCCGCAAGATCCTTGTGTCATTTTTTGAAAAGAAAGAAATACCAAAAGGAAAGGTAAGAAAAGAAAGGTAAGAAAAGAAAGGAATTTGTTTTTAATAATACATTATCAGAAACAAAAAAAATAGTGTATACATAGTAATTTAAAATATTTACTAAAAAATTATGAATTTGTAATATTTTACTTTAAGTGATTGTAATTTAAAAAAAAAACATTGAAACAGTCTCTATGACATTTGTAACCTAATTGTTGATTTTTGAACAGTATCATTTTTGTGTTGAATGCGAACGCTGATCATTTTTGAACAGTATCAGTTTTGAACAGTCTATGACATTTCTCAAAATATTCAGTATAGTTTACATCCAAAGACCAAAGTGGAGAGTAAACATTTTACAAAAAGTATAATTGTATTTTATTTGTATAAATTATATAGTCAAACACAGTCACATATTTTCGTTAAGTTATGATAATATTTTGGTCTTATTATAGGGGAGATTATACTTATTTTTTTTCTTACCATTTATTATTATCAATCTTGTTATCGTTGGATCAAAATCAAATCAACAGCTCTCACTTGATGCTACTTTGTAACCGTTGATTTGATCTTTATCTAATTATTACAAAGTTGGTAGTACGAGGTGGTAAAAAAAATGGTGATAAATATAATGTATTTCCTTATTATAACATTTTTTTAGTGAGCTAAATCTTATATTATAAAGGAATTCCATTATGTGGAAACCTTGCTGACGTGTCGCACTGTGGTTCAATTTCACCAATGTGTTCACACTACAACATTTAAAAAAGTTTCCTTTAATGGTAAATCGGTGAATATAATAAATACAAAAAAAGAATTATATTTTCAATTGACAGGATTTGTTACTTTAAATCAATGGTCAAGATTGCTTATTCATTGATTTATAACTACTAAATCACGGCTTTTTCACCTTTTTGCCCCTTATTAATTAATTAATAACCATTTTGCCCCTGATTCGAAACTATCTACCAATCTGCCCCTCTTTAATCGACTACCTTGCATTTTTAATCGACTAAACGGTTGTTGGGAGATTTAATCGACTAAATCTCTCTACTTAATCGATTAAAATCATACTGGCTTATTTTTTTTTTTTGTAAAATATGAAGATTTAGTCGACTAAATAGGGAGATTTAGTCGACTAAATCTCCCAGCAATCATTTTTTGTCTGTTTTGGTCATTTAGTCGATTAAAAATGCAAGGTAGTCGACTAAAGAGGGGCAGATTGATAAATAGTTTCGAATCAGGGGCAAAATGGTTATTAATTAATTAATAAGGGGTAAAAAGGTGAAAAAGCCACTAAATCACTCTTCGTCGTCATCTTTGTTTTTTAAATAATTGATGTTGATCATGTAATCTAATCGTTTTTTTTAACCTTTATTCAGTTTAATTCAAATCTTTACGTTTTTTGAAAAAAAAAAGGATATTCATTGTTATTAAAACAAATGACTGTTTTATTCCATGAAATGACTGTTAAAAAACGGGATATTCATTGATTTATAACTTCTTAATCACTCTTTGTCGTTATCTTTGTTTTTTAAATCTTTATTCAGTTTAATTCAAAAACTTCACATTTTTTAAAGAATACAATTCTATTTACTCGAAAAAAAATTAATTAGTAAAAAAAAAAATCATACATATCCCGACCTTTGTTCCTTATTTTCAGATTTTTAAATTTGAATCTTTTATTAACCTCTTGATTTAGTGGAATCAGGTATGAGTGTTTTGTTATTAGAAAAAACTTCTGTTTTATTCCATGAAAATCTCATTTATAACTACTAAATCACTCTTTTGTCGTCATCTTTGTTTTTTAAATAATTGATGTTGATCATGTAATCTAATTGTTTTTTTAACCTTTATTCAGTTTAATTCAAATCTTTACGTTTTTTGAAAAAAAAAATGGGATATTCATTGTTATTAAAACAAATGACTATTTTATTCCATGAAAATCTCATTTATAACTACTGAATCACTCTTTTGTCGTCATCTTTGTTTTTTAAATAATTGATGTTGATCATGTAATCTAATCATTTTTTTAACCTTTATTCAGTTTAATTCAAATCTTTACGTTTTTTGAAAAAAAAACAGGATATTCATTGTTATTAAAACAAATGACTGTTTTATTCCATGAAATGACTGTTAAAAAATGGGATATTCATTGATTTATAACTACTAAATTACTCTTTGTTGTTATCTTTGTTTTTTAAATCTTTATTCAGTTTAATTCAAAAACTTCACATTTTTTAAAGAATACAATTCTATTTACTCGAAAAAAAATTAATTAGTAAAAAAATAATAATTATACATATCCCGACCTTTGTTCCTTATTTTCAGATTTTTAAATTTGAATCTTTTATTAACCTCTTGATTCAATGGAATCAAGTATGCGTGTTTTGTTATTAGAAAAAACTTCTGTTTTATTCCATGAAAATCTCATTTATAACTACTGAATCACTCTTTTGTCGTCATCTTTGTTTTTTAAATAATTAATGGTTATCATGTAATCTAATCGGAAGTATTTCAAAGACTGTTATAGTATATTGGGTTCTTTCTTCAAAGATATAACTTCGTTGTATGGTACAGGTAAAGACAAAAAAAATGATTGTTTATTCGCGTCTCTTTTCCTTATCTATCTTCAAAGATATGACTTTTATTATCCTATTTTCTTTCCTATTTTTAATGTAACAATGAATGGCTGTTTTGTTATTTAAAAAAATGACTGTTTGGGACCTTTGAAATACTGACAAAATGAGTTCGGCCCGAAGGGCCGACCCACCATGCCAAACAAACCAATTTTTTTTCCCGTGCATCGGCACGGGTAATTCACTAGTTATATATATAACTCATAGAATTTGTGCAAGTTGTTTTATTCTTTTCTAAATGGGATTTGCAAGGGAGGTTAGGGCATATACCAACTTTCATATTTCCTTCAATTCCACAAATAATCCCAATTACTTAAAATAAGAGTTATTTTATTGGACGAAGTATGTGCACAATTATGTTATTATTATCACCATCACAATTAAAACTGAAGTAGGGTTATTTGTTAACGAAAAAAAAAAATTCATCATTACAGATCCCTCACATAATTAAAATCAATAGATAAAATAATTTCACCCTCAACCCAAAAAAATTTGGGTTATTAATTAATCCTCCAGTGAGGTTCTGCACCCAAATTGTAAGTGTATTTAGTTTTTTTTTTTTTTCTTAAAACTTTATTCTATGGGTGATTGAGCCATACATTTCCATTAAATTTCACCCCTTTTCTCCAGATTATCTATAGTGATAAACTTGGAAGACACAAACGGTTAAAGGATTAAGAAAGTCACTATCCCTGGAATCCCATTACATAGCACAGCAATATGAATGCAAGAGCAAGCCTGCTTCAAAATCTGGAAGAGACAGAGACATAAGGAAGAGTATCCACTGCTAGTCTGATAAAAGGCTCCTCAGCAGAATCAAATGAATTTTCTCTGCAGTTAGGTCCCATTAATGAGAAAATTGAGTCTTCACTATTATAAGGCTTTTTTTGCTCCTCTTCTGAGCATAATGAGGCTTCATTGCAATAAGGCTCTTCCGGTGAGTAAAGTATGACAATGTGAGGAAGTTTAAAGCTCACCTTCTTGTGTGATTTCCCACTCAAGCTTCTGGAAATCGATGATGAACAATTTGACATTCCTTCACTTTCTACATGATTACGATACATGGGTCTGTCCAAGCACAAACTGTCTTTGGCTTCACCTATCAGAGACCTACGAAGTTGACTTGCACAAGGGTGCACTTTTTTCTTAGATTGCTTAAATGCACAGTGTTCACCTCTTATTAGGTAGTCTGGCTTCAAGCCAGGAGGAGAAGCTAATATCCAATCTTGTAAAGTCAATTTCTTAGCCATGTGAATCTTCTTCTTTGGTGTCTCCATCTCTATCTTTCTTTTCACACACTCTGGTTTAATAAACTCCTTGAATGATGATGATCGTGACCTGCCATCTCTACCCCCACGAGGTGATTCAGATATTTGGTCTGATATTGGGTGTCTAGGAACACAGAGTTTAGCACCCATTATACTATAAGAAATCAGAAGAATGAATATGAAAGAGAAGTCAAGGGGGAGAACATAATGACATCTTTTGGGGTTTATAAAGGGATTCTCAGACGGAGAGGCCTAGAGGAAGAATTGGATATTATCAGTGTTGTAATTTTCTAAGTACTCCAAATTTGACTTCATTTTCTTATGGTTTCATATCTTATTTTGGTGCTTAGGATTGCCATATGAGGACAACAGAAACGTTAGTTCCTATTATTTATCTTCAGGATTTCAAGAAGACATAGTTTATATGCTGACACCTCATCCAAGGAGTTTGATAAAATCTAAATTTGTACAAATTTGGTGGTAATAATGATGGTGGAAAATCACAAAAGGACAAAATTACCAACAAGAAATGGGTGATTCATTTCTCATGTCATGATTTCCACATATGAAATGACCTTTATCAGTCAATATATTTCCTCCACCTTTCCTATTATGAAGTTCCGTTTAGAGTTTTTGTCTTTATTCTTTGACATTGCTGGATAACCTAGATTTTAATCCCTCTTTCTCATTCTTAGAGGCATATTATTTTCAGTTTTATAATGATAAATTGTAGCTTGCAATTGCAAACGTCATGCATCGTTCTCAATGGGTATTAACTATTAACTAATAAGTCCAAGGAAGGTTCTTCTATAACAAATCATAAATAACTGCTACACCACTAATTATTCAACATTAATTAAGCAACCTAGGTTCATGAATAAAAAGCAGGATATATCACTAATTCGTTGGCTTCAGTATGATCCTAATCCACTGTTTAAGGCAGAGTCTCACAATTTCTGTATTCCTCGTTGGGTTAGTACATGACAATTAGCTGACTTTAAAGCGAAACAATATCTGGTTTACACACAACCCCCCTAAATTAGATTCAAGGAACAATGCATTGCTAAAAAGTTTGGGTTATAAGCAATATTGTTACCAATATGACTTTTTAGAAAATTGTAGTTTCAGTCGAGTAAGAAAATTTAAGCACAGCCTTTTTGAAGTATATAAATATGATAAAAATGTGAGCAACACGATGTCATAAAATAAAAGAGTAGAGAATTGTGATATAGAAATAATATTACTCTAATCCCAGAGAGCTAATGAGCTGACGCTTCTCCAGTCACTAACAAATTGTTAACATTTGTACATTCTAGAAACTAATAGCAGGCAAGTAATTGCAAAAATACTATTAAGGTGGTTAGAGAATGATATAAATTATTAAAAAGTTCTTACCTACTAGCTTAAGATTTTTGATTGAATTAGTTTTTTACATGATATCAGAGCCTCGGTGTCACGGGTTTGATTCTCAAACTCCCCCACTTTTTCTTGTGAAACTTCTTAGTACAGGTACGTTAGACTTATGGATCATCCACCCTTCAAGTTCATTGAGCGTGTTAGAGAATGATATAAACCATTAAAAAGCTTTCACCTACTAGCTTAAGTTTTCGGGTTAAATTAATTCTTTACAAAAGATCTCTGTTGGTGTGCCTTGAGTAAACGACGTTACTGCCCTTTTGTATTTTCCCTCAACTCTTTGCAAGCTTGTAACTTACAGTTAATTAAGGATATCAAATCAAATTGCGCCGTCTTCTTAAAATTTAAAAGGTTTTGCGAATTAAAAATGTCCTATGTCAGACTAAGCTTGGCTTCTCTATTAGCAAGGAGGAAGGCTTCTCCCGTTGTGCTTTGATATCTCAAACTATATTATTCATTTTGCAGTCTTAGTCAGTTAGCTTTCCTCGCCTGGCAGAACCAATTTTTTTGAAATTGCATTGTGTTTTCAGTTGAAATTATTTTTTATCAGGTATATGTTTATTTCATCATATACTTTATTTTGAAAAAAAATAAAAATTATCGATAGTTCTATTCATTTCAGATTCTGTTTAACCTAACATTCGAAGAACAAGAAGCTCTGTAAGAGGCTTGGGAAAATGTTGCAAGAGGTGATTCAAAAGCTTTGTTAGTTCCAAGCTCATGCGTATTATCCATTCACTCTCTACTCTATTCCTTCATTTATGACGGGAATGAAAAAGATACTTTGTACATTTAAAAAAAAATTCTCCTCTACCAAACGTTCCCTTAAAATAATTTCGGGAGCTGTCAAGTTGTATGCATTGTATCTTCCCATTGATATAGATGCTTAACAACGAGGGAAAAAAATACTTCCAGGAATTAAGTTAAGCAATTTCCTCTTACCTATTCCATTATAATAACTGGTAAATATCTTTTTTCTGCTATCAAATGTAGCAAATATTATTGAAGGAAATGCAGGATATAACTTTTGAAGAAATTTTAGGATGGGATACAATCTCTGGTTAACAATAGTCCCTCTGAATATGTAATGTCTCACGTTCTTTCTTCAGAATGAAGACATAAAGTTCTTTTACCACTTCTGCACTCAATGCGTAGATGTATTAAAAAATGCGTAGATATATAATCATCATTGCGTAGATATGCACTTTCTATAGGAAAAATCCGCAGTGAAAAGCAACAGCAAACACTCTATGACATTAAAAACCGCTCCAAAAACAAGTTAGTAATATACCAAAAAATAAACCCGAATCGAGTTACACAAGACATTACAAGTAGAATTGTGAGGATTGATTTCACTGGGGAACCCAACAACATCCGGCACAGCAAAATTAAGTTTTTGGTTGTCATAACAATTTTAAATCCAAGAAAGGTCCAGGCTCAAGAAAGTATCGATGGGATAAATATTGTACATGTCCTACTTCCAGAGCAGATATGTAAATAATCAATCATCATTTTTAAGCCAATCTAAACCACAAAAGCAAAAAATCTAAGGACACAGATGGTTTACTAACATATTATCCCGCCAAAATATATCATGACAAAGAAGCTTCTTTCTTTTTCCACGAATTTCTGTCACTGGCTTTTTGGTTTCTCAATCTTCACATAGGGTAAAACACCCATTAAAAGAACAACTTTTGGAGACCACCCAAGCTGTTGAGCACGGCAAAACATCAAAAATGTGTTTCCGAAGTAGATATTGAAGCCTATGCAGACATGCCACATAGCATGACCCTGTGGGTTAACAGGCCAACTGGATATCTCCTTGCAGAACACTCGATCAGAGAGCCAAAACAAACTGCCTAGAACAAGAGTAGCTACAAATAGCTTTGCGAGCCTCTTGGCAGAAACATCTTTAGTGTACATATAATACTTGTACATTCTCGGAATGCAGAGGAGACAGAGAATGACATAATGCACTTTGAAGACAATACCAAAACGGAACACATAATGGGCAATGGCAAAAACAGCACCATACACAAAGAGGAAGATGGGCATTGTACTGCGGTAGTGCCAATCTGGAGAGTAGAGGATGTACATATACAGCAGCACCTCCCATACCATAGGAGTTTCATCGCTTTGCTGTTGCCTAAATTAAAGCGCAACATCTGAACAATAAATAGTCATCCAAAACAAACGGACATTGAATTATTGATGAACAAACTATATAATCAAACCTTCCCATTTTTATAGGGGACACAAACCTAGAAACCTAACAGTACTTATTCAGCAGAAGAAAAATGTCACTGAAGAGGATTAATTCTTAGAGAACAGTCATGCAATTATAAGCATAAGAATCATTAGTCCCTAAAACAACTACATATCACACGTACACTCATTTAAATCACAACTTTCTCCATCCCTCATTCTAACCCTTGTTTTATCTATAAAATAAATTAAGAAACTAACTATTCATTCTACTGTCCAGAATTCAACACTTAATGCATCTAAAGAAAGATCATGATCTTAAGGATTGTAATTAAAGAAAGATCACGATCTTAAGGATTGTAATTATTACGCCAGTAGCAAAGTGGTTCAACAGTCAAACATGACCATAAGTTATTTTATAGCCACAACATCATATTGAGCATTCCAGTGCAAACCCCATCGGAAAGTATATCCTTTCTCCGACCAACAAAGAAGGGTAAAATTTTATCCAAAGATTAAACTACACAAATATTTGGGAAAAATAGAGATAAAACGATATTAAAAATTAGCCACCTAATTTAAAAGCATAAGTGGCTTGTGTTATAATAACTAGACTTGTGCTTGAACTGGAGTCTTTTAATTATTTTTTAAAATTTTGTTTAATTATTTCCACCCTCTCTTATTTATGTCTTTGTATCCCACTTTCTCTTTTTATCTCTCCACATGTTAAAATGGACGGTCACAAATCCTTCAAAAGCGGGATTGGTGAGCTAACAGTATTTACAAATTTCATTGATTTCTTCAAAAATAATTAATAATAAAAAGGAGACACAGAGGGGGGGTATTATAGAATATAGATAAACTTTAGTTGCTTGAGATAAAATAGTATGCATGAGTGAGATAGAATGAATAAAAATGTGATTTTTTGTAGGTTCAGAGCAAAGCAACACTTATAATATGAAAATAAACTGAACCAACATATGCATATGCATGTGGCTAGAGTATGGTGATATATCCCTTGCAAACATATTAAATCTGAATTCTTCAATTATGTGACAAACAGTTCTAAAAAAACGCCCAACTCATTTTGTATCATGCAAAGTAACTTGAAATAAAATAGAACCAATCACAAAAGCAAACATAAATTTATATAAACTAACACAAAAATAAAATGATGGTGATCAAAACTTACACAAGTTGCAGTGTGGCATGGTACAACATGCTTCCAATGGCAAGTGTCATATTTGATATGTGAAGAACACTAAATCTTTTCTCAAATCGTTGACTCAATGCATTTATAAGACCAATCAGAGCCAAAAGAATTGTCGGAATATTGGATATTGTGTTATAAAATTCTGCAATGTAAGGCGAATGTGCAAAATTTTGTTCACAACACTCTTTGGTGCATGTGACTGGACCCCAGAAGCTAGATATAGTTTCTGCCATTCTCCTCTACAGCCTGATGATCTCTTTTATCTGTATTTTGGAGCTGCAGAGTTCAAAATATTCTGCAAACAATGTAGCAAGATGCCAAAATCAAATGAATCTCATAACTGGTCTATAGGGATAGAAGCAATTAAGGCAAGCAGTTATCATAGATCGAGTACATGGAACATGTTTATTCACAATGAAAGCATGACAGATCTATTAAGTCAACATAACATGTAAAAAAACATAGAAAAGCGTATTCAGAATATCAGTAGAAAACCTACATAAGGAACTATATTTTGATCAGTATCTTAAAACAATAACTATGTAGATAAAAAATCAACTGAAAAACCCCTCACAATGGAAACTAGAGCAGATATTAAATTTATATTACACGCATACACACCTGAAGAGATATTCAATTTTTAAATAGCACAGAGCTAAGGCATGCACCCTTCACTACAGACAATATGTTAAATCCCAAACGAAAAAGAAAAAAATTGTCAATGCAATTGATGAAATTCAAATGGACCGATAACGTTTCAATTCCATAACAGCCAGCGACGGTGAACTCTGCAATGTCCAATAAACCCTAACAAGCCTAAATCAAATAGGCTCAAAACGGAAACGAGAAGGAAATGAGAAAGAAAGAAAGAAAAAAAAGGCTCTGAAATAGTAATGTTGTTTCCATTATCTCAAGGCAAAAAAAAAATATAGGATATGGAATGCAGAGGGGGCAAGATTTGTTCCTCCCGATGATGCAGAGCGAACCTGCGAGCGATCAAACCTTAAAGTAAGAACCGCAAGCTTCTGCAATTAAGAGCGGCAAGTCGAACATTGATTGGGGGAGGGTCTTGGAGCGTTTCGAGTTCCAAGGTTAAAAGGTGAAGCGAATAATTAGGTCTAGGGTTAGGAAAATTGGCAGAGAGAAAGCAGAAACAGAAGGATGAGGCATTAATATTTGGTGATAGTTTGGAATGTAAAGGGAAGCATTGAGGGAATGAAGTGAGAAGGGAAGAGTAAATCAAACCTTACCTGAATGTGACTCGACTCACTCGGCCGCGAATGCCAGAAAAATCAAATCAGAAATTCAAAAGCCACGACCCAAAACCCATTGGAACGATCGCAACTTGAGTGTCCGTCCGTGCCAATGCCATGCCCTATTTTAAAATACAATATATAATTATAATTTTAAATATAATTTAGCTCGGGTCGGTAATCTGGTCCAGCCCACAATTCCATCACGCGGGTCAAATATAGGCTGAAATCTAAGGGATCGTTTGGTAGAGGAGACATTTTTTTTTATCAGAGAAATATAATTACTTCTATATGGTGAAAAATGAACTTTGGTAGAAAAATTAAAAAAAAATATTATTTGGTTGGCCAAAATTTTACCGAAAAAATTAGATAGAATTTTGTAAGTTTATGTTTGGTTGAAGGTAAAATATAAATGGAAAAATATGGTTAAATTACCACAACAACCCTTGACTAAAATAAAATGGGAAAATATGGTTTTAGTTTGTTGCAGTTTTCTCAAACATCAAAGTCATTTTGGTTTCCTTGCTTGCAATCTTTTTTGAATTTCCCTATCTATCAGCAAATACCAGGTGATATTATTCAACAGTATTTTTTACACACAAAAAGTAAATACTAGGCAAATGAGTTTCCTAGCAAAAATTTTTAAAACATGATACCAAACATGGACATCCAAAAATACCATTTCTATTTATTTATCTATCCTTAACAAAATCTTCTACCAAACACACCTTAAAACACTGCACTGCTCATCTATACGACTATACTCTTTTCCATTTCCCTCCTTCTAACCCAAAATAATAAGGGCTCGTTTGATGAACATGATAAGATAAGTGTAGGATATGATATGATATGAGACTGATAAGCATATATCATGTATTGTGTTTGATGAGCACCTGATTAGCAATCTGATAAGATTAAGTAGAAGGAGAACTGAGAAAGAAAAAACAAATATAATGCAATAAATATAAATATATTGGGTAGCGTATACCAATATTGGGTATTCAATATTGGTATCATATCCCATTTAAATCCTAACCCAGCTCTCCCAATAGGATAAAAAATCATGTATTGGATAGGATAAAATAAGACAATAGGATATGTTAATCATATCCTATTGACCCACCAAAGAAAAGATAAAAGTAAGATATGATAAATTATTTTATCCTATTTTCTTTATGAGGTGTTCCAACAGACCGTAAAATAATAATAATAATAATAACAATGTAACACAATTTTTTCAGTTGTATTAGTATAAATTTGAGCTTGCCATTAATTCTGGATGTTTGACAACTTTTAAGAATCAGATGCTTAGATGCAGAAGGGTGGGTTTTTTTTTGGTGAAATTATGGGGTGATTAAATTTAATATTTTAGTTTTCAATCGAATTAAATTAATTTGACATTAAAATAATTAACGTTTAACATTTCTAGTTCAATTTTTTTTTCTCATTCTTCTTTTCTATATCTGGAAATTATAGGGAGAGAAAGTGAGAGATTTTTTTTAATTTAATTTTTAAATAAAAAATATTATTTTAACTAAAATGACTATTATTTAAAAGGATAAACATTTTTGTTTAGCTTTATAATTCTGGCTTGGTAAAAGTAAATGTAAAAACTGTTTCCTAATTTAACTTGAAGTTTTAGTCTGATGTATTTTATCAATATATTAAAGGATTAAAGACTTCTTATATAAAAATAATTTTTTCTCCTACACATAATAAACATGTAGGTCCTACTAATTTTTTTTTCCCTCTTCTCTTTTCAATTGGACCCATATATATTTATTATGTGTATAGGAAAATATTGTTTTTATGTAACATGAAAAAGTCTTTAACCCTATATTAATTTAGGTACAGTCTAATGTAGATCGGCTTATATCCATTTATATCCCCATCTATGTACCGCGAAGAAATTTGCAAGTTATATATAACTAGTGAATTACCCGTGCCGATGCACGGGAAAAAAATTGGTTTGTTTGGCATGGTGGGTCGGTCCTCCGGGCCGAACTCATTTTGTTAATATTTCAAAGGTCTCAGACAGTCATTTTTTTAAATAACAAAACAGTCATTCATTGTTACATTAAAAATAGAAAAGAAAATAGATAATAAAGGTCATATCTTTGAAGATAGATAAGGAAAAGTGACGCGAATAAACAGTCATTTTTTTTGTCTTTACCTGTACCATACAACGAAGTTATATCTTTGAAGAAAGAACCCAATATACTATAGCAGTGTTTGAAATACTTCCTTGTAAACTATATTAAGGGTACTATTCGTAACGCAGCCATTTTCATCAAGTATCAATATCTTCAATCCATGCTTACTCTTTACTCTAGACAGTGCCACATATAATTGCTCATGAGTGAAGACAAGCTTAGGGAGATAAATTGCAACATGTGAAAGTGATTATCCTTGACTCTTGTTGATAGTCATGGCAAACGATACAATCAGGGTGAATTATCTTCTTTGGAAATTTATAGGAAATGTATGACTCGATGGGCTCATCGTCATTCTAGGGATTAACACAGTTTCCCTATATTGCTTCCTGTAAGTACAATTGCCTCAACAACATGATTCCCTAATTCTGTAATAAGCAATCTCGTGCCATTGCATAAACCTCTCGACTGATCAATATTTCTTAATAGCATTACTGGAACTTTAACTTTCAAGATTAATTTATTATCATGAATCCCTGAGCATGATAATGTATTTAAGATCTCAGGGGTGATTTCATCATCCTCAACAGAGGAAGTCCCACCTTGCTTAAGAATTTTATCCGAATTCAAAAAAGTCCTTTCTTCACCAGGAATCATAGACATTAGGTGCTCGTTTAGCATAGCAACATCGGACAATTTAGGAGTTAGAATAACACGTTCTTTAAAGAAGGTTTGATCCAAAATATTATCCAAGAGATTCGGATAAACAAAATTAACCATATCCGACAGCGGATCTTCCGATTCTCTAATCAACAATTCATCTGGAATTGTTATAATAGATTCTCCATCAACATCATCTCCAAGATTACCATCCCCAACTTTAAGTAGCCACTTAGAAAATTCTTTTATTTCCTCTAAATTGTGAGCGCTACTTCCAGAATTAAGACGCATGTTCTTGGTCAAAGTTAATAAATGACAATGAGACCATAGATGAGAAGAATTGATGGTTGCATAAACTATATCTTGTCTGCTGCCATGAGGAATGACAGGTAATATTTGCCGAAAGTCACCTCCTAGAACAACAATTTTTCCACCAAATGACATATCAACACAACTTGGGGTATAACATTAAAATTCTGCACAATAATAATATCCTTAATCGCGCAACTCAGGAAAAAAAAACCGTGTGTGATTTTTTAAAGAATTCAATCAAAATATGACTTTCAATTTTTTGATTAATTTAAAAAGTTTAATTAATGTTCTAGGATGAATTAAAATAATTTTTTGTCATATAACAATTATTCTCATATGACCTCATCATGGCGGAACACGCGCTTTAGTTTTAGGGAAACATAAATCTTGTGTTCTGGAGAAAGTTATCTTGTGATGTAATCTTGTATCAATTTTTTTTTATTTTTTTTTTTTAAATTATAAACTCCACATATTTGTCTCAACCACATGAGACTCCTATCTTTAATAATATGAGATTAGTAAATCTCTTAGTTTTAATATTTATCATTGCACGGAAATCAAGATAAATATTTATTATTGCATATAATTGATAGACTTAACACACTATGATAAGTTGATAACAGTATTTATTGTTAATGCACAGTTTGACTGCGCTTGTTGATGTAATGTAACTACGTTAATAGAAACCAATACCAATATATGTTCTAGTAATATCTTCCTTCAAACGCAATTTGGCAAACTGAACCTGGACGCTTCTGGCAGTTGGGTTCAGCGAAAAACGTCGTGATTTTTTTTTTTCGTGATTTGGACTACATTCATGCAGCAATGAGTTACTATTGTTTTTTTAAAATGATCTAATTATTACGCGTTTTTATTTAATATAATTGTAAAGAGATATGATATTGTTATTATCCATTGACCAGTTCTAATTTAATTTTCTAAAAATCTTTTTTTTTCTTAAATTTAATATCTTATATTTATTTTTATTTTTATATAGTTATAATTTTTTATATTTAATAATTTCAAAATAAATATGAAGAATTATAAATACCGTTGCTACAAGTACCAACAAACTGCCATCCATACATCTCCACCGTTGCTACAAGTACAAGTCAAGCCGTGTTGTAGGACGCAGTTTTTGTGTCGTCATTCTTACTCCATTTTCGTCTCATCCTCCTTTATATAAACACCATTTCACCATTATAGGCCCACCCACCATGTCATTCGTTTCCTCAATCCTCACAACATTAGTAAACTAAAAGCTGAGCCTTTAGTTTATATATATAGACATACATGATTCAGCAGCTCTTCATTCTCTTTCAGAAGAAAGGCAAAAGAGAATATATAGAGGGAATTAGGCATATATCATGGCAAGGGTACTTCCGGTGAGGTTTGAGAGGGTAGCAGCGGCCTTTGACGCTGACGTGGCACGTGCAAGGGTCTGTGATAGCAGCGGGAGCGAGCACTCGCTGGAGATTAGCTCAACTGATTTATCAGATCTTGTGAAATCGTTCATGGAGAAGAATGAGAGAGGAGGAGGAGGAGAAGGAGAAGGAGAAGATGTGATTGTTGTTCATGATTATAAGGATCGCTAAAAGGACGAAGAAGAAAAGATGGAGTTATTGTTGGAGGGGTTATTCGCTGAGGAGGAAAATGGTGGTGGGGATGCCAAAGAAAAGATTAGGAGAGAGGCTGAACTTGCATGGAAGCTTGTTGGGGACAAACGCCTCTTAATGTCTCGCTTGCGGGAGAGAGGTTTTGATGCTGGTCAGTACTACTAGTCCTCTTTCATTTGTTATACCTATCATTTTCAACCATCCTACCTAGTTGTTGTTCATATTTACTTTCTTTTTTACGCCAAATTATAAATTAATTCAACAATTTAATTTGTTAACTTTGTCTCGGACTCTCGGTGCATGTTTTTTCATACTTTTTAAAAAAAATTCTCTGAAGAAGTTTAAAAAATCATTATATTTATATATATATATATATATATTTATATATATATATATTTATATATATATGGATATTCATCAACCGATTTAAACCGCGGTGACCAAACTGAAAAATTGAAAACAAAAAAAAATCACAAATTTTAATTGGATTTGATCGGTTTTCGGATTAATAGATGAAAATCGATCCAATATATTAATTTTCCTCTATCTACTTGGATCTTTTCCCAATCATATGTCAAAAATTTCTAAACCCAAGACTTATTAACCTATCAATTAAATCCAATAAAAAATCTAGTCACATCTCATTAACAAAATTTCATCTATGTATAGCTTCATATCTCATTATCCAAAAAAAAAATATATATATTATATTATCGGTTTACTGATGCTTTTTTATTTTAAAAAAACAATTTACGAAGCCAATATATACAAAAGATGTTATTTGCACAATAATAATGAAATAAATTTTAGGATTTTCAAAAAACTGAAAACCGCTCCAATCCAAACCAAAAAAACTGGATTGGATTGGATCGGATTTGAAAAAAATTCAAACTTAATAGATGTATATGATCAAACCGAAGGGATTGGATCAAATAATTTTTGCTTTCAAAATCGATCCAATCTAGATCGCGAATACCCCTATATATATATATATATATCAGGGGTGACAAATTCGTTTGGGGTTTTGACAAAAACTTATACGAAAGAATGGGTGTAGTGTATTATATTTTTGTATTCAGTTTCACACATTAGAAAGTGGTTGCATAGAATAAAATGGTTCCTACCTGTTTATTACTCCTCTCTACGTCGTTTAGTATTATGGAATATGGATGGAAAGAAATGAAGGAAGCTGATTGGAAAGAAGAAAAACGGAAGAGGGAAGTAAAGAATTTGAGAAGTTTTGCTTCTCTTGAAAAGGAAATATGATTCTCTTTATCTGATTGAAATTTTTTAAAAATACAAATATACATAAATATATATTAAATTACTTTATTGTTTTTATTCGATAAAATTTATTTATATGGAGAGGGATAAAATGGAGAGTAAAATAATGATACCCACAAAAATATATTGTTTTCCATAGGGGGAGAGATGTGAAAATGTCAAATTGTTTTTGTCTGGCAACCTTTCTCTTTACATACCAAAAAAGCCTTTTATTAATTGATACCATTCCGACCTGTTCGTTTGAATTGAGGGGAGAAAGTGTTGTCAGTCGTGAACAGCCCACAGATATATATTTTTCTCTATGGAATAGCCCCACATAACAATTTTTTTAACTTTATGGGAATCTTAAATGGAATATCCACATATTCTTGTCCAAATAGCTTATGGAAGTTGCCATCGGTTAAGTTCATGTGATATGATGATATACCGCACTATCTTATCCTGCGTGATCTTTTCAGCTTCTTTCCTTTATTGGAAATAGTAAAGCCGGCGTAGCAAAAGCCTAAAAGCAGAACTATATATCGTAATCGTGGACCCTTTAATGTGTGCTATTTATTGTATTTTTGTTTTCTTTCAAATTATGGGTCTTCTTTTGATGATTTTCTTACTTTTTATGCACAGGGCTTTGCAAATCTAAGTGGGGGAAAAATAGAACATTCCCAGCTGGTGACTATGAGTACATCGATGTGAATTTTGCTGGAAATCGGTACATTGTTGAAATTTTCCTTGTTTCAGAATTCGAAATAGCTCGTCCCACAAATCAATATTCTTCCTTGCTAGATGTTTTCCCTTCAGTATTTGTTGGTAAAGTTGAAGAGCTCAAGCGGGTTGTGAGGCTGATGTGCACTGCAATTAAGGGCTCTATGATAAGCATGGATCTCCATATACCTCCATGGAGAAGAAATGGTTACATGCACGCCAAGTGGTTTAGTTCTTACAAGAGAACAACTAATGAAGTTGCAACTAGAAAGGCATCATCTCCTTTGTCTCATCGAGCTTTTCCCAATAAAAGATCCATCGGATTTGAAGCAATTAGACCCATGAAACCATACAATTGCAGAGATGTTCATGGTAGTAAAACAGCTTTCAGAGTTGGCCATTTAGCTGCTGCGTTTGCTGCAGATGGCCTTGGGGTGCACTTGTAGTCATATTGATGCTACATGTGCATAGAAGTGTTTTTTTTTTGTTGTTGTTGTTGTTGATAAGTGATTGTGTCAAGTGCCTTAGCTCAAGGCATAAAAAGTGCTTCAGAGCAAAAAATTTCTGTTAATGTTCTGGCGTAATTTTACCTTTTGAGTAGGAATAGAAAGCACATATGGTAGCATATTTTTCTTTATTCGAGATAATAAATAATGAAAATCAGTGTAAATGACGGTGGCAATGAATTGATCGAGCCTTGAAATATGCAGAGTTGCTAAAATTTCGGTCTCCAGCTTGCTTTGCCGAACTAATGGTTCAACAAAGTAAATTATTTCTATATGCAACAAAGCCACCATAAAAATCACCTCTAGCATCTCACACAATAAAAATGTGTATTTCAACTTAATTTATTTTATCGTTGCGGGATAAAGGGAATGAAGTAAAACTCTCCCACGAGACAATTATGAATTAGATAGTGCTATATGACAGATCAAATTGCTCATCCAGAAAGCAAAGCAGTGAGTGGACAATTTCTACATTATCATGATATCTTTGTTACTGAAATACTTTATTTAAATGATTAGAGTTTGAAGTAACCGATGGATTCCATCGTCAAAAGGTCGAACAATATCGACTTGGTCGCTACTGGGTGAATAGATTATTGATTAAATCAATTAAAATAAATTTATATAAAGATATGTAATAAACATATAAATATACTAACATAATGTGATTCAGTGGTTTAACTTTTTACATTTCTTTCTACTTCAACCATGAAAGATACAACCCGTCGGGTTGGTCAAATTTTAATACCACTGGACAATGTTTTCAATTTAACCCTACCTTTGTAGAAATTAGCTAAAGCTTGTACTTATTACATTGATAATAATTAGATTTTAAAATCCGAGTGAAGGAGAATTAATAGTGAAAACTAACATATTTCGTTTTCCATTTAACATGATCATAAAATCCTAACTATAAAGATGATTCTCTCACATGTTAAATAAAATGGGAAGATCTATCTTCCCATCATCATAGAGATTAGAAAGTCGAACAATGCGAGAACACGGGCCGAGGTTTTCGCTTTATACATTGATCATAAAAAATGTAGATCTTAAAATTCGATTGAGGGAGAAATTAATATTGAAAACATATAGTATATTTCGTTTTTCATTCGGAAAGCTCAAGCCTCGTACCATAGTTAGGATAAAAGGAAAAAGGCCTGTTTAAACCATGGTTTTGAAATTTCAGAAAACCAAACACGCTATGTGAGAACTTCCAGCAAACACCAAATAGTCATATTGTTATCAAATTTCTAAATACACCTCCTGTTTTGTTTCAGAAATTAAATGCAACAAAAAATGAAACGTTTTTCTTATTTCCCTTTCTTTCTTTAGACTCACTCTTGGGATGATAATATGGCAACTACAATAAAATTCGCATATGAATATGTTGGTCAGCACCGTTAGAAGCAAGCTGCTGGAAAATCAAATCAGATTGCCTGTAAGATGACCATTCAGAGAATTAAAAGTGTTTGATGTCGGAGAAGGGTCTCTGAAAAAGCAAAATCTTATAGCATTTCCCTCTTCTCCCCTTCTCCTCGCAAACCCCAAAAGAGGGAAACAAATAAAAATTCAAACTTTCGAAGGGACAGACACAAAAACAAAACAATGAAAATGTTAGAAGCTCGGTAAGCAGATACAAAGACCAGAACCAAATATTCAATCCCCAAATGCTCACGAAGTGAGGAAGAAACCCTAACCCTAAAAAAAAATGGGGCTAATGAAAGTGCATAGCTCCTCGTATTTATAATCTCTGTACTCTCAGCACCGAAGAAAGATCACGACCGTTTATAGCTGCCATTTTCAGCCCGCGGGACAGACCTTTAAGCCCCATTTTCGGCCCTCATGTGATTGGGCTAATTTTGACCCTCTTCACTTTTGGGCTAAGATGGGTTTAACCGCGGGCCAGCCCCGTTCCCTTTTTTTTTTTTTTTTGTATCGAAACCCGCGTTCTTCTTCTTCCCGATTTTCATACCTCTTCTCATTTCTTCATTCTTCACATAGTCTCGTTCGATACCTCTTCTGATTTCTTCTTTGTTCTCCTCCTTCTTCTTCTTCTTTTCAAAGGTATGGTTTCGGTTCTTCTTCTCCTCGTTCAGGTTTATACTTGTCGCCTGTCACATACATGGTTTTAATAATGAGATTCCAACAGCAAAAGCACCACCCCTTACTGATCAATCACATTGTTTTTGTGTTTCCTTTACTGTGTCTACTGTTAATCGTTTCTAGATGCTTGTTCTCTGTTTTGGTTTTTTTTTTTTCTGCTGTTGTTTTAATTTATTTTAGTTGAAATCTTGGTATTAGTTTAATTAGCTTTAGTTTAACCTTCGGGTATTTTCCTTTCTCTTCTTCACGATGGAAAAATGCTCAGCAAACACAAAATTCCCCTTTTCCTCAATAACCGAACTTACATAGCCTAGAAAGGAGACCCACTTTAAAGTCTTGAATTGGTGAGCCTCTTAGTTTTCCCGAACAATCAGAGATGAGAGATCCCCTTCTCACTTTTAGTTTCGTTAATCCTTGGTTTTCAAGGCTGGGTAGGAATTGAAGAAGGGACATCAACTCCTCCTTTGCTGAACACTAGGTAAGTGAAAAAGAAATGGAATTCAACCCCTCCATCTTTCCATCTCTTTTAGGACTCTATAATTTAATGAAGCCAGTGGTTGGGAAGGGAAAGCCATGCATGTTTGTTTGAATTAAGCGAATAGATTGAAACCCACAAACAAGTTGCATGTGGTCCAAAACTTGTTAGTATCAAGTCTCTCCTTCCCTATATTTTTTCTAACTCTATAATATCATAATGCAGAAAGAAAATGGGGGGCTGTTCCACAGAGTCCAAAGCTGCCACTTTAAATTGAGGCACCATTCGATTCCCAAATTTCTTCCTTGACCAGAGATAATTTAATAGACAAAGAGACTTGAACTAGAGTAGTTGACTTATGATTAAGTGCTTCATTTGCATATGCCATGTAATTATGAATATTCTGCACTCATTGATAGAAAAATTGAGTACTCTTTCTCTTGCACTGTATTAATAAATATCTTAGATTCCTAATTTCAAACTCAAAATATGCAGGTAGCAGCTGTCATTTGGTCCTAATCGAATTGCGGTGGATTTGGCACAGTTCTTACTTCTTAGCAAATCAAAAGGTCAGTGGATGAGTTAGAGATATAGAGCAATAAAGTTGGAGGTCACAGTCAGTGTAGGTAAAAGTGCCATATATCTCAACAAGGAATTAATCATATATATATTTTGAATTCCAAAGGAAAGTAATGGGGGCAGAACCACACTCCTTATTATCCAGATGGCTTTGTCTTTATATTTATATTCTTAAAAGCTTAATATTTGAAGACTTCATATTTGGTTATTATGCATTCAATTATATGGCAACATGGTTTATTTTATCCCATTGATTGCTTGTTTTGGAGGATTACATACAGATTTATTGTTCTTTCCATTTACTGTCTCCCCTCATTATATTTGATTATGGAGCGTAGAAGTTGGGAGTGGTAGATGGATCAGGGATGAGGTTTTGGTGATGTCTGTTTGGTCTTGTCAGAATTTTATTTAATGACAAATGATTACTTCATATGGATTTTTGGCCTGCGGCTGGCCCTAACCCGTGGGGCTATGTAGGTTTTTGGCCCATACGGGCTTTTTAGCCCTGCTGGCCTTTTGTGTGGGCTAGGGCCTAACGGGGCGGGTTGGTCCGTTTTGACGACTCTACTGTTTTTTTCCTAATCAATAATTTATTATACAGACTTGAATTAGAGAACACAAGGAAGTAACGTCCATGGATTCACAGGGCCAGACAACTTCTTTGCAGCGACTTCAGAATGTGGAAAAGGTAATATTTTGAAAGCACTTAGAAGCAATCTCATAGGTGTGACAGAACATCACAGTTTGTTTTGATTGATTTATTTCCTGGTCATGTGTAGAGAATCGTTAAGGTTCTGGAGCTTGCAGGAGGAGTCATGGATGAGCTTGCAAGCCCTGTTGGACCTAGGAAAGATGTGGTCCAAAATCACTGCCTTGAATTCATGCAATTAATCAAGGTCCTTTTCTCTCTGAAATAGATTTATTGTTTTGTCTATACAAGTATACTAACTTACTAAGAGGGTGGAATATGTGTTCAATTCACAAAAAGGAACACACTAGCAGAAGTGCTCTATTATAACTACACATTAAAGTGGTTTCAAATATTAACATTATATAACAATGAACACAAGTCATTGCATAACAATAATATCTTACGAACTTTTCACTAATCTTGCTCTAACATCTCCTATATAAATTGCAACCAGCATTTCTCTGAGCTAGAATCTGAACTCTAAATCTGTAATATGCCCATGCATGGACGTCTTCAATCACAGCATTCAAAAATCCAAACTAATCTCAACAACTGTAAGATCTGACCATTGACATTTAAAGTTGCTTCAGCCGTATCTGTTCATCAAACTTTTTACCTTTTCGCTTTTAGCGTGTATATTCAGTACTTATTAAGAGTTTGAGTGCTGTAATTTTGTAATGTACTTTAATTCCATTTTTGTTTTTTAAATCTTTCAGGACATCCAGGTGGCATTGCGTGATGAAATCAAAAGTGCTTGTGAGTATCGTCCATTTGAGAAATGTGACTACGGTCCAAGATTAACCAATGAGATTTGTTTCAAGAAAGTGGAATTTGTTATGTCACAGTTGGATGCAATGAAACAAACTATTGATGAGTATCATGTGTCAGTCTGAATTTAGTTCCTTGTAGAAGCTTGGGTTATCTCCTGGTTTAAAATTCACTTATTCGGGGTTGCTTGTTACTAGAGGAGTTGGGTTGTGTTTTGGATAGGGTAATAATTATCTTTATAGAGATAGGAAACTGATGTTTTTATTTGGATGATTATATTTGGGCCTTGAAAATTCAAAATGTTTTTATATAGATTTCAAGTGAAGATTCAGTTTTGCACTCCCCCTGCCCCCCCTCTCTCTCAATGTAAGGTATGATTTTTTTTGTTTATGGACTCTTCGGACAACTAGCATGAGTGTCTGCCTTGAACATCCAAATGCAAAGAAGTTTGTGGAGTTTCGGTTACAGATAAATATAAACCCCCCACCACCCCCATAAGGCCTGATTCTTTTCCATCTCACACATTTTTATAGTTTTGTTTAACACGTTTGAAATTAAAACACTACAATAATAAGGAGGAATTTTTATGATTACCAATTAATTTTTTTTTAAGAAAAGATAATTATATTTTTATTAATTTAAGTGTTACCTAAAATATCATAGATCACTTTAAATAATAAAAACATTATCATATAATATTAAAATTTAATCCTAAAATATTACAAGCTGCCTTGTAAAGCTTTGAAATCACAGACTTTTTAAAATATACTTGTGGCATAATCATATAGTTATTATTATATATTTTTTTTGGAGGGAGACGCCCACTCTATTTTACTGCTTAAGTCATATTTTACCTGAGAAAAGCCCCTAATAGGTCACCTTATCTATGTACACTCTTACTGCTTAAGTGTGAGGTAAAATTATATATATATATATATATATATATATATAATTTCAGTTGAAATGACTACATTTTAAACCAAACCAATCAAATAATATTATAAACTAAATAGATTGACTTTTTTCTTTAAATCAATCTACTTCAATATAAATAATTTTATTTTAAGAATGTGTTTAATTTGGATTTTAATAGAAATGATCTTAACAAATACTTTTTTTTTAAATAAATATTAAAAATTATTTTTTGTTTAATACTGATATTTTTAAAAATATTATAAAACAAAATAATTTTATTTAGGCGATAAAATGAGAAGGCTTTTAAAATACAAATCTCAAACCCCTCACAATTGGTAGAATTGATTCTAGTTGTAGTTGATGCCATGGACGATTTGAGATGAAGGTGATAAAGCCCACTGTTGTGATTGCAATCACACTAAGCAGCGTCTTTCTGTTTCTTCTTTTGTTCCCAGAAAAGCCGTCGTCTAGAGAATCTGAGTCGATGCCATTGCCCCCCATGGCTCGAAGCTTTATTCTGTGGCTTCACGGTTTGGGTGACTCTGGCCCTGCCAACGAACCCATCAAGACCTTATTCACTTCTTCCCAATTCAGAAACACCAATTGGTCCTTCCCTTCTGCCCCTTCCGCCCCTGTCACTTGCAATTGTATGTCTATTCTATTCATCACATCACTCTATTAATTGCTTTCATGGTTTAAACTATGTCCCTATGCTTGCCTTTTTTTTTCTTTCTAAACTAAATATTGAATAGGACTGTTCAATTTCATTTGACATTTTATCTCATGCTGTTCTTAGATCAGCAATGTTGTGCACAAAATTGAACTCCAACTGTTATGGCTGCCCTTTGTCCGTCAGAATAATTTACTTGTTCAATGTCAAAAGAGATTATATGATTAGAAGTCAGGTCAAGTCTCAATCACAATGGATGTCCAAACATTTACCCAATTGGACAGTATTATGATAGGAGGTGTTTAGGGGATGTTAGCATACACTAGTTCAAGGAACTATTTGGCCATCATTAATTAGAACTTCTGAGGGAGGGTCCTTGTTTCATGTTGCTTGTATAGGTTTATGCTGATCTCTCCTCCTATTCCTCCCTTGTTTAGTCTTGAATTTTCTGCTCGGTATCTTTAATAGTACATCCAATTAAATTTTTAAGGGAAAATGTTTGTCATTTTAAGTGAAACTAGTGTGTTTTGGTAATTTTTTACCTTCTCTCTTCTCTGTAGTACTCTCTTTCTCTTTCCTCCTAATTTTGTGGAGGAAAGAAAATATAAAAAACCATCAAATACTTTTCTTTCACTTAAAACGAAACAAAGTTATATTCTTTAAAATGACAAACATTTTCCCCAATTTTAAATAGCATATTAAAATCATCTAAGGCTGAAAGATTACGAATTCGAATTTGGGAAACAATCTCTTTGCATATATGCAAGGGTAAGATTGCATACAAGTATTGTCCTCATTCCACCATCGATAGTCGGAATTTAATGGGGTGTGGTTTAAATATTAACATCATTTAAGATTGCATTTGTTGGCAACATGATAGGCTTACAATCTCGTTTTGGTTTACAGCCAATGCCATGAAAATGCCATATGCTCTCCCACTTTAATATTATATTGATTTGCTTCTTCTTGTAGATGGTTCTATAATGCCTTCATGGTTTGACATTCTTGAGATTCCTGTGACAGCTGTAAGTTTAGTCCTCCTTTGTCCTTTTGATGATTTCTTTTATTAGTGCGGTCTTTTCTGGATATTAATGCTGTATGATCAACCTTTTAAGGGAAAATAATAAACGATATGGCAAACTATAGCTATCCTTATTTTTAGAATGCTTGGGGCTTTTATATCTCCCTTTTCCACATTTTCTGTGCTGCACAGTGCCGTCAGAGTATAAATTGGAGTATGTATGCTACATTCAGTTAAGTTATAATTGTTTTTTGTCACAAAATGAGAGCAACAGGGTTCAAATGTCCACTTGACAGTGAGCATCATAGTTATCAAATGCGGATTGCGGCATATCGCAGCCAACCCCGAAAAACGCTATAGCGTTATAGCGAGTTGCGATTGCGGAAATAGCGGAATAGATATATGACAGAAATAATGGAGAAAAAAAACATTTTTTAAAGGCAGAGATAGCAGAAGTGACAGAGAGAGACGCAGATAGACTAAAAAACCCTTAAATTTTTTCTGTTACACATTTAAATTTAGGATAAAATTGACATTTTGCCTTATGACAGCAATATGGCCGCAAATGCGATCGCAATGGCGGCTATTGCGTTACCCTTTGTGTTTTTATCATCGTGGTGTTAACTGTGGACCAATTAAGAATCACGAGATCTGCAGAGTGCTCTTCTGTGATAGCCTTAATAATGATTTGTTTACTAATACCGCAAATGTACTGACAATAAACTGAATTCTCATTATTTTTGTCAGCTTCCTCAAGTGAAATATTACTTAATCTGATGAAAATCTTCTGGACTAGGCAACACAGTATCGGCCCAAACTAGGAACTGCCTTCTTTGTCAGATATACATTTATAATTTTTATATTGATAGTCAGAATTGTTGACGGTTGATCATAGTTATGCTTACAGCCTTTAATCTGATCAGATATAATATTCTTTTGAAAAAAAATTCTCCTTATTTGGTCCTCATTTAATTGTTAATTCCTGTGCAACGTAAGCTACACCCTTCTCTTATATATGGTGCACCTGTGTGCCTCCTTTTCTTAATCATGTGACAGGCAAACACTTGGGTGATTATGACCATGATCAATTTTCTCTAATAAATTTTCTTGAAAGCATCATATGTGGCCATATCTTTTGAATGTCAAGTAACAAGCTTAACGGTCTTTTTTTTCCTTTTCATTTTTTAGACTTTCAGTTCAATTACTTTGATTAACTAAAAAGCTTGGTATAACGGCTGAGCAACTTGAGTCATACAATTACTTTTATCCTGTTCAGGATGGTGCTATTGATCTAATCAATTTATGTTGGAAAACGTTTTGCTTATATTTGTCAGGATTCTCCAAAAGACGAGAGTAGTTTGCTTAATGCTGTTCGAAATGTGCATGCTACTATAGACAAGGAAATAGCTGCAGGCATAAACCCTAACAACGTGTTTATCTGTGGATTCAGTCAAGGAGGTCTGTCTTTTATTTCCCATGTCTATATGAGTCTGTCTGTGCATGTGTGTATATCTCTCCCTTCCTACCAATTCCATAATAGAAAAGCAGATATATAAACATCTTGGTAAGTGACATTGTTTTGCAGGTGCCTTGACCTTGGCTAGTGTTCTACTGTACCCTAAAACTTTAGGTGGAGGTGCAGTCTTTAGTGGCTGGGTTCCATTTAATTCGTCATCTATCATAGAACAAATTACACCGGAGGCAAAGAGGGTAATTATCTTCAGGAATATTATATGCCATCTTAATTTGTTTTTCTCTCGTCATTCCTTTTTGTCAAGTTTGGTCTTAGCTATACTTTGTCCATTTCGTTCAAGAGTAATTGTGTTCATTTTGGATGGGAGAGGAAACAACATGGTTGCCGACAACCAATTTGGTTATGTACTAATTGCCTCTGGATCAAATGTTTACATGGAAATATTGAGTTTGACCTTTTGGAACAAAGATATTTGCTATATGTCCCAACAAAAGTACACCGACCCAATGGAGAAAACCACATCTGTGGCTTAAATACAGATTGGATTTTATTTTTATCCAGAGTCAAGCATGGATCCAGCTATGCTGCTTTTCCTCATCGGGGCCTGTGTTGTTGTGGACATACAATTTTCCTTGGAACAATGACACTTTACAATCTTTAAATGCTTATGTCATTAGAATTAAATCATATGAGCCATGAGTCCGACACTAGAATAACTTAGTATCAGTTGATGGGGTATTTTTAATTTGTAAAGACATTATTGCCTGTACTAATAATATTTGACTCAACTGAATTTTGCGGTACGCAGTTATAATCTGTTTTATTTTCTTGACCTTATATATATATATATATATATATATATATATATATATATATACAGACACCCATATTATGGTCCCATGGGCTAGTTGATAGGACAGTATTGTTCGAGGCCGGACAAGCAGGTCCCCCCTTCCTTAAACAAGTTAGCGTTGGATGTGAGTTTAAGGTGAAGTTCTAGTTTTTCAACAATTCAATTATTTATCCAATGACCCCTTCTGTCCATCATCGCTATTGACATTTGTTGTTTTTGCAGGCTTATCCTGGTCTTGGCCACTCGATAAACAGCGAGGAGCTGCGGCATCTCGAGTCCTGGATCAAGTCACGCCTAAGTAGTTCTTCCTAATAGTTATTTCAGCCTATATCGTATACTTAACAACTCAATAATTTGCATGTATGGACCCCTTGATCAGTTGACCCATTTGCATTTTATTATTGCTCTTGCTGATGTTTAACAGGAATCGAAATCGTTAGCTTTTACCGCCCCCGCCCCCCCTGCGTCGCTTTCTCTCTCCCTGTCACACAGAAAATCTATAACTTTGTGCTCTCTTTCGGTCTTGGTATATGGAATAATTCACTTTAAGTTATAGATTTCTGCTTTTTACTTAATTATTATTTATGAAATCACAAGTAATAATGATGACGGGTCATGATTGAGGATAGATAATCTGAGTTGAAATTTGGTATAAATGTAGGCAGTTAGAACTTTTCTGACTTTAGAGTATGAATGGACGGTGAATAATTAACTCAAATTCACCAGAAAATTGTGATGCCATGTGGTAAAAATAATAAAAGTGTAAATGCGATTCCCTGATGCCTATTTCCATTTTGAGCTATAGAAACAACCACACACGGAAAAAAGCATATAATGTTTACTCACTGCATACAGTGGCCAAATGATTTTTCCCTCGAGTAGTTACTATAGTTGTACAGCATATTTTCTGCGTCTTCTTTTTGGTGGGACCAATTCATACGCCAATTGTATCGTTATTGGTTGGACCAGTTTATCTTGAAAAGTCCCCGGAATCTAGGATTAACTGAAAAGCTTATGACCCTTGATTCACGCACTATTTTAAAACCCCTTGGAACTTCATCTTTCTTAAGCGAAGATTTGTAACATAGAGGATATATTATCTAACCCATTAATCAAAACCAAAGAGCCCACTTTTACAATATACTATGTACCAATGTACCATTGGTGAGTACAGCGTGCAGAACCTAATTTCCAATTTATCTCGTAGCCTTATCTACTTTCCTCTCTTATACGAACGTTGTTCCTAGTGGGATTTCGTTACCTTTCTTCATTTGCTGTTTTTTCTGTTGTTTCGGCCAACGCCAATTGGGTTTCAAGATTGTGGCCAATAGATATTGATTGGGTCATTGGGGGGATCGCTTTTTTGGATAATGAAGACAGATGAAGAACCTGACACATATCAAAGCATCTAAATTTTTAACGTCAGAAGTGCATCTTATGGCAATAATGTTGCAAGCATCCTATGCCTTTTAATCACACTGACGCCACCGTTGCACACCTTCCATGTACGTTTCGTAATTTATAATAGTCGCTGTCTCACTCATAAAACCCGGTGGTTAGTAGTTCGATTCCGGCAAAAAAGAGGCATGTTGTGTTAAGGAAGACTTCGGAGCTTTACATGAAAATGGTAACAACTTTTGAATTAGTTCAAAAATGTTTAATATTAAAGGACTAAGAGGAAGGTAATCTCACGAATCTTGTATTAACTAATAATCACAAACTTTAGGCGTGTTTGGTGTGTCGTATAAAGTATGATCCTATAAGCTTATACTATATGTTATGACATTTTCAGTTGTTTGGTGTGACCCTCGTATAGTATAAGCTTATACAACAGGATCCCTTAATACATCAAAACGATGTATAACTTAATCCAGCCTAAGGAGGAGGGATAAGGCCTGATAAGAGGTTGGTTGGTGTATTAACATCGTTGACTAGTGCAATTCTCAAAAATTAATATATTACTTTGATATTAATATATTAAAATAAAAATTAATTTTTCAATATATTAATTTTTAAAATATTGAATTTTTTTTTATAAAAATTAATTTATGTTTTGGACACACTGATCAATAAATTTTTATAAAAATTAATATCATATAACATTTTTTTTAAGAATTATATAAATTCTTTATTAAAGGATATTTTTATTAAAAATATTTACTTTTATTAAAAATATTTATTTTTATTAAAAATATTTATTTTTATTCTATATAGTATTATACAGTGCATTATCAAATACTAGATGATATTATCTTATATAATATATTACTTTATACAATATCGTGCTAAACGCTGGATAATATTAAAATTCAATCAGGTCTTATACAATCAGGCCTTATCCTATACTATGCATCAAACATGCCCTTAACCCCCAAGTGTCTAATTGACTTTTTTAGGGTTTGCTTGCGTTAGGAAAATCTTTGAGTGATAGAGGATGTCTCTTTCTCTTCGAATGGGGGATTAGTCTCATCTTTTCTTTGGTGATGAAATTCAAGACATGTTTGATACATAGTATAAGATAAGGCCTCATAATATAAGGCTGATAGTATAAGACCTTTGATTAAATTTTAATATTATCCAGCGTTTGGTATGGTATTGTATAAGATAATATCTTTCAATATTTTAAAAATTAATATATTAAAGAAAATTATTTTAATATATTAATATTGAAGTGATATATTAGTTCTTGATAATTGTATTTGTAAGCAATATTAATACATCAACCCCTTATCAGGCCTAATCTCTCTCACTTAGGCCTGATTAAGTTATACATTATTTTGATGTATTAAAGAGTTATTCTGTTTAAGCTTATACTATACGATGGTCACACCAAACAATTGAAAATGTCATAATGTATAATATAAATTTATACTACCAAGCCTTATACATCATACCAAACAGACTCTCAATACACTCGGTATTTCAATATTTCAATAAAAAGTGGCCTTCAGGACTGTACTATAAGAACAAAGTGACAGGAAGAAGAAATAATCACAAACCTTTTTTTTTTTTTTTGGTAACCATAATCACAAACCTTTTAATTGACAGGTTTGAGTTCAGAAGAAATAAAATCCTAAGCATTACTTTGTCAAACTTGACAGGTTGAATCCTACTTTTAGCCGATAATCTCTTAATTTTTTTCGAAGAAAGAGAATAAAAAAATAATTTTTAATCTACTCCTCATGATATATAGTTATTTAAAGTAGTAGTAAACTGATAATAAAAATATTTTATAGTAAAAATATGTTACCTCTAAAATTATATATATATATATATATATATAAGAGAGATCTTTTGACTTTAAAGTAAGACTTACAAGTCTTACTCCTCATCTCAACCATTGATTTCCGTTCATCTAATGATTATTATTTATTTGAAATTAATAATTAATTAATGGGTATAGATAATCGTTAGATGGAAAGAAATTAATGGTTGAGATGAGGAGTAAGACTTGTAAGTCTTACTCTAGAGTCAAAAGATCTCTCTCCATATATATATATATATATATATATATATATATATATATATATGACTTATTGTTTCTCAAGCTGCTTGAGATAATTTTATCTCCAGCTAGTAAATCATAATCGTACAAAGATAGATTAGTGATGACAAAGGAAGAGTGAGAAAAAGAGAATCATAACCAGTTCAAAGGTGAATCAGTTAATATAAGAAAATAAATAAATAAAACGACGTAATTTTGAATAGCCGGAGATAAACTTATCTGAAGCTGTTTGAGAAATATTTTTTCCATATAATATATATATAATGAAATTAAAGGAAAACAATTTTTTTTCAAAATTTACTATTTATTATTTTATTTTTTTACTATTCTTTGTAATTTTTTAATTACTATTTTAAATTAAATATTTTTCTTGATTTCTTTTTCTCAATTCAGACATGACCTTTATATTAAATTTTTTTCTTGATTTCTTTTTCTCAATTCAGAAATTAAAGTTATTCGTTCAATTTGGTTCCGTTCTTGAATTTTCCAATGGTCAACAGCAAACATATTCCCCGCTAATTAAACACTTGTCTTCTTTTCAAATACTGTAACTATTCTCCATGTTGAAAAATCACATTTTCAACTTTTGCGTGGCTGTATAAACATCAAATCCGATCAATAAAATATAATAATTTTTTTTTTTGGTCATTGAATTCAAGGAGAAAATGCCATGACGATTTTTGAATATAACACGGGGTTAAAGAAGTATTATGTGGCCATTTACTTAACCCAAGGTTCTAACCATATCATATAGTATTTTAGTAATTTTTCAGCTGTACCGTATGTTTAGTATATCATTCTTAGAGTAAATATATTTTTTAGTCGCTGACAATATTCACGAATTTTTTTTCAGTCCCTAGCAATAAAAAAGGGATAAATTGGTCCCTGAAATAACAAAAAAGAGGTTATGTTCATCCTTCTGTTAACTCTCATAACGGTGCACAGTTGGCACGTTAGTTTGCTGATGCGGCTTGGATGTGGGACACCGTGAAATACGAGACGACAACGTTTTGGTCCCTATCAAAACCACGAGGGCCATTTTGGTCCCTGTCAAAAGGCACGATGACGTTTTTACTCCCTGACAAAAAGCACGGGGCTCTTATTGGTCCCTAACCAGAGAAAAATAGGCACATGACTTCATTGCTTTTCTATGCAGTCCAATTTTGTAAAACAGAAGTGCATTACATCAGAAATAGGAGTGCAATCCATTTGTTCATCACAAAGTAATTAAATTAAATTTCATCACAAAGTAAAATATTCTTCTTGCCATTTTATTTCAATGAAGTTTGTGTTTCTAACTGAAGTTTCGACCTTATTAACGACTATTCATTTCTTTTTCAATGCTAATTAAGCTTCCCATTTTGTTAAAAGGGATTCTTGGCTCTTGCAAATAGCTTTTACGATCCCTGGAGTAATATGAACTGCTTTAATTCTCTTAGTCTGTATAAGACATAGCGTTATGAGATTTACGAACAATATCTTCAGTAGTGTAGCATTACAATTATACTATTTATTTTTCTATAAAATATAATTGCATGATTGTTGATATTTAAATACAGAGAAAAATCAGAGAAGAAGCCATGTAAATGATTGTTGATAATTGCAATGCATGGCAGTTGACTGGACTGCAAAAGTTGGTAGTTCTCAGCCACATGAAGACAACTTAAGAGCAAGTAGCACACCTCCATCAAATCCACAACAGGCAAATGAGCTGTTGAGTAATGAAACAATGAATGCAGCAACCAGTGACACACGAAGCAGATTTTTGGCCTTCATGAGCACACCTGGTTTTAGGCCTCCATGGTCTGCCTCAAGAAAACGACCTGCTGCTGTATAAGACCTGAGAGTAGTGCATGAGCCAACTGAGAAGGGTTTATCACTATGTGACTGACTTTTTTTTGAAAATTATGGCCATTATGTATTCGGAGGCCTCATTGTGTCAATGTTTTTTTTTTTTTTGTAAATTCTGGCCCTATTGTATTAGAGGCCTTTCTTTTAATTCCTGGCAGTTGACTTTATTTTGTATTGCACTACTGTACATCCATGTCTTCAAATATAATGATATTCAATCATGTTCCAGCTATTATGTTTCACAGGGTTGATGAATGTTTAAGTTTACCATTTTTGATGTTTTTTAACTAATATACGTAGTTGTGGTTCTTGTACATCCATGTCTTCTGGTTTAACAAATTGGACTGCATACAAATCCAATTTAATGTCATGTTCCTGTTTTGCAAAATTGGATTGCAGTCCTGTTTCTGATGTAATGTGTATGTTTTGCAAAATTGGACTGCATAGAAAAATAATGAAGTCATGTGCCTATTTTTCTCTAGTTAGGGACCAATAAGGGCCCCGTGCTTTTTGTCAGGGACTAAAAACGTTCTCGTGCATTTTGACAGGGACCAAAACGTCGTCGTCTCATCTTCCACGGTGTCCCACATCCAAGCCGCATCAGCAAACTAACGTGCCAACTGTGCACTGTTAGTTGAGCCGTTAGGTGGGAGTTAACAGAAGGAAGAACGTGGCCTCTTTTTTGTTATTTCAAGGACCAATTTGTCCCCTTTTTATTGCTAGGGACTGAAAAAGGCTTCGTGGATATTGTTAGGGACTAAAAAAGATATTTACTCTTATTCTTATATCCTTCCTTAGTTTTTTTTTAATTGAGTTATTATATAATATTTGTTATTCGGATTAGCATGACAGTATATATTTAATTAAAAATACCCGAACATGTGTAAATAATAAGAAAAAATGTGTTTCATTTTAAATGATATATTTTATATCTTTTTACTCTCACAAAGAGGTAAGATCCACGTCTTTAAATCTTTTTTTTTGGCACTCTCTCTTTAATGATTTATCTCTTTCTTTTATTTAAAATAAAATAATTTTATATCCTTTAAAATGATACATATTTTTTTTCAAATAACAATTAAAAGACACTGAAATGAAAGATCATTAACAGCAAGAATTTAATAATATATTGCGAAATTATGAAGTTTATTAAATAAAATGTCACAGACAAAATTATAAGGAAGTGTGCAAAAATAAATTAAAGTATAAGAGCGTTAAAATTAAGCTCAAGAACATGCGTATATTTCCAAGAACAATTAAACAAAACCCTAATCAATGTATGTATGTACTTGGGTGTGGTGGTAAAAAGGTATTTGAAATCCACAAAAGCCGAAGAGAAGAGAGGGACAAATCAGAGGCGAGAGGGACCCATCACTGCACAAATCACAATTGTAGAAACGCATGGGGTTGGGGAATGGTACATTATGGTAGGGACAGGAGCAGGAAGCTAGCAAGTGCCGCATCACATGTGAACACTCCCAAAAAACATAGTAATAAGCAATAGCTCTCTCTCTCTCTCTCTCTCTCTCAAACTTAGAATCAGAATAATAAAACCTCATCAACCCTTCAAAGGCCAAGTCTTTTTCTCTCTCTATCTGTTTTTCTCTTCAACTTGAACCAAACCAAACCATGAAGAAGCTGTACCGTAAAGGAACCGTTCATCCCTCGCCACCAACAATATCCGACCAACTATCCTTCCTTCCGGCGACCATACTAACACTCACCGTTGCTCTCTCACCACAAGACAGGGAAGTCCTAGCTTACCTCATCTCATGCTCTTCTAACAACTTTTCCGGCAACCCTCGCCGGACCAACGCCGCCGTACCAAAGGGTGTTGTCGACGGCGATCATCCACCTCTCTTCAACTGCAGTTGCTTTCGCTGTTACATGAGTTACTGGGTACGATGGGACACCTCACCCAATCACCAACTCATACACGAAATCATCGATGCCTTCGAGGACTCGTTGGCTCAAACCGCCAAAACTGCAAAGAACAACAACGGCAACGGAAGGAAGGACAAGAGAAACAAGAGGGCTTCTAACAACAAGTCCACCGAGTTGAACAGCTCCGAGTCCGTGAGTCCGCAGCATAACGCGTCTGTTGAGTCGGAATCGGTTGGGGAGAGTAGTAATAGTAATGTTAGTGGTGGTGATGTTGAAGTTGATGAAGCCGGTGATGGCGGTGAAAATGAGGAGAAAGGGTCAGTGAGAAGGTTTGTGAGTTTCATTGGAGAAAGGATTTGGGGTGGTTGGGGCCAGTGAATGAATTTCAAAGAGGAAAGGTGGGTTTAATAACTCTTCCCCTTTCTTTCTCTCTTTGTTTTGTTCTTTTAAAAAAAAAAAATCAATTTATTTTTCTTTTTGTACATTAATCACTACTCTGCAATGTATAAAAAGAAATGGCAGTTTGGTTTTTTTGTGATCCAGGAGATTAGTTTTGTTATAATCACAAGCAAACCATACATGTTAAGCCACTCTTTTTTGTTTTTATCTTGTTACATTTCACTCAATTCAATTCTTAGCTAAATGTTCTCTCTTGATTTGTGTTGAAAAACGGGTGCAAGTAAAAAAAAAAAACTGTCTCTTTCTATAGCCTATGAACTTTGTCAGAGTTCCGTTGGTAGTTTGTAGGGCGTGCCGATTGAATTTTTTTTTTTTTTTTCAAATTTCCGAACTTTCATTCCTTATTGGATGCTGTAGTATTTGAATGTCTTCATTTGTTTTTTTCTCACGACGAAGTTTTCTATGATTGTAAAACCCTTTTGATTTCTCATTTTCAATGAGGAAACTGATTTAAGCCCCTTGTGTATATTTTCCCCCATTTCTAAATGGTGGGAGTGATTGTATACGATTCATTTCTTCTGAAACTGAATAGCATTTTCCTCTTCATTACGAACATTTTGTTAAGGAACCTTAAGAAAGAGTTATAACTATGGTTTCATAAGAGTTATGTCTTACGAAAAGTGATTATGCAATGTTGAGATTCGTTTCGCGTTTTTTTTTTTTTTTGCTTAAAAAAATGTGAGCTTCACAAATTATTGTGTGCCTGGGAAATTTTCTTGTGTCATCCTTAGCATACAAGGTATTGTTAAGATAAGCCGGGTTTTACAAAAGACCTTGACAATATGTTTAACTTCATGAGCTCTTAAATTAATGCTTTAAAAAGAAATATAGATGGTAGGATTTTTTTGTTATTTTGTGATATTTGTTTCTTTTAGTATTAATGAATGCTAATAGAATTGGTCAATGATAATTATGATCTCGTTAACTTAACCCTTCCAAAAGAAAAAGCGAAAATACTTAAAAAAAAAATAGTGACAGTGGGATATTTTTTTGGTTATTTATGGTAATCCTGCTAGTATTAATGAATTCTAATGTACATGCGTCAATTATGATTATCTCAAGCTTTTACTTTTTATGTACGAAATGATAGTAACTTGTAGTTTTATTTTATTCATAGTAGGCAAGTCTGAGTAAAACATCATCTTTGTAAGCTTTTGACACGATGTCGCATGCTCGGTGGAATGAGAGTGGCCTGAGAATTGAGACCACCGCGTCTCTGTGGCTTCAAAATAATTGGGCGGTGAAGCAATTTGTCAATGTTGCAGATGCCTGGTAATCACGAAACCTGCATAACGGTCCAAATTCTTTTTCCAAAACTGCCCTGCTACTGTTGCACTGCACATCAATGTTACGAGGGTACTATTGGAAAAAAATACTTTTAAGATTAAATTTAAATTAATGATATGGTCGTAAGTCGTAACTCATAAACATGTTTTTGTAATAATTAAATAAAGCCAAAAAATAGAAAATGAGAGATGGGGACGGGTAGGTGTCACAAGGAACGAGGTCGGCGAAAGCAAGGGCTTCGATTAAAGCAAAAGGCCCCCTCCTCCTCTCTGTGTCTCTAGAGAATTTCTTTTTTTCTTTTGATAGTTTGTCTCTCTATTTTTAATTCCACTCCATTTCAGTCCAAATTTATTCTTCCTTGTTCTCCAAGAGTCATTTATTCATTCCATGATATAAATAAGGGTTTTACATTACAAAAATTTAGTTTCCTACACATATATTAATATTTGTGCCGTATTTTTTTTTTTTTTTTTTTTAAAATAGTGAATCCCATATTGAGATTGTCTTTATAGCATGATAAGATGATTGTCTCACAACATGATATTTGTTTTTCTCTATAAATAATTGAGATTTATATATTTTATATTATAGGAGATAATTTTATTTTATATATATAGAAAAAGTATTTATTATTTTAAATAACACAATTTTGTGTTATTTTTAATGAAACCATGGTGTTTTGATGTATTTCATATGAGAAAAATGTTTGTACTTTTAAATGACACAATTTATATCCTTTCACTCTCACAAAGAGGTGAGACCCATACCTTTATATTTTTTTGTTCACACTCTCTCCACTTTTATCTATCTCTTTCTCTCACTTAAAATGATACAACTTTACATCCTTTAAAATGATAGACATTTTTTCCATTTTATATTCTCTTTTTTTGATTTTCTTTTTCTTCCTAATTGTATAGAAATAAAAAATGTAAATGAATAAAAAAATACACTAAAACGATTTAATTTTATTAAAAAATAATACAAAATTATATCATTTAAAATAATATATATTATATATAAATATAAGTATGTATTTTTTTTTTTTTACATAATCTCATATGAATTTTATATATTTTTAAGTATATAGAAAATAAAATTAATTTCTATAATATGAGAAATATTAATTTCATATATATCAAGTTAGTAATCATTAACACATTTATTATTTATATATTTATGTAAATCAGTAAATGTGTACGCACCAAAAGGGTTGCCTTTTGGCTCAGTGTGTATTTATATATATATATAGTAGTAGTGAATGGATTAGTTGTTTAAAAAGATTATTATACAACATTTATGTCCAGCAAAGATTGTTTATTTCATTGTATTTGACGAGGGGGCATTCTTCATGCATTGCAACTTTTACTACTTTTGTTGCACTAAACTTTATGAAATTATTTGTTAATTGTTCATTGATGGCCCGAAAAGAGACACACACTATATATAACGAATTAAAGTAGTTATTTATTCGTTAAAGATATTCACATATTAAGATGCATGCATCCAATGACATACTAATATCTCATGGTTGTTGCACTATGAGTCCATACCTAATTATATCCCGACTCACTTAAATAAATGAAAACCTCTTGTAAATGACTAAATATCCATCTCTGATCTTCCCACAGTTTTCATCTACCTGAGGTGTGATATGGTAGTAGGTAGTTAATCTTTGAACGAAATTGTCAAGTAGGAAAAGACTTTATTGTCATTTTAATTATAGTGCTATATACGTGATGATAATATTCTAATAATAAAAGGTGAAGGCACATATAAATTTTTTTAAAGGGTGGGGTTGGTCTGGACTCTGGGGACGTGATATAGAAGTCAAATGCTGTTACTCTCTTCATTCAACATGCTAAAGGATTTTTTTAAAGGGTTCGCATTAAAAAAGCACAAACAAATGTACAAAACAAAACTATATCCATCATTTGAAAATTGTTGCACATTTAATTAGAAGTTTTTTTTATATAGTGTCAATTTAAGAAAAATATAACTGTATGTCTGTATTTGAAGAAATTTTCAAATAGGCATGGTCCGTTATATGATTTCTTAAGTAGTTAAATCACTATTTTTTTTTAAAACAATCATTGAAATTGAACACATAAATTAATACAAACTACTCAAACTCCTTACTACTAATCCTAGTGACTCTTTAGTAAATCATAACCTTTTGCTAAAGATTACTTAAATTACTATTTGACACATGGAGAAGTATCTCTACATATAAATGAATTCATATCATATTATGGCTGCCGCTTAACTGTAAATATGTCAAATATTGTTTTGAGTAACTGGAAAAAAAAATTCACAACAATTTAACTGTTGAAAATATTTAAGTATGGATAATAGTAAAGTTTTATATTGATTAAAAATAAAGTAAATGAGTATCATAAAAGAGAAAAAATTTTATTGATCTATAACTTTAAAATTTTAGGTTGAAACACAACATCAAATCTATTTATCATTGGGTATCTATAGTAAAATGTGCCTAATTTGAGAATTATTTGCATTTGATTCAATTGTTCTAAAAAAAATGTTAGCAACATAATTTATAACTATTTTTTATTTTATTTTTATCATTAGGTGAAATCTACTGCTGATTTCACTAATATAAAGTGAGTTGAAGTTATTTAATAATGAAAAATTATTCAAAATAAGTTGTCAAATATTTAATTACTACAATTTCTTAATTTTTGTCTGTCAGAATATTTAAGATATTTTTACTAAATTTATATTTTATTTTATAAAGTTATTAAGAAAAGAACAAAATTTATTTTATATATGAAAATGTAAATTTTTGTTTTCTCCTACTCTCATATTGTTTTCTGTGCAAACTTTTTTCTTCATTTTTTTTTCTAATATTTGGCGGCCCTACAAAAATTTGTATCTGTAACATTATGTATTAATTTTCCTGTTATATGATATTCACAAAACTCTTTTAAAGGGGTGTTTTGTTCAAGAGTTTTCTATGAAAAGTGATTCTCACTGCCACATACTCAACTGTTCATGTTTGGTTCACGGATGTCTTCAATTTTACCCATCAAATTGAGTTGCTAGCTATCATGTTTTGCATGTAAAAAGCAACAAAATGACGATTCCAGGAAGCATCGTAGAAGGTGATATTTGTCTTTGAAAATCGGATAAGTGAAAAGTGGTACAAGATAATTGGTCCTAAGATAATTGGTCCTATAGAGTTATTTTAAAAGGATAATTTTGTAATTTCAATAAGTTTTTCTATCAATATTTTATCTTCAACTAAATACACATTCAAGAATTTTACTCAAAATTTTGCCCAACAAAAGAATTTTTTTAAAACTTTTCTATCTAACTCACATTCTCTGCAGATCCCTAATAATTATATTTTTCGAGTAAAAAATTTGTTTACCTGAACCAAACACCTCCTTATATATATATATATATATGTCTAAACTTTTTTTTTTTTAAACAAGTTGTCTAAACTTTAAAATAACTGATTTTAAATTGATAGAGTATGGATTTTGGTATCACTATCGTTTCCAAACACACTAAGTCCTATACGGCTATACCTATACCCTAAGGCCTAAGCGAGTGTGATAGATATAAATGCTAATTTATTGACACGCTTTGCAAGGGGGTATCTTTGGAATGCGTATCTCCATGCTTTGTGTTCGGCCAATAAATAAATAATACACAAAAGAGGGTACAATCCCTCGAATCTCTAACCCCATGGGACATACATATTCCACCTCCTTTTTCCACATCTTTCCACTCTACTGTCTCTACAAAATCTAATCTACTCCCATCAAACCACCTTATCACCGTACACGTTTCATTAAACCTGCATGCATGTTCTGGATCCCCCACCTCCAAGCCTCTTCGTTTATGATTATTAATATTAAGTCCTTTATGGCTTTTATTTACTTTTATTTTAGTGGCTTATTCGTCATACTCCCTACAAGACAACAGAGACGGAGGCTAGGTGTTGGAAAGTCGATTAGATTAATTCAATGAATCTTTTGAAAGACGGTGAATGAACTTTTTTATAGCTATTTTTGAGAATTTTCTTTTATCCATCGAATATAATCATTGGGTACATTTTTTTGTCATAAAAAGTAAATTTTCTTCCCATTTAAATCTATATTTTCAATTTATTTTTCATTTCTATTACAAATTTTCTTTGCTTCTTTTTGAATCGATGCACGGTGAATCCGTAGCACTAAAAGTTTGCAACTATTTTTGAAGTGAAACATTTAATGCATTTTATTATTTATTATTTAATAAACAAATTAATTGTTTGTTGAATTTCGATTACCTTTATCATTTTATGTAATTAATTTTTTTGACAAATATATATACTGAAACACTAGTTAACCACATTCATTTTAACGGCTTATTATTTTTCAAAGGGGATAAATTTATTTATTATGCACATAAAATTATATAAAATTTATATTTTTCTTTTCGCTCATCTTCTCATATATGTATACAAGATAAAATTTATCTATTATATCATAAAAAACATTAAACCCTCATTTTATAAGTTATTATCCAGTAATCACTTTATATAATTGTTTTTTTTTTTGGAAAAAGTGTGTATCATTTAAAAGAATGTAAAATTATATTTTTTTTAAGTGAGAGAAAGAAATAGACAAAAAAATATAAAAGTATGAGTCCCATCTTTTTTGTAAAAGTGAAATGACACGAATAGTGTCATTTAAACGCACAAACGCTTTTTCTTTGTTTTTTATTATAAATTTATTTGAGTAAATGATTTGATAGCCTTACCAGTGAGATCCAATGAGAGAGCGATTATTTAGTGAACCCAGCTCATGTGAGCCGGGTAGAGAGAGAGAAGAAGAGAGAGAAGAGAGAAAGGAAGAAGAAAGAGAGAAAGACCGACCATACAATAAATTTTCCCAACGAGGAAACACATTTGCAGAAAAAAGGAGTCAGACGTCAAGATTTCCCAGCATTTCATAGTCATGAAAATCACAATTTTACGATTTTAATTTATAATTTTATGATTTTTTTAATTAAAGTGATTTTATTAAAATTCAAAATAATTTTACGTTTTCACAATTTTTTTTACGTTAGAATATTACGTTTTACGACTTTTTTTATCTCCTTTTAATTTTAAGTATTTAATTTTAAAGTTTTATTAATGTTATGTAATATAATTTAAGTGTTGTTTCCAACACATACAATGAAAGAGAAAGAAAAATATGTGGACTCCACCTCTTTAATGTGTGTGTAAGAAAGTGAGGTTATATTATGTTACATGATAAACATAAAACCCTTAATTTTAACTATCATGATCGAAATGAACTCTCAAAGAAGACAAAAACTCTTCATGTTTTCTATCTTTATTTTATTTTATTTTTTTAATTTGAAATAACACTTGGGCTTTTGTTGTATCTTTTTACGAATTTTCAGTCGCTAATATCTAGGCCCTCACGATCTGCGTGTGAATGTGATGGTGACTCTAAATAAACTCTGGTAAGCCAGACCGTCCGTCCGTCCATATTTGACTCGATTATATCTACTTTTTTGCGAAGTCTTTAAAAAAGACCATCACATTCATCATGTCTTCCATGGTCAAATTTGTCAATCTTGCTCCGTCAACTTAATTACTTTGATCTCCCGTTCTCTCATCCCATAAATAAAGTAATCAGCTTTATCATCTTAACTCCAACCTTAAGTATCCTGACGTATGAAGAATGATTTTCGTTTTTGCAAGAACGGGAAATAACACGGTAAAACAATATTAGGTAAGCAAATGCTAAAAATGAGCTAACAGCGAAACCAACATAGATGATTTTCTCTTATTTCTCTCTAATTATGATATTTCTCCATTACCATATATCATGAAGTTTATTTTGGAGAATTCTATCCTATCCACTTGTAATCCTAAACGATATTCATGTTCCTAAATTCCAAGGTCATATATTACATTAAAAATTTAAGTATGACTTATGAATAATTAAATTTCATAATTTTAAGAACGGATTAAATAAAAATCATGTAAACAGAAAGATATATAAATTTATTATTTTAAAATTTTGGGTTACGATAATGTTGAATTTACTTATTACAATTTGAGTTTCACACTTAACTCAATTATAGCTAATAATTTGGCTCACTAAAGTATTTAAAGATAGTGATTCGTTCGCCTTAAATTTTTAAATTAAAATATAGTTTTGAAAGTCATTTATATATTTTGGTTTTAATTTCCTACTTAACCTATTAATAAAGTTACTTCTGCTAGCCATTCGCCTATTCCTGATAAATTTACATATTTGTTGATGTTAGGACTTAATTAAAATTTTAAATAATCCAATACCTCACATGTGCATACTAAATTCTCACTTGGAGATGTGAGTGTAGTTATAATTAATTAAGGATAAGACAGACTCATATCCCAGCGTAAGTTCAAATTTCAGTGGTTAATGTAAGAATCTCATTAATAATGCGATTTATAATTCGTCTAAAAAATTCTCAAATAAATTGAGAGATATGCTTAGCCTGGGAGCATATCAGCATTTAACTCCACTTAAACGTATTATCTATTAAAAAAAAATTCCCAAGAGATAATATAATATAACCCGTTTATTTTATTTTAAGTTGTGATGTGTAATTTTAATACCTACGGAATATAATAATTATACCCTATCATCGTATATATTAAAAAACTGTTCTTATAATGTTTTTCCTAAAATAGCGAATATAAACGTAGTAGCAAATTAGCAATCGCGAGCTTTAAGCAACCAAAATTTTTAGCGACACTATCCGCAAGTTTGATATTTGTGGATCAGTGACTAAAATGGCACAGTCCATTGATTTTTTTATCCAAATGTCATACGAACAATGTTATTTTTTAATATGTCACGCAGGTCACTGATAGCAAACTTGGTAGCCAATAATTTTTGACATGTGACACATTTTCGTAGGAAAAGTTGATTGTCACAGGTCCAAGTTCGCTACGACTGATAGCGAACTTGGTAGTCAATGATTCGTGTGCTACGTGGCACAATCTCGTTGCCCGATCAGAATTAATGTACCAATCACATTCCAAAAAAGAGAACGAAGGAAAATGACTATTTAATTAATGTATAAATCACAATTAATGTACCAATCACTAATCATAATTAATGTATCAATTACTAATCACAATTAATTTTGATCACAATTAATGTACTGATGACGAATCACAATTAATATACCAATCACAATTAATTTTGATTGATACATTAATTGTGATTGATACATTAATTATTTGTGATATCATTGTTACAAATTCGAATGATGTTTGTGAGAGATAAAATAAGTCAAATGAGATGTCATTGGATAGATCTCGAAAAGTTATATGAAATAAAATAAAAAAATATCTGATTTGAATATCTGAATCAAAAGTTATGGCCTTCCGAAGTGATTGCTGATTGATACATTAATTGTGATTGGTACAATCAAAAGTTAATCATGTATGCTAATTGTGATTGGTGATTGGTACATTAATTGTGATTGATAATTGACACATTAATTTTGATTGACACATTCATTAAATTGCCATTTTCTGTGCTTTATTGTGATTGATATATTAATTCTGATCGGGCAACGAGATTGTGCCACGTGGCACCTAGTTCGCTTGGGCCTTCAGCGAACTTGGTGCATGTGAGACACGTGGCACACCTAGTTCGCTGAATGTGACAGCAAACTTCTTCAATGTGTTAGCATTTATTGCAACATCAGAGTAGCGAATTTATTGTCCACCAGAAACGTGCCACATCAGCAAACCAAGTTCGCTCGGCACTGTAACAATCTTGCCCGTGTGGTATATTGAAAAATAACAGTGTTCACGTAACATTTAAAAAAATTAAGTGAACAATGATATTTTGATCAATGTTCCGATATTTGTTCAGTGTGAGTGATGATAAGTTGACAAATGACAAGGAGGAAAGGACATGGAGTTAGGTAATTAGTCTGTTCTGTCTTCTCCAGTTCTCAGCTTCGCCAATAAAGTTATGGGGAGAAAATTGCTATTAAATAAGGGGTTTAATTTTCTCATGTTAAATGAGAATTCAATTCTCATGTTGTAGAGATAAAAAGTATGTGGGACTCATGTGTTAGAAAAAATTATATGTAAGACCCATGTCAGCACGGAAATCGAAGGGTGTGTAAGAAAATTTGAATTCTCATGTTAAATGAGAATTATAAAACCCATTAAATAAACATGGAGTTCGGATATTTTTAAAATGGGTTTTATAAGAGTTATGTTGTAGGAAAAGTGATTGTGTAATGTTATAGAGATTCGTTTTGCGTGCCTTAATTTTTTATTTATTTTTTGTTTTAAAAAGTGTGGGCCCCACAAAATATTTTGAGTGTAGGAAAGTTTGTTATGTTATGTTAAAGGATAAAATGAAAACCCTTTTAAAATTTATATGGTAGAATATATTTATTTTAAAAATGTATTAAACTATAGTTACGTTAGGTCTAAATTTTTTTTACTTCTATTATTAGCGATTCATCCTACTTGTATCTAATATTAAGAAATATTTTAATAAATTTCTAACAAATTTATATCGTTAAATACAACAAGTGAATTATCAATCTTCAATAAATTACAATCGTTATATATAAAATGATTAATAATAAATATAAACTTTTTAGAATTACACAGTTCCTCAATAAGTTACAGTTTATTTAAATATAAATAGAATTAATAATAAGTGTGAGATTTTTTAGACTTACACATTATGAGTTAGTCCTTCTCCATTTTATATGTTAAATTATGAAAAAAATACAATCTTATTATTTTCTTAAAAACAAATAATGTGAATTTTTTTTCCCAAGACATTATTTTATTCCCGATAATCATCAAGGATTAAAAGCACCATTCCTTTTTGCAATTAAAAACCTCACGCGAGTGAAAATTATAATTTTGAACAGGAGGAGGTGGTTTATAATGCCACCTGCGACTTCTTGTATCTTGTTTTTTATCTTCTTCTTCATCTGAAGTATCTCTCGGTGCATCCAAATGTACTCGATGTTTTGTATTATATTAAATTTTATAATCTTGCAATTGAAGAAACATGTTTCAAGTAACCGATGCCAGACTAAAGTGCTAGTGGCACTTCTCATCGGTCGTCAATTAATATTGGGAAATACAAGTCTTATGTTGCATGAGATTTGCTATCTCATGCCATAGACACAAAGCATGTGGGACCCACGTTTTAAAAAAAAAAGTAAAAAAATAAATAAATGCAAGCACACCTTTTAATGTATGAGTAGGAGGGGTATGTTATCTCATGTAACATGAGAAAAACATACCCCATTAATATTATGCTTGATATAGGGTCAATTATATATAACCACAAGAGACCGCGGCCGAAAAGATGCTTTGCTTAGTGGATAACAAGAAGGATGTTTGTGCAGATAAGTATAAACAACAAAAAATTTCAACAACCAAATTACCAATAACTAATTCTGTTTTTTATTTTTTTCATATTTGCTTTTGCTAAGGTTACCTATCAAGATACTAGATAATGTTCTGTAATCTTTATCACAGATTCTCTGGATTCATGTGCCCCACCAACATCAACAAATAGATTTTTTTTTTTTCTCATTTATGTATAGAAAATGAGAAGCACAACATCCTCAAGGAAAGGGAACAGAAGGGCAATCATAAAAGCAAAGCAAGGCCCACCATCTAGAGGAACAAGCCATACTTCTGTGAATGTACTACTTACATGAAACTACGGTTACAAATTTACAATTATTACACATAATAAGTACAAACTTATGACTCCGTATGAATCTTAAGTTCTCTTAACACAAAAATATTAAGTGGGTTGACCTAATTTTTGTTGTATAAAATAATCTCATACAAATTATCCAAGCCTTCACCGCAATCGGTTGACCTAATTTCCTGCAATAGTGTGTGACGCTATCACAGTCTATTTTTGCATTCAAAGCACGTAATCTTACCCAATTGGAAATAGCGATCTCCTATATCTAAGTCCTTCAATCCCTATTAAAGGGAAAATTTAATCATTCATCCGAGTAACCGCCGCAAAAGGAATTTATTAATTCGATTAACTGAAGCTCCCACTTAATGTGCAAATATTGTATAGTTAACCTCACAGGGTATTTACTTATTGAAGGTGGAAATTAACATGTAAGACAAGGAGAAGGAAGGTTTCCAACAATAGTGTAGTTTTTAATCTAATGTCAGCGTTTTGTGGTAGGTAGAATGTCAAATGCAGTAGTACAACTTTGCTTTCATGTTGTTTGGTGGATGGACGCTGTTGCTGGATTTAGTTAGCTTCTTGTAGTTGGTGGTTGGTGAGCTTCAGATTTCGGTTTGCTGCTAGTTATATAGACAATAATGTTAAAAAAAAAAATGTTGCACTTTTTTTTTTTCCCATCCAACAACATAGCATATAAATATAACTGTACATGTGGGCTTTTATGAGTTTAAGCAATTCAAGTGTATGATTAATTATGTACTAGACTTGTTGTGTAGATGGGCATTATTGAATATGGAAGACAAACAAGAATACCTTAGAGAGGAGAATCAAGCTTGCACAAGTACGGAGGACCTCATTGAGACGCAGCCTTTTAAGCGTTTTATAATGACGTTTCGGCTAACAAGACCCGAATGATGAGTCAGAGGTAGACCCTCCTTAACACACTCATCGTACTTCTCCAAAGTAGACACAATGTCACTGAAATCTGGTCGCTTCGAAGGATTTGCTGACCAACAACGCTTTATGAGATGAGCAAGTGCTGGTTGACAACTAGCAGGCAGAGGAGGCCTTTCGTTCTGCTCAAAATGAATTGAATCAATACTTAATTCAAGTTAAATAATCGAATCGATAGCATTAAGCCGTCTAATAGTGACTTACTAAAAATAGGTACTAGAAGAGTATGTATTCTTTTATTAGAAATATGACTTAGATTAGATATCATCAACCATAAATGGATGGGTGAAATAAGTAAAGTTAAGTATACTATTTTTTCTTTCTAATTTTAACAATGATGTATACGAGTCTTCAATACTAAAAGGAATATTGAAAATATTTCTCTTTACATAAACAATTTCGGGTAATGTTGGGCCAAAATGGAACAACTGTTACATTTTTAACATGTTGGGCTAATTAGGGAGAGGGAGTGTTGTTGGGCCAATCAAAAGGAAGTTGTAGCATTCCTCATATTGAGTTAGCTTACAGCGGTCAAATAATTCCAAATCTTCAAGCCTAAGTTGCTCTATTGCTCTCAAGTTTAAGACTCCTTAGCAAAGATAACAACAGGCCAGATGCTACATGATCAACAAAAAAGCATTTTATAAATTTTGGATAATTAACCTTGCCTGACTGCCTGTGATAATTTGTTATGCATGGAATCCAGGATGGAAGACGCCATTTTATGCAGTAGATAGGGTAGACTTTCGTTTAAACAACTTTTCAGGGTGTGTAAATGTGAAAATTAATCACTCGAAGTGGTTATTTTAGTTCAAATGGATAACCAATATGAACTGGAATAACAACTTTGTGTGGTTTATGTGGCAAGTAGTCTAATTTCTTCTACAGAAAGTTTCTGTTCTATGCGAAAATGCTATAATCAAGTCAACCTTGATCATTGGCGTACCCAGAAAAATTTCTTTATACATTCAGTGACAGGACCCGAATTTTTTTTTTGGTAAAAAAAGTTTAAATTAACGCTTAAATCCGCTCATAATCTAGTTGCTTCCACGACAAGCTAAAGGCAATAGTTTGACTAATCATTTCTCCGCTAAATCTTACCAATCCTCCAAAATAAATATGAGAATATACTCCAGTACATCCATACATCATCATTTCATTTTATAGTGGTGAATAAAAAAGTCAACACTATCTATACCTAAGACAAGCAAAATCACAAACCTCGTCTCTAGAGATTAACTTATTTGAGAATGTCAGACCTGCAATCAATCTTCTCTTTTTATAAAAATGGAAAAAGAAACAAAGGACGAAGAGAACATGAGAATGAGTACGTGACAGAAGAGGAAAAATAAGTTTTCTCTCTAATCAATTTGCATTGATACGTTGTTTTAATCATCTCTGTACGTTGCTAATTAATATAAGAATAAATATCATTTTTGGTCTCTAACAAAAAATTTGATCCCCAGTTTCGTGCATTATAAAAAAAAAATAGTCACCTGGTCACTATGAAATTCAAAGTTGACCCATTTTAATCTTTTTAAGTGACTAATGTGAGGGACCACGATTTTAACTAAATTGATACACTTTGAATTTCTCAGAGAACTCGAGACTAATTTTTTTTTTATAAGAAACTAAAGTAGGAACCGTGTTTTTTGTTAAGGACTTAAAAAAGTATTTACTCCTAATTTAAATATTGAACCAAAAGATAAATAAGGACCAACAAAAATGAAAAAAAAAAAAAAACTAAAATTGAAAATTTCATATCCGCACTTGCGAACATTTGCGCATGTGTGCGTCCAGCACTGGGTCCTTGATACTGGTGCTCAAATGATCTTTTAAAAACATTCAACATCATGTCGGACGGGTTTATTTAAAAAAAAAAATGTGTTGCCGCATTGTATAGCTTAAACCTAAGCTACTGATGAAAGTTATTTCATGTATTAAATGGAAGTCAAAGGCTTGTCCGTACGTAGATGATAAACACTTAAAGTAGGTCATACGAACTGTGAAATACTAAGCATATCCAAGTAACTCTGACATAAAGGTAAAGGAGTATACCAGTAGAGAGGATTGACAGAAATCTCGAAATTAAACTTTTTTTGTGTTACAAGATATAAAGGTTTGTGAGATTGGAAGAGATTCAAACTTCACATTAGGATTTGTATAATTATTTTACGAATATTATAGATTATAAGATTTTCCAATATCTCAAAGTTATTAACTAATTGTTCTGGACCTTTTGCATCTAACTTTATATAAAAATTTAATTTAGGGATATTGTTACTTCATAATCCCATTGGGTTAACCAGATAAAGCACTAAGGGACAATTTAGTTCATCAAAGTTTAACAGTTTAACTGCTTCAAGGCAGAAGTACCCTAATCCCTATGTTTCTGATTACTCAGGACATGTCCTTTCCCAACCAATCGTCTTGAAAATGCAACAACAGGACACATACTCTGTGGTCAACCTGACCAAAATTATGGCCTGTGTTGAATTGCATAATAGAACAATTGTTTAAATACTAGGCATGATTAAGGTTTTAAGGAGTGTGTCAAATAGAATAGGAACTTTGCAAATCCAGATTAGAGAAAGTGGACAAGGGACAAAAGGCTCTTAGTAAAAACATCAGAAGTACTAAGCAGAGAACTAGAAAAGTAATTCAGTATTCTATGTAAAAGCATTGTTCACGAAAAAGATGACAAAGTTTAAAATTTAGATATTGGAGTCTGACCTTCTCAGAAACAGCAAAAGCAGCTTGTACAGGGGTCATTCCTTGGAAAGGAAGGAGAGCGGTTGTGAGTTCCCAAAGCACAATGCCAAAACTATACACATCAACTTTACGAGTATAAGGTTTTTCCTTAACCATCTCAGGTGCCATCCAACGATATGTTCCCATGTTTCCTTTGGTCTCCCGACATCGTGTTTCAAGACATGATGTTCCAAAATCTGCCACCTTAACCCTCATCTCATCATTGAGAAGCAAGTTATTTGACTTGAGGTCTCTGTGAATCACACCTTGCGAATGAAGGTACTCCATACCCCTAGATATGTCAAGAGCTAACCTTAGTATAGTTTCTATTGAAAGAGAGTATGGCTCTTTCTTGTTCAGATACATCCTCAGAGTTCCTTGTGACATGTATTCTGTTATGATACAGTACACGGGCGGTTTTTTACAAGCTGCAATAAACTGTAAATTAAGAGTCATTTGAAAAATCAGACCTCAGTCATCCATTCAAATAAAATGAATTATACATATAAATGTTAATTGGCAATGTATAAAAAAAACCCACGGACAAAGATAAATCATACCACTACCACTATACATTTTGCATCCCGTAAAAACATGACTAGAGGAAAGAAAGGTTCATATTTGAGAGCCAGTTGGTATTTTATTATTAAGGCAATGTATTTATTCAGATTTCAGAAGTTCCTCTTTGCCCACCTCAGTTCATGAAAAACTCATTTTAACTTTTTTCCCACTAAAGTGCTAAGTGGCAAGGGGTCTTTATATCAAAAACCAAACTACAGCAAGCAATAAAACAAGGAAAGGCATTATTCATAAACTGACCTCGTGTTTTCCCTTCAATTTCCAAACCGACACAAACAAAAACTCATAAAGCTAAACAAACGAAGTTGACAAAAGAAACCGGCATAGATATTTATTTGTTGACTGCAGTGCAGTGTAACACCTTAGTTACCTGCACTATGTTAGGATGAAAGAGACGTGAAAGTAAAGCAACTTCAGATTTGAATTGTTGTTCTAGCAAGGTTCTTCTCTCGTGGTTCTGGGTTGGAATCCTCACCATTTTCACAGCAACAGCTCTCTGCTTGTAAATTCCACGGTAAATCCTACTGTGAGCCCCAGAAGCAAACTTGTTACCTATGAAAAGTTGTGAAAGATCAGCAGTCCATTCCTCCTGATCCTCCTTTGAAGCTTCCCATGTCTCCACATTCTCAGAGTCCAATATCATTGACCATGATTCCAAGCTATCAAATCTCTTTCTTTCCATGTTCTCTAAGTCTGAATTCAACCGGGTCTTGGACGAAGAAGAAGAAGGCTCTGGTAAAGGTTTACTCTTAGACCTCCTTAAGCGAAGCGCATGAAAACATGAACCCGCCATTGAAGCTCTAGCGAAGTTCATGTCTTTGAAACGGTTGTGTGTGTGTGAATGATATTCAAAACAGTCAGTCAAAAGGAATCTTCCTTCTGAATGTGTGAATCGATTTCAGGAAGTGCATGAACCGATTCCGAAACATGGGCTCCAACGAAAAATGAAAAATATGTATCAAAATGATTCATTTACGAGTTCAAATAAGACCCTTTGGTTTTATCAGAGTTGTGAAGGATAAAAATTCTTAGAGGACATAAGAATTAGAAACAGAGAGGAACGCAGGTATTTCATTGTTTAAGGAATAGGAACCAAAACGAAGGGAAGTTTCATGAAGAAAAAGAAAAAGAAAAAGAAGGAAATTCTGATGAGAAAGAGAGAAGAAGAAGAAGAAGAAGAAGCAGTTTTCACGGTTTCTCCTAATAGGATGGATAAGGAGGATTAGGTCGTTTAGCAGCATAAAGATGAATTCAAAGGAAAAAGCTTCAGGGGTGTCTCGTGACTGCTTGGTTCAAAAGTAGCTTGATTATAGCGAGAGATAGAGAGCCCCTTTTTTGCTTCTGTTTGGGTTTCTTTACTTGCATGCATCATCCGCAATGTTAAGTGGCCACAGTGCAAAGCTTGGTAGATTTGAGCTTTGCTTTCACCTCATCCAACAATTTGCATTTTGCAGTCTTCTCACACTTTGGGATACGTCCCATATCCCCCATCCTTTAACTGTAGCACCTTATTGTTGGGACCAAAAAAAAGTCCAAGAATACATGTGGTATGTAACGTATCAACAAGATAAATAGCACACAAGTGCCAAGTCAAGGACCGTTTGATCCAAGTCCAAGTGATTGCAACACTCTGCTAAGAAAATGAACTTCTCTTTGGTGAGGTACAGGGTACTGAAAGGTACACAAGGTATAGTACCTCATTGACCGATTTGGATGAACTATATAGTATTAATTGGCGGACATTTTATGTGGATCCTATATTCGATCTACCAATAATCAATGGAGCACTTACTAAAAGATAACAACTTGATCGAAGCTAAAATATGTTCTTTAAGCATTTCAATTGCGGGCCATTTAAGCTTATACTCCAAATCAAGCATTGGTCTGAAATTTTGCAAAGCAGAGATTCTAAGCGTGGAATAAGACCTTTTAAAAAAAAATTAAAACGTGTGGAATCTGATTAAAGGCTGATGTTTTGAGAAATAAAGTAGAAGTGTGGAATACATAACGTATAAAGATGAAAGAATAAGGGTAGTACCCGTAACATACCCTTCCATTTACACTGTCTAATGCTTCAATCCAATCACTCAATGTGGCCCGAAACAATTTGGTTCCAATCATCCTCTAATGATGACCATGCTTTTAGTTGAAGTTTTATTATTTTGTTAGATTTTGGGAAGGGAAAAGTTGTATCTTTATATTATTTTAAATGAAACAACAATGTTTTTGGTATATTTTTTATGGTTTTTTACGTTCTTTTCCCACAAAATTAGGAGGGGAGAAGAGAGAGTATTGTGAAAGAGAGAATATAAAAAATTAACATATATACACTAAAACACGTTCATTTCACTTAAACCACACAAAGTTGTGTAATTTGAAATGATAACTTTTTTTTTTTTTAGAAATATAAGATTATCATTTTCTACTCATATTCACATGTAACAAGAATTAACTATTCAACTAGGATAATTCTTTGCTTTAGGTAGAACCATTGATTAACAATTATATATTATCTTTATTAGAAAGAGATTTATTCCTTTAGGTAATTCGTATCAATAGGAATCTGGACCTTTTTTATATAATTTACAATCATGATAATGTCATGTTTTATGAGAAAAAGATATAAAAAGGACCCTACATATATAATGATGAATTCTATTATTTTTGTTTGTCTTTTTCTCTTATAACATAATATTGTCATGTTAATAAGTAATATGAAATGATTCAAATCCATACGCCAATGTAGCTGAGTTCAGGTGCAGGTGTTACCAGGACAAGTTGAACTAGACATATCGCACCCTTTGGTATCGTAAAACAATTATATCAGTTTTGCGTATTTGAATTTATATAATAATTTAGAATTGTTTTTTAATTAGGAAATTTTTTGTCATTTTATTTATTAAGTGCTTTTTTTAATATTTTATATAATAAGTAATGCACATTAAAATCACATTGAATTTAAATGATAAATTTGAAACCATAAAATAAAAAATTAAGTGAAAAAATGATATAACCAAGAGAGGCAAAAGTAAAACTTTTCCAACAAAAGTAGTGCAAAACTTATTCAAGAGCGGAAATGGATTTCTCATGAAATGAGATCGTGTGTTTCTCACTGCTGTCAACCGTGTGGAGTTTGGTTAAGTTAGCATGTGTTATCAAGTACAGCATCAAATTGTTAGTGATGCACCAAATATGCCCAGGAAGATAACATTTCCCTGAAAGTAGTGCAGTGGACAACACCAAGGTAGGGCACTCATTATGTTTTGAAACAATCCATTTTCAGGTGCAGATGATAATATGTGTTGCAAATACACCTGGTGATAACATTTCTCATCCATTTTTGCGGCGGTGGCACTGGGTTTGCTGGCTGGGGTGTTCCATATGGTGGCTGTGAAGAAAGCATCGATTTTGGTGGGTTGTGGGGACAATTGTTGTCCCTGTTTGATTATTTGGAACTGTGATGCGGAAGAAGAGTTTTACGGTTAGAGAAGAGGTTGTTGGGTTGACTATATCCCTATTAAGACTCAATCTCAATTTTCTTAAGCATGCATGTCACTTATAAGATTACTCTCACTTGATAAACTAGTGGCTTTTATGAGAAGAATTGTGTGTTCAAATCTTGTTCCATCAAATTGAAATTTTAACTTCAGATTTCTCATTAGTTCTCCATCGTGGACGGTGGCACTTGCGAGCAGATCACTAAAAAGTGATTACTTTTAGAGGGTGCTTGATACGGGAGAAATTGACATAGGAAATCTTGTTTATTCATGTTTAGTACAAAGATTGTGAAAAAATTTCAGAGAAAATCAAATTCTCGAGATTGAGATTTCAATTTGTGAAGTAAATTCCCGTAAAAGAATACCATCGGGTGGGTGGTATTTTCAGATTCTCACCCGGTGGGAATATTTTCTAACTTTTTCCGGTCAAAATTACTTTTAAGTGGGGTTATTTTTATAAAATCACCCCACATTTCCAGTAATATAACAATCAACCAAACATAGAATCAGTAAACTTGAACTAATATTTCTGGTAATATTTTAGCCTACCAAACAATTTTTTTGGTCACATTTTTGGGAAATTCACTTTTACATCATATCATATTTCTTATAATCGTAATTCCCAAACAGATAATGATTTCTTCTCTACCGAACGCGCCTTATTATTTCATAATGATGCAAAAGGTAGCTCAATGCTATCCTTACAGTATTTGATAAAGAAAAATTGAAAAGAACACTCTTCCTATATATTTCCCAATGGGTGCAGATGATTCAAAAGCAGGGGGTCAAGGAAAATACTTTTTGGGCTAGGCCCACAACAGAAGTACACTAGAAGATGAAAATGGAAGCCTACAGCCTCGAGGGCATTCCCCCAGAAACCACTAAGGTCTCACCTGTTATATAAGAAGCATCATCAGATGCCAAAAAAGCTGTCGCAGCAGCCATGTCTTCAGTTGTACCGAGCCTTCCAAGTAATGTCTTCCTTTCAAGCTCCTGCCTCTGCAGTAGTACGCAAAGAAAATCCATTCAAATGACCAATGATAAAGTGAGGAAGGAGACTCGAGGCAAGAGGAATAACCTATTTGGTTCAAAAGATACTCACCATAGCATTATTAGTGGTAAGGAATGCAGCAAAATGAGTTGGCACAAAACCAGGAGCAACACAGTTTACACGAGTGTTTGGGCCCATCTCATCAGCCAGGGCCTACGCAACATATTATAAATAATTAGCATTAAAAAAAGATAGTAACAGATTACATAGTTTTGAAGGAACAATGGCAAGCCAAGTACCAACTTTGGTAAGTCCAAGAAGGGCTGTTTTGGTCACTCCATACATAGCCATAGAAGCTGGTGGGTTATAACCAGCAATTGAGGAAATGATAACGACAGAAGAACCCTTCTTCATGTGAGGAGCTGCATCCTGTATAAATCATAAAATGGATAATACACCATACACCAATTACAATATCAGCACATCAAATGGAAATGGTAGAAAGAGAAAAAGTTGAAACATATATTGAATTTTTCCTTTCTTATTTTTGTTTTGGTTATTTCACAGATTTAATTACCTTCAGAAGAAGTATAGAGGCTTTGACATTTATCTCCCATAGCTTGTCAAGGACCGATTCTTGTGTTTGCAAAATGTTTTCAACAGAAGGATTTGCAGCAGCATTGGATACAACAACATCAATCTTTCCATACTTCTGTAACAAACCAAAATGTTCAACCACATATTAGAACTGCATTCAAATAGTTGGAAAGACAGATTTTAATAAAAGAACTAATTCCCTGAAAAAAACAAAGGCCAGTTTCAGACTAGATGTGAATTAGATATAGACTTGTATAAAATATAATTGATGGGTGCTAAGATTCCAGTAACAGATATAGCTTCTTTAACCAATTGATAAATGAAGAGACTTATTGAAAGGAGAGATGAAATCAATACAAGCCTTCTATTGAACCTGGACTAGATCATTTCTGACAATAAAATTTCATTGTTTAACTGAAGAAAATATCACCTCTACAGTTTTGTCTATCAAGTTCTTCCTCTGTTGAGCATTTGAAACATGACAAACAATCGCCAACACTTCAATTCCTTTGGCCCTGAGTTTTTCCGCAGCGTCATCAACATTTTGCTGCGGCAATTCAACCGAAAAGGAAAAAAAATAAAAAATTATTTCAGCAATGAACAAACGTGTGCACAAGTATCACATAATATTCCTGTTGAGGGTATTGATTTGGATTCTCCCATGTGAAAAAGTGATTATGTTATTTGATCACAATTATTCATTAAAAATCATATAATTTTCACTCTCTTATCTCATTATCATCAACAAGTGATTGTGATAAAATAATATTACCAAATCATCATTTTTTCACGTGAGAGGATATCCTGATGATGTAATAAGCGAGCGGAAGTTGGAAACACATAAATCATTTGTAACCTAATTCTATCCTTCATTTTTTCCAACAAATAAATGGAAAACCTTAATTGTAGTAACCCAAATACAAAAAGAAAAGACGAAAAATTTGACATTAAAAATAAAATAAAGAAAAGCATTCATTGGAACCGAACCGAACCCGATGTTGATGGTGGAGAAAAAAGAACCTGTTTGCGAGAAGAGATGACAACAGAAGCACCCTCAAAACCGAACCTCTCGGCTATGCTAAAGCCAATTCCCTGGGTTGAAGCCGTCACGATGACCACTTTGCCTTGAAATCTCTTGGGTTTTTCCATTTCAATCAATCAATGAATCAATCAAATCCAAAAAGAAAGTAACTTTTAGCTTTGCCTTACTTTGCTTGTTTGTGATTGTGAGAACTGAGTCTCGGCGATGCTTTCTAGCAGAGAACAAGACAATCGGCTTCAGATTTATTTTCTTCGGGATATACACCACTTGTCATAACGTTTTTACGATCTCTCTGTCTCTTCTCTAATCCTCGTACAATCATTTGTCATTTTAAAGTACGGCTAATTTTTTAAAAAAAATTATAAATTACAGAATTAATTTTATTTTTAAAAAATTTATATAATTAATCGCATCTAAATTAATGCATAACTTGTTATATTAATTACGTAAAATATTTAAAAATAATACTCATACTGTAATTTACATTTTAAGTTGTAATTTTTAAATTTTTTTAGCCTAATATGTCTTTCGCAGGGAGTAATCGTCGGTGCAAAAGAGACACGGACAATAAACTGCTCATGCCAAATCTTGCAACTGTAATGTACATGAATAAATAGAATCAGCATCCGAAAGAGAAAAATTCTAAAAACTGTGCTAGTATGGGATGATACAGGAGATAATTTATAAGAATTAATTGATATTATTTATACTAATAAGATGTATATACTTTTCGGTAACGAACGAAAGATTTCTAGGAAAAGTTTTTCCATAGAGTTGCAGGGCGAACTACAGTGCTAGTCTTTTTAATGATTTGAGTATTTTTTTAAAATTAAATTACTGGATTGGAGTATTTTTGGTCACATAATTTTTTTTAAAAAAATGCATAAATAATAAAAAATTCGAATGATATAGTTAATATTGAATTAAGAGGTAAGTTATATTTATAATTTTTTATAATTAATTATAAAATAATATCAAGTGGGATTATTGATTTTTAATTTAATGCAATTATAAGAAAAATGATTGGGAATAAAAAGATTTTATAAAAAATATATATGATTTGATAGTAGTAAAAAAAAAAAATCAGTAACAATACGTCGAAAAATCTTTAATAGAATATTTTTTCTCTCAAAATTAAATTTCTAATGAATTATCTCGCAGCTGACAGCACAACTACTTGAGCAGAATAAGATTTTGCCGACGAGGCGCTTAAATTTAGTTGGGTTATAGCTTATATACATTATCATTGTCGAGGCCAACGTTATGTACTTGACGAGGTATGTTATTCCGTATAATAGTCGTGACAACCCACCTTGGTCTCGCACGAGATTCTTCCTTCTGCCATGACAAACACAAGCCTAGATATAAATGTACAGCTTTGAACCGTAAATTCATATTCGATTAAGTAATATTCTTTGAAAAGTGCGATTGTTATCAGCTAACCAGACTTCAAACCCTGCCACAGATGCTTTATTCTCATCGTGACCTTTAATGAACATTGCTTGGCACTTAGGAAAACGATCTGATTTCTTCGCCACAATATGCAACAAAGGATTATGCATCATAATTGTTTCTGAAATTTGAGACACGAAATTTGAAAACCAGAATGCGTTCAAGTACGAAACACATGCATTTATTCGCTGATCTTATTGTCCCACTCCTGCGCACGAGCAAAACAAATGCTTGATTGGATTGTGAGCATCTTCATATGCTGCACCTTCACTCTCATGTAAAGGCGAAAGTTTTACCATGGACTGTATGAGGAATGGACACTAAGACATTGAACATGAAAAAAAATCCACCATCTATTTCTTAAGAATCTAAATTCAAAATCTCAGCCAAGAAACATTCATGACAAAATCAATTACATGCTTAAACATTTTTCAATTCAATCATAAGGATTTCTGAATTTCTTTAACAGCTCAGGTATTCCGTATCCAAGCATGTCGTCTACGGCTTGAATCATTTTGGGCTTTACTTTCTCAAATCTGTCAATGCTGTAACCACTCAAAACCTCTCTGAAGTGTTCCACGTTGGGAAAATCACCAGCTGGTAGATGAAACTCCCTTTGAACCTGTTTTGCGAGATCATAAATGATAAGTAATTAAGAAATTAAGGGAAACAAGGGAGGAGAAAGCGAAGGAGACCTTTTTAAATTCATCTTCAAGGTTGTCAATAAGCCTTTGTTGAACCTTAGCTTTACCCATCATTGCAGGCATCTCCATCTTAAGATGGCTAATTATATATGCATGCATTTTTGCAGATCTAGCACGTTTCACAAATTCGTTGATCTGCACCATTCCATTGACATCAGATTTCAGAACCAGAAAATAAAAATAATAGAAATAAAAATGAGTATAAGCATGCAGTGATATGCCATATGCATATAAATGATATAATATACTCATTTTGCACCACTAGGTCAAACAATAATATGAAAATAGGACCATACCCGACTGTCGCATGCCTTTCGTGGAATATCTACCAAATCTGCAAGGAGATCATTCTGTTCCTTCTCAAAGAGCTCCTGTCCTAATGGGCCAACAAAGCCTTCATTTATAGGCTTATCATTAAATGAGCTGCAAAGTCAAGAAAAGTAGCATAAACTTACAACTAAAGAATGTCAAATTAATTGGAAAATGAATCCATTAATGTGGTGTGCAGAGCATCAATAATATGCATTTAAATGTGAATTTTAACTATAAAATGTCAAGAAAAGACAATGAAATCAATAGTTTACCAAAATATGAACAAATAAAATCTTAGAATGTTCAATAGCAACAAGACAGCATAAGCTTGAATGAATGCTTAAATATTTAAACTAAGCCCTGTAAATAAAGCAATGAAACATTAGCCATATTTGAAAGATAACTAACCTACCCAATATATACACGCACAACTTCTGGAGTATTCAGAACTTTCCCCAATGACCACATCAATGCTCCATAAACTCTCATGAGCTACAAGATTACAATATGAGGCACATAAGTAGGCTGAAAATTAGATAAAAAATATATTTAGATCAAGTTAAATTAAGTTGTTGACACTGCCTTACCTGTTGAGTTCCAATTTGATCTGCCTTATTCAAAACCACACGTATCTTGTCATCGTGACCGCGTAGAGATGAAATTACACGTTTAAATTCATCACTAATGTCAAGTTTATGAGGATCAAATAGGAGAAGAATCAGATCACATTTTGCAGCAAACCAAGATATAACACCAGTGAAATCATAACTTCGTTGAGTCCTTTGCTTTTCTCCAGAGAGGACACCAGGAGTGTCTACAAATGTTATTTCATCTAGCAGCTGAAAAAAAATTTGCTTCAAGTTCAAGGGAAAACAAATGACGCAGTCAATTGTCAAGCAAAACTGGAATTGGAAATATATTGAAAACTCACTGGATGTGGCATTTGAGAACATTGGAACTTTGACAAAAATGAACCACCAAAAGTTGACAGGCCACTAAAAGGCATGTCAGCATCAACAGCTATAGTATTTCCAGGAATACTCCTCTCATCAGGTCCAGACTACAAATGAAAAGATATTGAGCTTTGAACCTCCATGAACAAAAACAGAGCACAAATGATCATAAAGTAACAGATTAACGATTACGAAATAATCTCTAGGGGGAAACCCCAGTGCACAAGACTCCCCGGTTTTTCGAGATGATAGAGGTGAGGGTAAATTGTACACAACCTTAACCGTGCAATTTTACAAAGAGACTGTTTCCTAGGCTCAAGCCCGTGACTTTCCAGCCACAAAGAAGCAACCTTAATGTTGCTCCAAAGCTCACCCTCAATTACGAAATGATATCTATCACACACACAAAAAAGCTTTTATGTTTGACTTGATTAACTTCCAAAAGCAACACTGAGAAAAAAGATTATGGTAATACTTATTAACAATTATGATATAATCTCTATGTTGTAAAAAATTGTAATTTATTATTTTATTTATTATTATTTTCTAGAATCTTCTTTGGGCTTAGCCCAATAGGTCATTCAGTCTCTTTAAATAGACACCTCTTTGTACTGTTGTAAACACAATTCAATAATATAATCCTTCTTTTCAAGTCTCTACCACCCAAAAGAAAAGTTTTTCTGTTTGGACTTGATTAACTTCCAAAGGCAATGCTGGAAAAAAGAAGATTACGGTACCATGACAACAACAAATCTGTCAGTTGTAGGTTCTGGTCCAATGTGTGCTCCTGTGCGAACAGTTAAAAGGTGACATATGATCAATAAAGTAATTTGTATCCCTCTATATGTCCAATTTTATGCATGAAGAAACTAATATAAATCAGCTGCTAGATCATCCACAAATTAACCAACCTGGATAATCACATCTTAGCAAATGTTTTATAAATGTTGTTTTTCCGGTGGAATATTGACCGAGAAGCATGACCATCGGTTTAGCATCAAAATCACTGTTGGTCTGAAAGGGATAAATCACATGCATTCATAAACTTAATATCATCATATTTATAATATGTCATGTTAAATAGAGCAAATCAGTACTGTGTTCGCACATGCAATTCAAAGAATTTAGCATATTTTATTTACATGTAGGGTGTGAATGTCACTTACCAACAATGGAGATACAAAATCATCGAATCGATAAGTGACCTCCAGTGGCTTTAGCTTCTCCACATACAATCTCTTCAAGCCATCAATTATTGATGTCACTGCATTGAGAGGTAACTAATAAATAGCAAACTATTATATTAGAATATACCCAGCAACAAATTGAAAACAAGCAAAGCCATATTAGTAAAGCTTGCAAGGAAACAAATTCCCAAAAGCATATTCTAAATTGTTTTTACTTAGTAGTCACATTGCTCCAATATGGCCTTGTATACATCATCTAATTCATCAAGGCAATGAATGTAAGAAGAGAGATTGCTATTGATTCTAAATGCATCTAACTCTCAAAATAATTCATGCAAGTAAAAAGTAAAAAATTAAAGCATTCACTAATAAAAGATGACCTTTCATTTTTGCACCAAAAAATTTATTACCAGTAGTTCATCACAAATGTGAAATAGTAGATATGCAAAGTTTACCACAGTTTTACACATTGGTTGTTCAACTTTAAAAACAAAGTGGCCTTTAATTTTTTACATTTTTTTTTTTGTCTACTTTCAAAGAAAGCTACTTTAATTTTGTCAAAATGGGCATCAACTTGGGGGACTCACTTTCTTTGCAGATTTTGAAGCAACCCATGGATTAGATGGTAAGGGCTGAGGCAGAGCAGTCCCTATGTATTATCAGTAAAATAATTCAATCAATATTCATTAAACAGTACAGTGCCATGACTAAAAAAAAAAAAACCACTCCCCTTTAAACCCGATTAGCGAGTGTGGGGCGGAGGTAATCCTTGTACGCAACCTTACCCTTGCATAATTGCAAAGAGGCTATTTCCTGGATTCGAACCCATGACCTTTTGGTCATGAAAGAACAGCTTTATCACTGCTCCGGTTCGCCCCCTTTTACCGTGCCATGACTAATGAAAGAAAAAATCAAATGTCTAACCAAATACATCAGGTTGGGCACTTATTGTTAAACTCTTTGTTTTCTGAAAAAAAGAAAAGAAACCAGTAAGAAAAAGAGTCAAAAAGAAATATATGATCTAATTGATACAGCACAAAGTGAGATAAAAAGCACTGCTTACTGCTACTAAAGCATCAAGTCCTTCCATTTCTGGAGGTTTAACATTTTCCTCATCAACTGAAATCAATAGAAATGGAATAATGAAATGCATTGAACCGAGTGGATAGTACAAAATATTGAGAACGATAGACAATGAAGTTAAACAAGAAGTATCAAGACCAGCAGATTTTCTCAGGTTTGTTTGTTTTTCAATATTCCTTAAAATTTAAATGTATATTACTTCAGAAATAAAACCTCAATGAACTTTCTTTCATGTGTATCGGTCAATTAAGCCTCATAGTCACACACTGAATGCTTATGATCATGCCAAATTATTTACAACCAACAGATAAAGAGGTCATGAGAACTCACTTCAGCATCCTTAATATGACATTATGACAATTTAAACACGTATCGGTGTTCCACAAGAAATAGGGGAAGTACATCCTCTCATTTGATAAGGTAAAGATCAATACAAACAATTTACGCAGACATATATTAGCTAGCTACAAGCCTACAACTTATTTACCTTAGGCAAATAGCAGGCACGAAACACATTGCATTAGTGAACTTACTTTCAGTTTTAAGGATATCCGAGTTGAGATCATATCCTGCCTGTGCCAGGGCAATGAGCTGTTTATGACAAGAAACATTGAATTTTAAAGTCAGATTCTGATATCAGATAATCAATATTAAACCCAAGAGTAGGTATTTCAAAATCTCCAACCTGCATTGCCGTTACAAACTCTTCAAAACCTAAAAAACCTTGTCTTTTGTTATCGGCAATAGCCCAAACCTATGGAGGGCAAATAAGGGAGTATTGATAAAATTTAATCAGAATACGAAACGCAGTTAAGCCAACTTAAATTATGAACAATGCTTATAACGCGAAAAGATTTCCAGTAACTTAATTTGAGAATGAAATAAAACTCGATGACTAATTTGTAATTGAAATGAACAATAAGAAACGAAATATATATACCTGCTTAAGTTGAGAGCGAGATAAATTGGAGAGAGCAAAGAACTTGGTGGCATCATTCCCAGTGATACGGCCATCTCCATCTACGATCAAATAAAGGAAAAATAAAATCGGTTTTATCTGTAAGTCGAAACAAATTGAAGAATAAGCAAAGCGAAGCAGCAAAAAAACCTGAATCGGCCAAGTTGAACCATTCCTGATACGTCTTCATTTGCTCTTTCGAACACGAATCGATCCAATCGGATACCGTTTTCATCTTCGGAACTAAAGAATTTTGAATCCGTGAAGTCAATCTCAAGGGTTAGTTTATAGATAGTTCAGTTAAAGTTCTTAAGGAGAGAGAGAGTTCCTTCTTTTTTCAATTTCCAAAAGGTTACGCTATCCAGGTCGAGTTTCGCTATCCTGCTTCGCATCGTCAAGACCAATTTTGACACAAGATGACTATTATTATCTATCGTAATTTTATCCAATTGTGATTAGAGCGTGGGATTATTATGATTTAATTAACTATGTTTGCAGTGGGGCCCACGAGTTTAATGGAACCAAAACCAGGGGATTCTTTCACCACCCCACCGGATATTTATTACTTTCTCGCCATTTTGAACTTTTGAATAAGAGCGCCACTGTCTGGGGTCCAGTTCCCGTGAACACGTAGCATAAAATACTACTTTATACATTATTATATCATATCACCTTACTTCAATGGAAGGTATTCACATGATTGTTTCACTTGTGTTTAGAACACCTTCAAAAATAAATGAAACTCATTTTCCATGATGATTGTTTCCTATTTTTATTTAAAATATGTAGAGTCAGAGTGGATATATAAACAAGGATAATATTATCAATTCGAGTATTTAAAGTTAAAGTCTAATCAAATGTAATCAATATTTGAATAAAATTCTAAATATAAACAACTTAACTCAAGAAGAACGTCAATATAAAATCAATTTTCATATTGAAACTTTCTAAACAAAATTTTATTTTTAAATCAAATCAGTTCTTAAAATCGGTAATTGTAAATACGCTGGGTTATGACTCTTTGCTAGGTAGCCCAGATTTTTTAATCAATTTGAACCATTCATGGCTAGGAGGATGAAAAAATTCAAACCCAAAATCAAATTAATGGGACTCATTAGGGCTTCCAATACTGATTGATAATTTAAAATAAAAATAAAAATACAACATGTAAGGAAGGTAACAATAGACCCACTCTTTTATTCACGTAATTGCAAAGAGTTATATATAATAAATATCCCATATAAAGTAAAACATAAGGTATAAAGAAAATCAACGGCACAAAAGACCCTTCTTGGTTCTTGGACATAGATTCTAAATTTAAAGTCTAATGCACGAAAGAAAATGCAATTTCCAATTTAAAATTTGAGAGTCTCCAGTGGGTTAAAGCAAACAGCAATTCGTGTTCATTTGTTTTCACTTAAAAACAGACAGCAACAACCATGCATCATAATCAGGACAATATTCACGACGGTATTGCAAATCATCACCTCGGGTTCTCAGTTATTCAATATTTCATAACTCGTATGTGTTTTTACTCTTGGTTGCATTCGACGTGGGTTAAGAAAATGGTGGTAGCTCAGTTGGCGCATGAGAGCTAAGCAGGTGGGAGTGAGAGTATGTGTTCGAATATCTCCAGTATCACTTTTGGGAGGGGTTTAAAATCTTAATTCTGGACCCTTCCCGAATCGGATTAGTTACAAAGTAATGAACCGATTGGAATATTTCAAAAAAAAAGAGAACACCATTAGGGGTGTTTGGTTGAGGAGAAATTTTTAGAATACTAGAGAAATAGAATTGATAGGAAAATGGTAAGAAAGTGAGATAGATAGGAAAATGTAAAAAAAAATTGTTTGATTGGATAAAATTTTACCAGGTAAATATATCCAAATTTTGAAAACCTATGTTTGGTTTTGGAAAAAATATAGATAGGTAAATGTTATAAAATTACATTTTGATCCCCGATTTATGTTCCACAGGCGCTCTCAATTTATTGATCTCTGTAACACTACTCCTATAATTCTGCATTTTTCCGGCTTATGCTGAACCGCGAGGGAGTAGTGGGCTCTCTTATAATGATTCAACCCACGCTTTTCCAATATTCATTTGATGGGCCACCTGTTCCAGTACTTCTAGATATTTGTTCCGTTTGTCCAGATTTTATCTTGCTCTTTGATTCTTTCTTCCATGTGGTGATTCATCATGGGTCCAAAATTGATCAGTGGAGGAAGCTTGGTTATGATAAGGACCCAAATCATGAGAACTTTAGAAAGCTGCTGGAAGCCCCAGAATTGGATGCAGAGCAATTGGTGGCTGAACGGTTCCAGTGCCAAACCTTCTGACGCTACTTGCGGGAAGGTGAGATCGACAACCACCATGCACCACCTTGCTTTCTTCCGGTCGCTACTTGCGGGAAGGTGCTCTAAGGAAGACAACCTACTGACGCCCTAAGCTGCTGACCACACACAAGATCTTGCATCGTATCATCTCTGCTGATTCAAACAGTGGTTTAGCCGTGGTTTTACAAAAAACCACATATGAAAACGCTTTTCAAACAGTACTGATATCTGTCATTTTCCACTTAAATTGAAAAACCTATGTATTTTGGATGCCTGGCTTTTACTCTGAATCTATTCAACCAAACAATGATATTCTGGAATCATTCTCTCACTTGTCTAGGAATATTTTGGAAAGACTCCAGCCAAACACCACCTTAGTTAATCTTATCTTGCATGCTTTTGAGCCGTAGTATTGTTTGAAATTTGAATAGTGAGAAACTGAACTTATTCTTTATGTTAGACTTATGATTATCTGTCTTGGATTGACTTGTTCAGAAATGACCTTAAGTCGTTTTATAAAAAAAGAATAGAAAATAAAATAAAGCTATATTAATGGTCCAAAACTGATTATTTAATGAATAATATGTTGTTTATTATACTTGCTGAAGGTTCCAAACACAATTCCTCTTGTGCATATTTTATATGTCTTTATTCCTGGTGATTCAATAACTGTAGTGCTGTCTAATTTAATTTATTTGTAGGGAATTTGAAAAAAAAATAAAAAATGCCTGTACCTGAAGTTGCTGTGAACTCTATTATACAGAGTTGATTTTGTAAGCTTTTAATTTTTTATGTCCTATGGTTGTCTACTGGAAGAAAAACTTGAGTGTAATTAGAACCCGGCAAAATGAATTCGGTTCGGCGGGCCAACCCGCCCTACCACTTAAATTGAGCGGGACGGGTTGGATTTTTCAACCCATTTCAAAAGCAAGACGAGTTCGTTTTTTGGCAGATTAATGGTGGACATAGACAAATCGAAACAGATCAGTGTAAAATAGGCTCGAATTAATGGACTAACCCGCCCAACCCACTAAATAGGGCGGGCCGCCGACTTTGCCACATGTAAGTGTAACAATTTCCCATGTCAATTTCCTTAGATGAATTTCAAACTTTCAGAATTTGAAATTCTCGAAGGCAAGATAGGTGTGTTTTAACCGTGGTCCAAAATGCATTAATATCTTCAAAATTGTGACTTTGATACAATCTTTGCCTTGCGTTTGAAGATGACTCGGACAATTTCCTGGAAGCAGATTGGGAAAGAATTCGAGTCTGTATAAAGAAATCTGTCACTTCTAATCCAGCTAAGCTGAAGTCTACGTGACAATCCATTCGTTTTATAACTAGAGTTGGTAAGTGGTTATGTATAACAATATAAGACTATTGATCCTATTAGTGTCCATCCTCATATATAATTATAAACAGGAATAATCTGGCAATTGTCTGTTATTTTTCTTGGTACAATGCTACTAAAGTGTCCATCTCACGTGATACCAATGAAAATATTTATTTTTATGACAAAGGTTAAGATCAATTAGATACCAGCATCAAATACCAAAACATGGTAACTCAGTTGACATTAAGGAATTGATTGAATAGGTAGGGGTGAGAATATGTATTCAATTCTCCTGAATACTATTTTTGTGAGGAGTTTAAAGTCTTAATTTCGAAACTCACCCCGAATCAGATTAATCCAGAAATCTGATGAACCAATTGAAATATCTAAAAAAATAAAAAACCAGCATCAGATTAGAATTTAAGTTCTGTTCTGTTATATAATAATTGTTAGGTGATATTATCAAGAAACGTCTATATAACAAATTCAAGTAACAAAACCACTGATACCATAAAGGGGACGTTTGGTTGAGGAAATTTTTTTGGAATAGTAAGAAAATGTAATAGATAGAGAAATGATTGGAAAGATAGTTAAAGTGAGATAGGTAGAAAAATGTAAAAAAAAGTTGTTTGGTGGGGAAAAATTTTACTGGAAAAATTAGGTAACTTTATGAAATCAACAGTGTATTAAAAGCCAGATAACCGGTTTTCCGAAAAATCTCACATTCAAATTGAGTTTCTAAACAGTGCGGATATCTATGTTTCTCATAAATCCATACAAATTGGATAGATGAGTTTTTGGTGAAAATACGTTGAAACAAACATGGTATTTCTAAAAGCCATACTTGAGAAACATAGATATCCACTGAAAAGCTCCCAACTAAACACCACCTAAACGTCTAGATACCAGCATCAGATTAGAATCCATGTGAGTTATTGAAGACAGTGGTTGATATTATATCACTAAGAGATTTGAACCCATGTATAAGGCAGAGGAGGTAGATGATCAGAATTATCACTGTGCAATTATAAAAATATTAAAAACAGACTTACTTGTAGTCAGTATAAAGAATCAGAACAGATTAATGTATGCAGTAGAGGAATTAAATCCGAGCCCACAGAATGTGTCTCCTTAAGACAATTTTCCCCCTCACTGATGCCAAAGGTTGATGGACACTTGTCTCCCAGGATAGAACGGATTTCGTCTGAAGAATGGTGGCACTACCAATCAACAGCCCAAACGAACACAACAAAATGTCAGAGGAAACTACACCGGAGTATGAAAAGGAACATGCAAAATCGGAAGGAGAAAAATTCTGGCAGAGTTTCAGTGCAGAAAAATTGGATACATTTTATGAAGGTGTCAGTGTCTATTTATAGACACTGACCGGTCACGTTTCAAAAGGCACCTATTCGACGACGAAACAACACATCTGTTGGACACGACAAGACACATTCGTTCAACACGAAAAGGCACCCATTCAAGGATGAAACAACATGTCCGTTAGGATGAAACAACACATCCATTAGGATGAAACAACACATCTGTTCGGATGAAACAACACATCCGTTCAGATGAAACAACACATCCGTTCAGATGAAACAACACATCCTTTAGGATGAAAAGATACATCTGTTTGTCGACGAAAAGGCACACTTTTTCACTACCAAACTTCTTATTCATAACCAATAGATTGTCTATACAATTTATATATATATATATATATATATATATAAATT